ACGGGGCTCCAAAGGGAACATTTGCCAATATTTTCAAATTCTTATCCTTTGATGACATGACAAGTATTGTATTTCACTTAGTTTACATGCTGATTTCCACATCACATCTACACAATAAAATAAAGCTACCAGTACCTATGATATAACTCAGGTGACCGCTAAGGCCCTTGGGCCTCTTGTTTTCATTGGTGTGTCTATTCATGGATGGTCATTGAAAAACACTTTTAATATCCAAAATTCTGAAATTTAAAAAAAGAAATTATTTTGCATGTTAAAAATATAATAAACATGTACCCTAATGTTATGATTGAACGTAATTATGTAATTATAAATATAAAATTAAAATGTTTACATGGATGAGAATTATTATGATTAGTTTAATAAAGTGTAAAGCTCATACCTGTTAAGATTGATCAATTGAAACTCATAAGTTTTAATAAAAAGTGACCACAATGGTGAAGCTACAATATTTTTGTCTCGCCGCCACAACGTAGCGGAAGCCAGTTTTTGCATTTAACTTAGTTTCATTGAAATTACAAGTGCTGCACAAACCAAATTTGGACCATAGATGCATTTTAGGTAGTACATCTCAAAGTTTTTGCATTTAACTTAGTGTCATTGAAATTACAAGTGCTAAACAAACCAAATTTGGACCATAGATGCATTTTAGGTAGTACGTCTCAACCTATGCATCAACGTCTGGATGCGGCCTATCTTTCATGGTCCATTGACTTTGTCAGCATCTCCTTCAACATTAAGTTTTTGCATTTAAGTTAGTTTCTCTCTGATATGTACATAGATGGTCAAGTGTACAAGTGAGATTTACCTGTGTGTCTAGTCTTAAAGCAAATAACTTGGTTGAGTGAAGGTGTACATGTGCTTATCTAAACACATGCATTCATGTACGACCAGGTCGGGATTCAAACCCGGGACCCTCTGAACTCTTAAATGATCGCACTACCAATTGAGATTCCTGGTTATCGACCCGACTCAGCCCAGTCCAGTTCCATTATATTCCCCCATCCTTTTACCAAGTCTTTGCCCTCAAGGATATTTATAACCCAGGTTCAGGTATCCCCTTGCCAAGCATTCACCAAATGCTTGAAACAAGGGTTGGTCACAGGCACTAAATGATAGACTGAGAACCTCCAAATTTTAGATGGATGCTCTACCAACTGAGCTACATGGTCGCTGACAGTCGACCCAGTCCAGTTCTGCTACAGTACTTTAAACCCTGTGGCTTATCAGTACTGTGCAAATAATACAAAATACAAATATATTCAAACAAATCATGTCAAATGGAGTTACATTTCATGTGGTAGAATAGATATAATCAACATGTAAGTGTATATGATAGGAAAATACTCATTAGTACCTTAGATACAAAAAAGACAGAAAATATATATATAAGTTAGTGACTGTCTTAAAACAGCCTTTCTTTAAATTTTTGCCCAAATATCTCTCACTTCAATTAAATATTCTTCTATAACATGTTCATGTGTTGACTATTTCTTATCACTTCTTTGTTGAATGAAACCAGCATCTGATCAAACAATGATTTAAATCAGGAACATTACTTCTGGCATCCTCTTCGAATATGTACATCAGCTGAATCCATCCTGGTGTTTTGGTGACTTATTACTCACTTATGTGTCTTTGTTGTCGCCACTGATGTTGGATCTGGCTCCACCATTTGGTGTCTGTTGCATTGAGGCACATCTGACAATTGGTCTTGTATATATCTGTAGACATGACTTACCAAAGATTCAACACAATGCCATATTAATAAAGGATAATTTGAAATTCTTAAAACAGAATAATTTTTGACAAGAGATTGAGTAATTAATCAAATCATATCTTGTTTCTATAATACATGTTTAAAATGTTTCCTGAAATGTATCCTGTTCTGAATTCTACAAACACAAAAAAACAATAAAATATCCCACTATACTGTGCTGTTTACTAGCAGTTTGTTAACATGGTGTGCCTGTTCAGCTTGCTTTGCTAACTGAACATCATAGATTCTATATATATTATGTATATTTGTTTCTAACTATGTAGTGACATATACTGTAATAAAAAAATATTATAAAAAGTAATTTCACAATTGATGTGGCCACTGTTGCTAAATAAATTCTATCTAATGCTGGCAATCAAATAATTTCAACAATCCAGCAGGAGTGAAAAACTTACTACTACAGTGTAAAATACATAGATCCACGAGGTCTCCTTAAACCTAGTGTTGGCATATTCTTTTGAAATTGGTCAAGTCCATATTCAGTCCGTGGTATACATCAACCAGCACCCTCAATATTAATGGAGGTCAAATTGTCTTGTACCTGGGTTGGTACATGTCCCTGTCTTGGTGGGCTGCACTCTCAATTCTCTGTACTGAAATCAGAACAGCTATTATACTTTACAAACACATAACTAACATTAAAATTCAATTCTATTGGCTAACAGGTAAATGAAAGGCGGAGTTTATTACGATAAACATGTTAATTTGCCTGGAGCAATTACATGACATGTTTTTTTAACACTGGTATTTTAATTACTGTATTGACAGTAGTTAATCCTTTAATTACCTACTTCCTCTTATTTGTGAGACAATAGCATATAATAGACAGTAATTTCTCACCATGTGGGGTAAGAACCTGTCAGCTCATTTAAGGGCTTATCTAGTTCATCTTACTGGTTTGACATCAAAGTCTATATTCTCTTTCAACTAATTGGAAAGCCTGTTGATAGACTACCTTTAGCAATTTATTTGAGTTTAAATATCCAAAACCTGACACTAGACTACACACTTATGTATATATAGAAACAGCACGCTCACAGAGTGGCAGAGAAACACAGCGACAACTAGCAACATATCATCCAAGAAACCTAATATTTCTATCATGATTAAGCAGTTAATGACTGAAAGTGGTTTGTGTCCATTTTACTGTCAACCCTATTAACTTGCATGTAATTTAGTTTGATATTTATCATTATTTTCCATAATTTATCTTAACTTGTGCTTTGTGTTTTTAGGAACTATCCTGCAATGGTGTCACATTATCATATAACCTGCCCATGACATTGTAAAACTGTTTTCTGAACAGAAGAAAACCAGTTGATTAAAGACAAGCAATTAAATATACATATTAATTTGTTTCTTTTCTAACTAGTTTTAATGTGTTTTTCATGCATTTCATTTCGGGATTCAGCGCCTAGCAATTCAAGATTTTGATTTTATTTCCTGAATTTGATATAAAAAAAATAATTAAATGACATGCTATATTATTTCTGAAAAGAAAACTCCTAATATGAAAGTATATATACATTTTACTGTACCGAAAAATATGAAAATGCCTCCAAAATACTGTCATTTTATGCTGGGCTATATTGTTAACTTATTTCTTTACATTTGTGTAAGTTCCTCATGGGATTTTTGTCGATTTTCTTCCAATATGAAAAAATCTCAACTTTAAACCAGAAAAGTTTGATGAAATTCTACGGGTAAAATTTCCAATAAATGTCTGTAAAAACGGCTTAGATATTCTTTCCGATATCTACTAGCATCCAATATGCAGTGTAGTGCATATATATCAGACATTGATTAAATGATAGAGTTGTAAAAAATATAGTTTTAGTTTCCCTTTGTAGAACATACAAATGTCAAAAACCTCACTTTGTTTTGATTTGAAATGAAATGTCAAGTCATATTCCTCATGCATATTCATATTCTTAAAAAATGTTCTCAGACTGACTTTCGGTTTATTTTAGTTCCTGTATTAAAGATTTTCTTTTGTTAATTACAGATTTCCCCCACGGTATGAACCACCAGCCTCCGGACCATGACACTTATGATCAGAGGTATCAGGGTCACCTTTTACACTACAAGAGATCAAATGAGCCACTGGATGTACAGAATCGCTACTCAAAATGGGACAGATATGATTACAATCACGTCAGAGAATTTCAGAGAAGTGACTCGAGGCAGACTGGTGACTTCCGACAGCAAAGTAACGCAGATTATCGTAGTCAGCGATGGGATGATGTCGACAGAGATGGAAGGTCGTTTTACCGTAGGTCAGAATGTGAACTGAATGAAGCTAGAGGCTATAATAAATATAAGCCATTTCGAGGAAGAGGTTGTTATCGTGGTGAAGATAGAGATCAGCGAGATAGAAGTCGAGGCCATAATTGGAACAAAATGCAAGCAAAACGTCCATCTGACATCGAAATTGAACGACATGAAAAGAAGCGTCGCTTGATGGAGGGATGCTCTTTTCAAGATGGCAGGAATAGAAACATTGAGGAGAATCTTCCATCCAATGACGCTGTTATTTCTGTAATTTCCAATTTTTTGGAAAAGCGAGATAGGTCACACGAAGGCAAGCATCGTTCCTCCTCAAGAGAAAGGTTTGCCGACGACTCCAGACGCAGTTCATCAAGGGAAGGATCACAAAATCGGTCATCAAAGGACAGAAAAATTGTTAAATCAAGCAAATCAGATTCTGACAAAAGTCACTCAAGTCATTCCTCAAAAGACTCGAGAAAAAGACATGATTCTAAAGCTCATTCTTCAACAGAAAGACAAGTTACTGAAAGTGACACATCAATATCCACAGATAAAATCGTGGAGCATGCAAAACTGAATTCTGCAATTGAACTGCCCAAACAAAAATTGGAGGAAGAAAAGAAAAAAGAAAAGGCACTTTGTAAAAATGTTACAATGCCTGCTAATTCAACTATGTGTACCTCTGTTTCGAAATCAGTTTCTGTTGACAAAGTTTCCATTTCAAATACCAAATCATTTTCCAAAGGATCTCAGGACAAATCTAATCTGAAGTCAGCATTTAAACATAGAAACGTTGTTCACATCAAACCTAAGATACCATTGCATACAGTTGTCAGTGAGAGCAGTTGTGTTTCGTCTGTGAACAAATTGGCTGACCCTGCTCTAAAAAGTGTGTCTGCCTCTAGTGCGTCGTCTTCTTCAAATTCGGTACCAAAAAAGGTTCTTCCAAAAATTCCAAAAATCCAAAGCAATTCAGGAGGTTCGAAGAATGCGACTATAAATGAAACCAAGAAATTGTCGACAAAACACCATAGACATTCATTAGGAGGTGTTCCCCTCCAACCTTCCAAGCCGTCGATAAGCTCGGGGAGTAGTGTAGATGGAAAACAGCTTAATAAAAAGAAACATCGACATTCATCTGGCCATGTATCACAGTGTTCTCCAAAGAAGAACACGGTGGTCACTTCAAAAACTGTACCAGAGGTGACAAATATTGAAATGGACCATGATGCATCATCTGAAAGAGATGAACCATTGCCACACTTGGTTCACAGAAAGAGGCATAGCCGAATATCAGGCTCAAAATCACCTCCACAGAGTAATGTTACAGAGCAAACGGTAGGAGCGAGTGGTTTGTTTCATGTTGAAGAGAAAGGGTTGTGTGAGAAAGAGGATGTTAAAAAGGCGTCGAAGACTACTTGTGAGGAAAGTCATCGACTTGATAAAACAACCCATGGGAAGGAAAATATTGTTACATCGAATGTCAGTAAAAACCTGTCAAAACCTGTTGCTAAGGATCATGACAAACATAGGTCAAGGGTCAAATCTCTAAACAAAAAGACAGTTTCAAATTCAAAGGAACAGGAAAAACATAATACATCGGTGAAACCTGCAGATAAGGAAAAGGTGCTTGATGCTGCAAAGAAGGGGTCAAATCTCGAAAAACACTGCAAGTCTGTTGAAGCTCTGGAAGGAAAGAAATCCAAATTGACAGGGTCCCTTCAGAAGGGAGGAACTGGGAAGGATTTTTCTTCAAATAAATCTCATCATAAAAACCCTGGTGATTTAAATATGGATCCTGTTGTGTCTTTGAAGAAACTTCCAAACAAAACAGCACTGAAAGTTCCTGAAAAAACTAAAACTGTTGAAAGCATTCCAATTGAAAATGCAGTAGTCGAAAGTTCGGCATCTGTCACTCATTGTGCTGATAGGGATGCAGTGTCAAATTGTGAAAGAATGAGCCTGTTTGATCTCTTTAAAGACAGTTCAGAGGATCAACCACGGCACAAGCATTCTAAGCTCTCTCTTAAAAGGACTCCTGACAAACTTCGTAAAGGAAAACCTACATCCTCAACCAAATCAAACGTGGAGCAAACAAAATCACATCACAACAAGAGAAAAATAGAAGACAAACTAAATGGAAACTTCGGCAAAAAAGCTAAATTACCTCATGATGAAGAGGTTTCATCAACTGAATTGGGAAATGCGTGTTCTGAAGCTCTTTTGAACGTCTGTGAATCATCTGTAGAATCTGACAAGCCAAAAACAATTTGTGATACAACTAATTCAGAAGCAGAAAAGTTAGTGTCAACTTCCGTTTCAAACCACTCAACATTGGAAACTGACATCTCATCATCTGGAGTGTCGGAAAAAGACATGCACAACGAAAGTGAACTGTCTGTCAATTCATCCGGGCGACACATGGACGAATCGGGCTCGGGATGCACCTCATTTTCTTTGTCTTCATGCATGTCTTCTCCGTCTTTCAATAAAAGTGACACTATGCTCAGTGACAATTGCAGTGAAATGGAAACAACATGCAACACACCAGAACTAGTAAGTGGACAATTGAATGGTGAGATCGGACAATCACTCAAAACGAAGAATTCTGAATGTGATTCTTCCAAAGGAATGCCTCCTTTAGATTTGTATGACAGCGATGATGATGAAGAAGGTGGTAGACTTGTCATTGACTTTAATCCATGTTCTGTTACTTCGTTAGCTGGTACAGGAACTGAGAAGAATTTGACACAAAAACGAGGAGAAAATCAGGAGGTCAGAGATAGCATTCGTGTCACTGGAGGGCTGGAAACACCTGAATGTTTTCAACCTGTGGAGGATATAGAGATTCCTTCAGAGATGAGGGAATCTTGTCTGGACAGAACCAATCAAATGGATGAGACAATACCCTACAACCTTGACGACACACAGAACAGCTCTGTAGACCAACATCAAGCCACTGCATTACCTTCATCGGAAACATCCACACCAGACCTACTTCTGAAGTCAAGTTCAAAGACCCCTCCGATTGAGGAGATGGTACCTTACAGCTTGGTTACCTCAGAGGACAGCTCCCTAGACCAGCCTCTTGTGTCATGTAGGAACGCCTCAGAGGTGAAGGAGGAAATGCTCTATGGCCAGGATGCTAAAAAAGAAGGCTCCGAAGATCAAAAACAAACTGATACTATAACCCAGTCGGATACAACCCGACAAGATCTGCATCTAGTGTCAAGTGAGCAAACCACTCATATGAACGTGACAGTACCAAGCAGCCTGGATACCACAGAAGGACATTCTGTAAACCAGATTCATTCCGACACTTTACCCAAATCGGATATAACCCCAAAAGGTCTTCCTGTGAATGATGATCCTGAAGCTATAGACACCAACGAAAGCCAACAGATGAACAATGACAAACACACCTTTAAATTCCCAAGAACAAATCAACAGAAGCCAAATCAGAAGCATTCAGATGGAAACATAACGCCAACTGACGACTTTGTATCTAGCCAAGATGAAATGATGGATGTTTCCCTGAGTGATTTTGATGATAAAGATGATATTCGGCTGATCATGTACAATGGAGGAGATATTGAGAGTCCATGGACACCAATGCCAGCCACGCCCTACATAAGCTACTCCCAGGAGGACGATACACAGGAGGAGGAAAGTCTCCCAGAGGAGGACAGGGTTAGTTCTTCCGTCAGTGAGGGATTGGAGATAATCCCAGATCAAGAAAAGACATTAATTTTGGACCAAGAAAAGGATATGAGTAAAGATCAAGAGAGTGACAGTAGTTCTCATGTTGTACAACTGGAACAGAAGCCAAATATACTTGCTGCTCTTTCTGATGGGAGGCGAAGTTCTTCTGATTTAAATGGCCAGATTCAAACAGAAAACATTGTGTACAATATTTCTTCATCGAATGAACTTAAAGCACAGCTGTCTGAGAAAAACTCCAGTCTCGTGATACCAGAAGTTCCTGTAACCATTAAAGTAGAACCTGTGGAAGATTCCTGTGTTATGGATGCTACGAAGCTTACTCCAAAATCTCACACAGAACAGATACGTCAAGCAGGCATGACTCGGTCTTCATCTGTGGATCAGCTGATGGCACAAAGCCGTGAACTGTCAAAGCCATCCATTTTACGATCCCAATCTGTAGGAGGGGAAAGTAACGTAAGCTTATCAGCATCACATCGGAGACCAAGTATTTCAGAGAATCCTTCACCCTCTGATGCTGCCTTGACAACACCAGCACCCTCTGATGCTGCCTTGACAACACCAGCACCCTCTGATGTTGCCTTGACAACAACAGCAACTGAAACCGCAACATCAGCTTCAGAAAGTGGTACAATAACAGCCAATGTTGATTCATATAGTGCTGCTGAAATCAACAGTATATTGAATTTAGGAACATTGACTCCAGAACAGCATGATTTCTTGACACAAGTGACTAAATTTTTAGAGCAGCTTAGTGTATTGGGCTGTAGTTCAATGAAGGTTCCACTCAAACATGATAAGATCTCTACAGATAACAAAAAGTTCACCAGCTTCGGGTATTTCTCGTTCAAACATCTGACGGACAAAAGCATGATACGTTGCATCGAGTGCAAGGAGTGCTCAGATATTCTGTCACCACGAGAGTTCATTGTGCATCTGTGCGGAAGCGTGCGCCACATGCAGTTTGAAATGGACAAGCTATTACGCACCACCTTCGAATTCTGTATCAGCCATGTTGACAGCTCTGTCTCCGATAAGTGTGCCAGAGCACTTCTCATCATGATCTTCAAACTGGAAAGAAGTATATACAGGTAAAAAACAATTCCTATTTCTGCTTACATGTATTTAATAGGATATGGAGCAGGAACATTCCCAAACCTAAACATTTGCTCTTAATGCTTCTCATGTTTATCAACACAAGGGCAAAATATATCCCTTTTCACTATAACATAAGAACACAAGTGATGAATAGAGCACCTGTATTTAGACTTATATTACACTTAACCTAGTATTTTGACAATTTTCCCAGCTGGGCAGAGACATGAAGAGCCCTCTTTTTAATCATTCCACTCATAAATGGAATTTCTCATTAATAATGACAAGTTCAGAAAGTTATATATTCGTGAACAAATCTGAAATTTTATAAGCATTGAAGTTATCTATTCATAGAATTCCAAGTGTGCCCTTATTAGAGAAGTCAACCACAGTCTTAGATAGGACTATTCCAATATTCATTATGATATTTAAGATAGGCAGGGGCTTTGCATTGTGTTTGGAAATTGAAAGCTCTGAATTCTCTCGGGAGTATGTATTGTGCAACCACCAGTGATAAGAAAGGGCAGAAGCAGTGTGCAAATTCACAGCTTAAACTCTATAAATGTCTCGCTATACAATCAAATTTTGGACTATGATCTTTGAAAAGAGGGCTACTAATATACCTGTTACTAATAGCCCTGATATGATTTATTTTACTTTTAGTGACTAATAGGGAATCATTTTATATGTATTTGAATATTGTTCTTTTCTAGGTCCTGTCAGGAGAGTTGTCAAACAGCTTTATCTCCAACTGCTGAGACAAGTATGCCCGTTAGTCCTCTGACTGCTCCATCATCAACAAAAAACCTGTCTGCTCCGGAAACTCCCTCATCTCCTATGACCGTGGAAAAAGAGCAACCATCGTTTGGTGGTGCTTCATCTCTTGTGAACTTCTTGACACCAGATCCTCCTCCAACTACGACCCAGTCTACTTCTTCAGCGCCGTCAACACCACAGGGAAACAGCCTTCCAACGATACACGCGATAGATGAAACCATATCAGCATCTCTAGCACTGGGAGAGTACCTATCAAATATTCAGGGAGTTGGAGGAACTCAACCGAGAAAGGGAATAGATGGGGCTGTAGTAACAACTGCCTTGTCACAGGGTACAGGACAGCATTCATCGACCACACAAGTTAGTGGACAACCTTTGCCGCACGATGGACCGAAATCTGTTGCTCCATCATCAGTCGGTATTGGACAACCCCTTACAGCACCTACAAATAGCTACCGCTCTCCAGAAATGGAACAAATGTTGCAATGTATGCACCAGTCTTCATCTCTGAAAAGAAATTCACGGCAGTCATTCACAAATGTTGACAACTTGCTTCCAGGATCAACTCTCCCTCGAGCTCGCAGACTTTCAAAAAACGGGATGGAAGATCAAAGGTCACAGTACGGCCAGAGTAGAGTTGAGAATCCTGAAACTTTTAGTCAAGTTTCATTTCCCGAATCCAGAGTGTACAAACCATCTGCAGATCAGACGTACCAGGGATCTGGTGCAAGGGACCGGACGAGACGGGGACACCAGTTGGAAGCCCTAATACTCCCGGAGACTGGCATCCCATCACAGTCCTGGCCAGGCAGCAATGTGATGCCTTCCACATGTTCTCGAACATCTTTTTATCAAGGAGGACAACTTTCTTCTATGTCCAGTGTTCATAGCAGAACACTGGAAAACGTAAACCCAGAAAATCTACATGCATCAAACCCTTTCCAAACCGGTTCTTATTCTGCTGGGCAAATGCCCAACCATAGCAGTGGTCGGTACCAGGCCAACAACACAAGTGCTAGGTTGACCACAGGCGAACCGCAGGGTATCTCCAGACATGCTGGTTATATGAGACCTCAGCTGAATAATGGACCCAATACAAGTACAATACCATTTGGACCTAGTGGTAATTTTGGATCCTTTAACAGAATGGGTGCACAGACTTCTATACCATTCCAGGGTAGTGTTAATAACATGGGTTCACATGGTATTCTAGGACCACAGTGTAATAATACCACAGCTTTGCCTGGTAATTTTTCACATACAGGTACGACGGGGCAGTTTAGAAATGCTGTAGGTCCACATGGTATTGTAGGCCCTCAAAATACTTTACCTCCGAACATGCTAGGACCACAGTGTAGCAATATCTCAGGACCACAAAGTACTTTAGGTCCAAACAGTTCTTTACCGCAGAGTATGTTAGGTCCACAGCCGAGTAATACCATAGGACCGCAAAGTACATTAGACCCTCATTGCACTTCTTCAACCACGCAGAGGACATCGGGTGTAAACAGTGCCTCTGGACCACAACAACCATCTTCTGGTGCCCAGTCTAATGAAGCCATCAACAGTTCTGAAAACCATGACAGATTCTCCCCCAGTGTGCAAGACAGGTTTTGGGTTTCACTCGGTGATAAGATACAAAGTGAAGCAGGTAAAATATTCATTATATTTGGCTAGGTTTTTATTTTGCAACAATTACTGTATACCGATAAACTTCCGCCCAGTCAAATATTTGCCGTTTGCCAATAAAATCCATATATGAAGAACATTAACTTGTTCACCCCTGAAATTTCTTAATGGACTGTTCCAACCATTGAATTGGAAGAGTTCATATGTGTCTTTCAGGGGTTGAGTACTAGTTCATGAGAGTAAAGAATAGTACACTACATGCAATATATGGTAATTACATGTGAAGGGCAAAATTAACAGTGGGGGAACATGGAATTTATATGCAAAGGGCAAATATTTTGACAAATTTTGGAGAGCGAAAAAAGCAATAATTAAACGGCGACGAAAAAATCCTGGTGTACAGTATTTTGGCAGTTATTAAATGTTCTTTTTGCAATTTTCAAAAGAAAAGTTGAAATGAGTCCTTGCATATTTGTAATGCAGGAATATCTTGAATTTTGGGAAGCTAGACAGCCTAGCTATAATTCACATGCTCCTCAAACCATGGTACTCTTGAAGAGATTTTGTTATATTTCTAGCAATACTTTGGTATCACAATGATTGAAAACATGTCCCAGGAATACCTAAACGTCCTGATCAGATAGATTGCTAATGAGAGTGGTTCAATATTTACAGATGCCCATCAGATGTTCGTTATGGGCCAGATGATGCAGAGGAAGGCTGTGGAATGGTTCCGTGACACACTTCAACAAACTAGAGGTAATTAGGTTAGGTCAAGATGCATAGAGACATTTTCTCACTATCACTGTATACTGCAGTCAACTTAATTTTCCCTAGATGGACCTTTTTATATGCCTACTCAGAACTAGGTCAAATCTTACAATTGGCATTTTCAGCACTTTTGAACCTTACTTAAATATCTTGGCTTGGTTTGGGATAGGGGGGGTGGGGGGGGTGATATAGGCAAAAGGAGACTATCCTTAAAACAAAGCGCCTTATCCCTTGTTAGTGAAGTAAATATATGAATTTCAAATTCATTTTCAAGAAATAATTTGACTTTCAGGAGTAATAATTAGAAGTTGTTTTTTTTCTTTTGATTTTTTTCCTTAATAATTCAAAACATTTTGTTAAAAAAGGCATCAGAATGGGACTAAGAAGCAGACTTTTTACTTTATCTAAAGATAAAAAAAAGATACCTGGAAGAAATGTATTCTGTATACTGGACCCAAACATGGCGGATGGAAAGTGTGCTTAAAGGCAGGGGTGTTCATGCGTGAAGTTGTCTATTTTTGATAGTTCAATAAAAAGGTTTTGTTTTTAAATGTTTTTCAGTTACCATGGAGAAAATGGACAAAGAGCATAAAGAGGAGATACGAAAAAGGAAAGAAAGTGAAGAGCAAGTCAAAAACAGATTCATCATGTTCAAATCTCTTGTTGGTAAGATCTCCATGAACCCTTTACCTTGCAGTTTCAAATTATCAAATTACCAGAAATGATCTAAAGGGGGTGGAAGCTAGTCATTGATTTGTTTAACCAAGTCTCATAAGTTTAAAGTCTGTTGTCAAATGTAACACTTGACTTGAGAAACTATTAAGTAAAAATGAAAAAATTTCAATCAATTGAGAAAAATATAACTGTAATATCTTTGTTTTCAAACATAAAATTATCGTTTTTAATAGATTATAGGCTGCACAGTAGACAAATATGAGCATTAACTAAATTATGATAATTTTGGTAGTCAATGCTGAAAGGCTCAAATTCAAGTTCTTGTGTCAATGTCTTCTCATGTCTATTAGAAGTGGAGAACTTGACATTGATTAAGCTTAAAAATCTTGTGTGATTTATTGTAAATTTCCTTCTTTTTTCTTCTCAGAAACCTATACCAAGAAACCATCATGACATCAGCAGAATTAGATCAGTTTAAATGGTATTGATTTCAAAATCAAGTGACGTGCAAACAGACACGAGAGCTGATTTTTGGGAGAGATTTAAGGAGCAGACGGTCATCAGGCATAGTGTGGATACAACCAAGAACAACATTTACCTGTTGTTGTGCAGAAAATCTGAAGACAGATTTCACCTGTCAGGCTGGTGTTTTGTGGACAGATCTGAGGACAGATATTTACCAGGTATTGTGTGAGGACAATTGAGCATAGAATTTTACCCGATGGTGTGTTTAGGCATCTGTGGACAAATGATTACCTGGTGTTGTGGAGACATCTAAGGGTAGATTTACCTGGTGTCTTGTAGACGTGTGAGGACAGATGTTTACCTGGTGTCCTGTGGAGTCATCCGAGGACAGATATTTACCTGGTGTAATGTGGAGACATCTGAGGACATATTTATCTGGTGTCCTGTGGAGACATCCGCGGACAGATATTTACCTGGTGACCTGTGGAGACATCCGCGGACAGATGTTTACCTGGTGACCTGTGGAGACATCCGAGGACAGATATTGACCTGGTGTCCGGTGGAGACATCTGAGGACATATTTATCTGGTGTCCTTTGGAGACATCTGAGGACAGATATTTACCTGGTGTAATGTGGAGACATCTGAGGACAGATATTTACCTGGTGTAATGTGGAGACATGTGAGGACAGATGTTTATCTGGTGTCCTGTGGAGACATCCGAGGACATATATTTACCTGGTGTCCTGTGGAGACATCCGAGGACTGATGTTTACCTGGTGTCCTGTGGAGACATGTGAGGACAGATGTTTATCTGGTGTAATGTGGAGACATCTGAGGACAGATATTCACCTGGTGGCCTGTGGAGACATGTGAGGACATGTTTACCTGGTGTCCTGTGGAGACATGTGAGGACAGATGTTTACCTGGTTTCCTGTGGAGACATGTGAGGACAGATGTTTACCTGGTTTCCTGTGGAGACATGTGAAGACAGATGTTTATCTGGTGGCCTGTGGAGACATCCGAGGACAGATATTTACCTGGTGGCCTGTGGAGACATCCGAGGACAGATATTTACCTGGTGTCCTGTGGAGCCATCCGAGGACAGATATTTACCTTGTGTCCTGTGTAGACATGTAAGGACAGATATTTACCTGGTGGCCTGTGGAGACATCCAAGGACAGATATTTACCTTGTGTCCTGTGTAGACATGTAAGGACAGATATTTACCTGGTGGCCTGTGGAGCCATCCGAGGACAGATATTTACCTTGTGTCCTGTGTAGACATGTAAGGACAGATATTTACCTGGTGGCCTGTGGAGACATCCAAGGACAGATATTTACCTTGTGTCCTGTGTAGACATGTAAGGACAGATATTTACCTGGTGGCCTGTGGAGCCATCCGAGGACAGATATTTACCTTGTGTCCTGTGTAGACATGTAAGGACAGATATTTACCTGGTGGCCTGTGGAGACATCCAAGGACAGATATTTACCTTGTGTCCTGTGTAGACATGTAAGGACAGATATTTACCTGGTGGCCTGTGGAGCCATCCGAGGACAGATATTTACCTTGTGTCCTGTGTAGACATGTAAGGACAGATATTTACCTGGTGGCCTGTGGAGACATCCAAGGACAGATATTTACCTTGTGTCCTGTGTAGACATGTAAGGACAGATATTTACCTGGTGGCCTGTGGAGCCATCCGAGGACAGATATTTACCTTGTGTCCTGTGTAGACATGTAAGGACAGATATTTACCTGGTGGCCTGTGGAGACATCCAAGGACAAGTCAATCTGGTGTTATTCAGAGATTTGAAGAAAAGTTGATTGGTCAGCTATTGTTTGGAGACAATGGAGCATAGATGTTTACCAGAGTATGTGTAAAGACACCTGATGGCATCTATAACTGGTGATGTGTGTGTAGTTATATCTGAGGACTGTCATTCATCGGGTGTTGTGAGGAAGAGTAGAAGTGATATTTTTGATCTCAAAATATCAATATCAGCAGTGCTAAAAAATTGTCAAATGTAGATATAGACTATTGACAATAGAGGAATCTTGTCACGATTTCTTAGGGCCATGCTATAGTCTCACCTTTGAAATATGCCGACATATGCTGTGACGCCATAGATTTTACTTGTCAGACTGGTTACTACATGTATATATGGTAAATACAGTGTAGATACTCAAAAACTTTGTGCCAAAAGGTTTGTAAGTACTTATTTACAGTGATAAGTGTAACAAAAGGTTTGTAAGTACTTATTTACAGTGATAAGTGTAACAAAATGTTTCATTGAATGCAGTATGTCCTACTTATTGTGGTTATTCAGTTTCTAAGATTGTGAACTAAACATTGAACCATTTAATACACTCGCGAGTTGTCCCCATGAAAAACAGAGACATAGAAATTTACATATCACATTACATCTACATGTGAGGAAAACTGACGTTTTGACTAGATTTTGTTATTCAATAACTATCAGTTCGTTGAATTATTTTCCTGGGGCAACTTGTCAAAAGTATAACAAAATAATTGAAGAATTTTAAATTAGGTTTATGGATGTTTTGTTCAACATTTCAGAAATCAAGAAACCAAATTAATATGGACAGACTAGTATGATCTATCACCATCATTGCTCAGTGTGATTGCAATTGTGCAAGACATCAAAAAGTTTAGTCCCAAAGTTTACTTCTTACTGTTATATACTAAAAACACACTTGTGTTTCTTGTCATCCTACCTTTACCCTTAATGTTGGGGCTTACCATGCAACTTGATTTTACACAAGCTGTAAGCACTGATCAATAAGTCAGGATATCAGATGTAAAAATTGCTGTTTTGGGTTATTTTTTCCCCCCAGATATTCAAATGATTGGAAACACAATTGCAAGTATATTTTGTTTGGATTCGTGTTCATATATCAATTCAAGAGGAAGACTAATAATATTAGTTCAGATTTTGCAATACTGTTCTTAAAGGTTGTATTAATAAAACTATTAACTGTTCTTTTAATACTTTAAACAGTTGTTGGTTGAATGGCAATACATTTTTCTTTAAAATGGTTTCAGTCGAGTGCTGGTGACTTATGAAAAAGTTAATTAATAAATTTTCAAAATAGTATCAAATAGTTGAATTTACTGTTATAAAGTTAATGAAATTTAAAGTACAATGTAAATAGAAAAAAAATGATTTGTTTTTTTGAAAGGTTGTTTGTCATGCTTATTGATATTATGATGCGCAAATGCAAACATCAACAGAACAAAAAGCATGTGTTTACAGAGAAGAACTGATATGTACAGGGTATGTCCTTCGTATCGGAGTTATTTTTTTTAATATTTTTTTTACCTTGAAATACTCATGTCTGACACGTAACCTCAACTGTATGTGTACTTGTTAATTTATTTATGACCTTGTATATTTGTGCCTTAAAATGTATCTCTGTATTGGTTGGTAGTACTGCTGCAGGTCAGAGATAATGTCACATAATATACGTTAATCAAATGCATCTCTGCTTGCAGTTGAGACTTCAGCTCATGTAGACATTTTTGAGATATTAGTTACAGTTGAACAAATTCAAATCATGTTCCTGTAAATTGTTGTATTTTTTTTCCAGGGCACTCCACAGATTTTACAGGATTTTGCCATTCTGATTCATCGATGTCAGAATTATGAAGTTGTTATTGGTGCTATATGATTAAATGTAAATCTAGCCTACTCCACTGCCATTTCCAGGAGAAATTAGTTATGTGCCTTCATCAATAACCCATACAGCATTTGGGTTATTTATTACTTAAGTAGGTCTCTCAAATCGTACATCTTAAAGCTAGCATTATTAGTTATTAAGTCAGCTATTGACCTGCAGAACTATGGCCAGTTAGTAAGATTCATAATGGCGAAGGCATTTGCCTGCTATTTGTCTTACTGACTCTAAGTGTACAGTTCTACAGTAAACCAGCAACTCGCTTATTGCATTAAGGATAACCTGCTCATCTATTTTACTTATCAAATCTCATGGATCTCAGTTCAAAATTGTCATTAAACTGGAAGATGATTTGGCTGTCAATGACCTCGTTAAATAGTGAGGTCATATACACTGCATCTCAAAACCAATGATTTTTCGACATCCTTGTTCGAGGTGCAATAATTACCATAGGTGTTCATTAAGTAGTAAGAAAATACATAAATTATAAACAGCATCAATGTCCTAAGAATAAGGTTTCCGTACACCTGACCCTATGAAGTTGTAACAGAACATGCTTATAACATTAAAAAACCCAGTCACATCTATTGTGTAAAGATGTATCGTTATCTTGGCCATACATTCCGATAATAGAAATTAACCCCGTACATTTTAGGCGATCAGGTTGAGTAGCATTGATATTTTTATGAGTTTATTGGTTGTATGTTCAAATCAGCGATTGCATAAACAATTTCTAGCTTTAAATTGTGTCTTGTAAAGTTTTCTACGGTTGTAGGAAATTATCAATGTATTTTACCGATGCATAAGCTAATTATTTAATGGTAGCGAACAAATAAAAACCCAATACTGGTACTGAGCTTGATACCTATAGATATGTGTGTGCATGATTTTTGACTTTCAGAAATGTTAACGTGTTTAAATACAATCCTGACAAAATGGCGGTTGGCCTCATTTGAAGCATAGGCATACCTATTTCCAGTAAAAAACACAATCAACGCTGAAATGGTCCAAGTGAGGACATATTGTTTAGTGTTGAGTATTTGCACTTGATTTGCATCATACAAGATTTTAGTTTTGTAAATTAAGTCATTAATATAGTGTTAATGATTTTATCCAGAACTGTATTTTGTAGTTTTTATGCAGAAAAGTTGGATCATGTGAAGTGCTTTCGTTTGAACTAGATTAAGTATCAGGCAAAACTTTAGTTGGATTTAGTGTTTCTCAGATGAAACAAACCCCTGGTATCGCATTGTACTGCCTACCTAAACTTTCTGTTGTCATGAAAACACTTTATTAAATATAAGTGGAATTAAGAAATATTCTGTATTCTATAATATTAAACTATTACTTTTTCCAGACTACAAATGTCAAATTATTTTCAATACACTATTTGAATTATCTGGAAGAAGTGGGTGGGAATCATGTTGAGGAAACATCTCTTGTATGGTTTTTTATCTGGCAGCTGTATGTTTATCAACATACTATTTGACAATTTTGTTACAATTTACACTAACAGATCTATAGTCATTATGTTATTGGGTAGTCTCCCCTTTTCCGATTCATTCATTACTATGTCCAATGTTTCTGCCTTTATGATCTGCTAACTTTTCAGGTTGATGAAATAGTATTTTTTCAATAAATGTGTAATAATTTACCAGTTTTGAAATGTGTTTTTTTATGAATGAATGTGTGCATGAACAACTATAATTTTATAACAATCTGTCCGCCATTTGCTTTCATCATTAGATGTTGCCTTATTTTGATACGCTCGATATCTCATGTAATATTCAATGGAATAACTTCAAACTGTTAAGGAAGGTTAATTACTGCGAGAGCTCAAAAAAGTTTGATAACCACCATTATCTGACAGTAATTTACTGAGCTATGATGTCCCTTTAAACAATTGCTGAAAAAGTGTCCGCTTAATAGCTAGAGTAATTTTCTATGAATTTACTTCAAACTTCATAGGAAGATTAATTACCACGAGAGCTCAAAAAAGTTGGATAACCACCCCTATTAAACCGTAATTTATGGAGCTGTGCCCCCTGATCAATGGAGTGTATCTGACCATATTTAAGAGACTTATTCCCCTTGGTTTCGTTAATGCAATACTTCATGCATTCTTAGATCTACCAGACAAGCATCCCTCCACCCCGATATGTTGAATGATTTCTCATTAAACATCAGTTACACAATACTTCATACATCCATCGTGCGACAGGCGTACTATATTCCGTCTTTGCGTATTGCAGAGTTATCTTCTCTTTAGAGCAGGTGTTGATTGTTACGTCAATGGTTTGTGTGAGAAAATTACGTCGTTTTCTCAAAAATTGATGACGTTACTCTCACAAACAAGTGACATAACAATCAATACCTGCTCCCAAGAGAAGGTAACTCTGCAATACGCAAAGATGGAATAGCACTTTGCCTTAATCTTGTTAAACATTTGGGCAACTCATGCTTTAATGCTACTCCATTTGATCAGTAAATTACCTGTAAGAAGGGTGAGAGTTTTGGGTGCTCGGTCAGTGCCAATTGAACAGGCCTTTGTGGACTTTTGTTGCCATAGCTAGGTCACTCTCCCTTATTGGAACTTCAAGACAATTTGTTTTTGCACTTTTTCGAGATTGCCATCAATAATACACGAAAAAATTCACCTCAGATTGTTGTCATGAAATTATCCATTCCAGCAAAATTAAGATAATTTATTTGAATACCCATGTTTTATACCCCACTGCATCTGGAATTTATTGTTGCTGTGAAAAAATAAAAACACAAGCAACATGGCAGATTTACATCCGATGTAAGGTAATGATTTATGATTTTGAGGATCATTATGTAGTAATGTACATAATATGACATCAAAAAGTTTCCAAAATCAAAAAATAATATTTGTTTGGAGTCTTGGCTTCCTAGAAACAACAAACTAAATTTTTCCAGATTTAATTAAATTGTTTTAAAGTTTATTGTATGCATATTAAATACATGTAAATAAAAGTAAACATCACAGTCTTGACGAAATGTCAAACTTTCTTGATTTAACAAACAAATCACAGTCTTTTGCTCACATGAAAAAACACTCACTGGTAATGAAAAAATATTGCCTATAATAATAATGTATCTCCTGCATACTATCCAAAATTTCATACATACAACATCGGTGCAATGTTTCTTAGATTCACAATGCGAAAGCACAAGTGATAAAACATGACCATTTCATATACATTATACATATATTCAGAAACATTTTATAAAAATATGGTAAATCCCATAGAAATATACAAATAACAAAATGCTTATCACAGACTTTCTGTATACAATTTTGTTTGTCAATGCGGGGAGGTTGATGTTTCCGGAAAAATGCCATCCATCATGCCCTCATAACCAAGGCATAGAAACTTAAAAATTTATGATATTTCGGGAATTGTATCATTTCATTCAACAAGCACTTGTCTTACTTCTTGTGTTTTCCAATAGTTTGTGAATTATTCAGCTTTCGATTTTCTGTTACAGTTGCATACAATAAACCATTTAATATAGATAATGAGGAAGGAGTACAATACTGAAATAATTAAAGGAAGGTGGGGTGAGGGGGGTGACTATTCACTGTACTATGTTATTAATTGCATACTTAAACATATCAAGGTTGAAGTTAAATATTAGGTACAATAACACATGCTTCAACTGGACATTAATGGCTACACTCCAGGAATTTTTTTCCAATCAAAACATGCATACCAACCACGAAAATAATTTATGAGTAAGAAACTGCATTGAAAATTATAAAATGCATAAAAAAACATTAACAATGATCCCTTTTTGATGAAATAATATTTTGGTTTGGTTTGTTTGTGTTTTACGTCCTATTAACAGCTATGGTCATTTAAGGACGCGCCAGGTTTTGGTGGTGTAGGAAAGCCGGGGTTCCTGGAGAAAGACCTACGGCCAGTACCTGGCGACTGCCCCATGTAGGTCTCGAACCCGCGACCCAGTGTTGGAGGGCTAGTGGCTGCAGAATGTCAGACGCCTTAATCACTTGGCCACCAAGGCCCCTAGAAATAATAGTGGAAAGGTCATACTTTCTAATGCAGCTAATTAATGAATGAATTCATTTTGACCGTGATGTGGAGAATTGCGTCAATTTCAAAAAATCAGGAATGACGCTGACAAATCGGATGACTACCTCAAAACAGAATAACTGTAGAGTATGAGTTAGTGTTGTGTAGCTTGTGAAAAAATTAAAAGTGGACTAATTTTACCATATCTGTAGTGTGTAAAGACATATGACTAAAAAAGTATGTACAAATTTATGTTTTGCATAAAAATGTTGGTCTTCCAAAATAAAATCTCTTGTTGATCACATCTTGAGCTCAATGGAGGTATTAAATAATGTACAAAATATACAATTAAATGGGTCATGTCTTGAGCATAAGATAACATCAATTTTAGTTGTTTTAAATTTGAGTACATGTATCTAAAAACAAGAGAAAACAAACACTAAATGGATCAACCCTCTGACCTTTTACACTGCCAATACTTCTGTTTACCAATGTTGCTATACAGGAATTATAAATGCTTAGCATCAAAATGAGAGATGAACACCTTGACAAGGGAAGTAACTCTAAACCAGAAAAAATCCTTGTTGCTCAATCTTCTGAAAGTATGGGATTAAGTCGAAGCAGCAGTACCCTTTAGCTTAATACTACGCCATATTTAGAAACAGACATTATTTCACATATTTCACATATAAACATATAAGAAAGCTCATTCAAAACGCTTTAGCAATTCCTTTCTGTTAAGAATCCTGGGTAATAACACTTCTGAAATCTGTAACTTATGCTTGGGACACTCTTTTTTTCTTGCCTAACTTTATAGGTTTCATAAATACTTTTGAAAAGAAAACTATACTTCGCAAGATTTTAAGACAAAAATAATAGAGATGACATAATTTTTTTCTAAACTATGCTATTCTGATTGTCAAAATATAACGGATTTGAACCCTGGTCCCTAGGTCATTACACTCACTCCATCAACTGAGCTACCTGGGCAGTAGCACAACAGTTATAGCCAAAACAAAATCAATGGCAGGTTAATACATGTATGAAAACTACGGCCGAATTTAATTCTCTAGTGTTTAACCAGCAGTGGGCTGGATCAATCTGTACTTTCATTCACACAATTTCTATGAAGGGCAGATAACTCATATCTTGATCAGTGAAGCACTGTAGTTGAGGATAAGGTTAACTTGTTCTGATGGAAGATTCATGAAACTCAAGGTATTCACAACATCTGCTATATTCTTGCTCATGTAGGTTAAACATACTAGTTCACACTCTCCTGTAAATAAAAAGATAAAAATATATGAATATATTATCCATCGAAAAAAACAAATGCCTTATAGTGTATAATACAATCGTAAGGTCCTGTAAATCACTTTTGAGTCTGCCTCATGATGAGTGTAAATTTTTACTGTGAATTATATCAAATGGGAAATAAAGCAATGTCAGCTCAAGATAGACTCGGACAATTTTGTGATATTAGGGTCAGGGTCTTCATAATTAAAACAGAAATGATAAATGACAATTTTAAATTGGACAATTCTCAACAATCACCAAATGTTTCTATGAACGCCTAAGATGTGAAGCTATAACATGATGAGTGTTGATATCACTACCGGAAGTATTTATCGGATTCATCCTGCTGATGTTCTTGTTGGAAATTTACACACTACAGTATTCTAAAAACTATTTATGATTTTGTAAATCTGACAATGCAAGTTTACGAACCTGCAAAGTTATGCTCCTTTTGAAATGTTCATAGTTCCTGGAAACTTGTTTACACTGATAATTCAAGTTAAGGACCACCACATAACATAATGGTCCTCATCTAGACATCCCCTTACAGACAGGGAGTACAATATCAGATACCATTGCTGTGATATTACAAAATGACTGTCCCTCTGTCATCATAAAGCTATCAGACCTGCATGTGGTCAGACTACAGAGTTAAACAGGGACCACAAACAGCTAACATGCAGTGTGTCATGCCTTGGGTAGTACATGTATCTGCTGGTCAGGACCCAGATCTGTCTCACAGGGGGAAGATAATGGCTAGGGACCACGAACAGCTGATATCCTACCAGACAGGACTCAGACATTTCTCACAGGGGAAGATAATGGCTAGGGACCACAAACAGCTGATATTCTACAGGTCAGCCCCAGACATGTCTCACAGGGGAAGATAATGGCTAGGGACCACGAACAGCTGATATCCTACAGGTTAGCCCCAGACATGTCTCACAGGGGGAAGATAATGGTTAGGGACCACAAACAGCTGATATTCTACCAGTCAGGACCCAGACATATCTCACAGGGGAAGAGAATGGCTAGGGACCACTAACAGCTGATATTCTACCAGTCAGGATCCAGACATTTCTCACAGGGGAAGATAATGGCTAGGGACCACAAACAGCTGATATTCTACAGGTCAGCCCCAGACATGTCTCACAGGGGAAGATAATGGTTAGGGACCATGAACAGCTGATATCCTACAGGTTAGCTCCAGACATGTCCCACAGGGGAAGATAATGGCTAGGGACCACAAACAGCTGATATTCTACCAGTCAGATCCCAGACATATCTCACAGGGGGAAGATAATCGCTAGGGACCACAAACAGCTGATATCCTACAAGTCAGAACCCAGACCTGTCTCACAGGGGAAGATAATGGCTAGGGACCACGAACAGCTGATATCCTACCAGTCAGGTCCCAGATCTGTCTCACAGGGGGAAGATAATGGCTAGGGACCATGAACAGCTGATATCCTACCAGTCAGGACCCAGATCTGTCTCACAGGGGGAAGATAATGGCTAGAGACCACAAACAGCTGATATCCTACCAGTCAGGACCCAGATCTGTCTCACAGGGGAAGATAATGGCTAGGGACCATGAACAGCTGATATCCTACCAGTCAGGACCCAGATCTGTCTCACAGGGGAAGATAATGGCTAGGGACCATGAACAGCTGATATCCTACCAGTCAGGACCCAGATCTGTCTCACAGGGGAAGATAATGGCTAGGGACCATGAACAGCTGATATCCTACCAGTCAGGACCCAGATCTGTCTCACAGGGGAAGATAATGGCTAGGGACCATGAACAGCTGATATCCTACCAGTCAGGACCCAGATCTGTCTCACAGGGGAAGATAATGGCTAGGGACCATGAACAGCTGATATCCTACCAGTCAGGACCCAGATCTGTCTCACAGGGGAAGATAATGGCTAGGGACCATGAACAGCTGATATCCTACCAGTCAGGACCCAGATCTGTCTCACAGGGGAAGATAATGGCTAGGGACCATGAACAGCTGATATCCTACCAGTCAGGACCCAGATCTGTCTCACAGGGGAAGATAATGGCTAGGGACCATGAACAGCTGATATCCTACCAGTCAGGACCCAGATCTGTCTCACAGGGGAAGATAATGGCTAGGGACCATGAACAGCTGATATCCTACCAGTCAGGACCCAGATCTGTCTCACAGGGGAAGATAATGGCTAGGGACCATGAACAGCTGATATCCTACCAGTCAGGACCCAGATCTGTCTCACAGGGGAAGATAATGGCTAGGGACCATGAACAGCTGATATCCTACCAGTCAGGACCCAGATCTGTCTCACAGGGGAAGATAATGGCTAGGGACCATGAACAGCTGATATCCTACCAGTCAGGACCCAGATCTGTCTCACAGGGGAAGATAATGGCTAGGGACCATGAACAGCTGATATCCTACCAGTCAGGACCCAGATCTGTCTCACAGGGGGAAGATAATGGCTAGGGACCATGAACAGCTGATATTCTACCAGTCATCTTAAATTTAAATCGTGGTCTCATCTATATATGTGGACTTAGATGTGAATATAGAGGCAGATATGCCTGCGTTCAGAATAAACTAAGTTAAAGATATGTATAATTAGGCCTATATAAATATCCCCTAAGTATAGGAGAAGAAGTAAGAAATAGCAGGGAAACTATTGTTATGTGTAACTTTACTTTTATAGCATTAACTAAATCAAAATGTTTTTGTAAAAATGAATGTTATTAGTATACCTGTGTATTTTACGCACCCCCCACTTTGGGTATTAAATTTCGGAAAAAAAGGTGCGCAAATTACATGGGTTTTTATGGTACTACTGATCTTGGTTATCTCAAATATTTCTGTAAGATATATACTAATCATGTGGACTGATTATTTTTTCCATATCACTCTTTAGGATCACAGTGCACATGTGGTTCACAACAAGGTAGTTTCATGGATGAGTGGAAAGTGTGATGCTATTAGGAATCCAGGGTGAGCATAATTATTTGTGCATGTGATTTACCTGGTACTAGAAATAGTGAAAAGGTATAGAAACGCATCATCAGATTTTGTTTAATTTTACACCATTCCTAAATCTTATTATCAAATATGTTTTGGCTTTATAACAAAGAAAATTCTAAGGAACTGACTATTTACTTCTTAGATTCATGTTAATGAACAAGCATATTATCCTATCGGGAACCATCTGCACTTTCAGTGAATGAGCCGAAAAGTGCTGGCAGTTCCCGATTGGCTGCAGCTAATTGTTTAGCAAAAATATTTGTCTGCCCATAATATTGCAATTGCAATACATTCAATGGTGTCTGTAGGTGATGATGGAACAATATACTCCAATTCTCATTGAGATATCTGTTACAGTTTAAAAAGCACTTCTTCAGAAACAGGAGTTGACCAATTATTACATGACAGTGACAATGGTAATGATGTATTTTAATGGACTTGATGGAACTGGTACTTTTCAATGATAACACTCTACACTCTGTTTTGAAAGGTGTAGCAGACGACATTTTTACCTGTAACTGAGCAGGTAGAATATAACCGCTCTCATTAGCAGTCATGGGTATGATCACTTGACCTGCAGCCCTCAGAACAGAAACACCTCAGGGAAATGATGTTACAGAGCAGAAACACCTCAGGGAAATGATGTTACAGAGCAGAAAGGAAAGAGAGGTAAGATTATGCAGTATCTACAAAGGTTTTACTGGTGTATGTCCACCATCCTTTTGTAACAGGAAAGAGAGATGTGTGCTTTCACAAATTCACAGGGAATTGAACCAGTTCCCTCGAAGGTTCCTTGTCCGCTACTCTACCAAATGAGCTAAAGCGAAAGTCCGTCTAGTGCAAAGTTAGGTTATCGTAATTCTATGTACAATAAAAACCAGCCAAACTTTCATCACTCGCCATGGTGGGCTTCACATCACAACTGTGCAAGTTTTAACACATTCACCCCTGAAATTTCATAATGAGCTATTCCAACCTTTGAATTGGAAGGGTTAAAATGGGTCTTCAGGGGTGAATAAGTTAAATCACAATTGTAGGGGCCTTGGTATGTTACAGTTGTGTGGGCTTTAAATCAAACTTGTGGGCACATTTTTATTGATTGAGTATATTCTACCTAAAGTACACTTTTCCTGTATCCATGCATAGAAAGTTCATGGCTCTGGTACAGCCCTATCAGCACTAAGCATTGGTATCACCCAATACATCTTACTCTACATATTATTTCAAATTTTTTAATTAATGAAAATGGAACAAATGATGATACTGAAAACGCCTTTTGAATAAGAAAAGAAAGTGAGAATTACACAGTATATATGAATTTCAATAAAAATGAAATAACAGTTTCACCTGTAAGAATAATGAGACAGTCTGGAGGAGGTGAAGTTTGTTAAATCTGCAGTTTTGTGGTCATCATCTGGATGAGTTCAATAACATTCTCCTGGTGTAGTGTCATAAAGCTCTCCGTCCTTACAACCTCCGACATATTGCATCGCATGAACTCCGTACAAACTGTCTTTAAATCATCTATAAACAAACATTCTCCTTGTTAACAACAAATTTACAGACTGCAGTAAAATGAACCAAAGGTGTTATACGAGGTATAAGTAGCAGTGAAATTTAATTTAAATGAAAAATAACAGACTATGTAATGAAGAACCCGTGTCACATAAGATTTTCATCGGGGGATGAGTATTTTATACATAAAATACTCATCGGGATAGGTATCTTATGTGGATGAATATTTTATAGGACACCGGAACTGTAGCTTAATATTGATAATGCCTTTAATGACAGAACATGATCAGTAATTGTGTTTTTTAATCATGACATTTGACCTTAGTGGCTGACCATGAACTTTAACCTTAGTTGTTGATTTAAAGTTTTGATTGTGTTTATTAAACCTTTGAAATATCTGTAGGCGCAATTAGTATGAAGTTTGGGAATGGAGTCCTTTACAAGTAGGATAATATTTTGAATTTGACCTTAAATTATGACCTTGACCTTTGAGTGTATATCAAATTATTTTTGAATTGTTCCATTTCAATTATTGCCTATACATACAAAAGATGGTATTATATTTGACTCCTGATTATGTTTTTGACATTTGGGATTTATTTTTTGTATCTGGTCAGGAAGAACACATTCCTATGAAGATTTGATCCACAAAAAGTCAACAATACCCAAACAAAAGCAGTTGAAAATGGCATGTACTGGCTATACCAGAAATTGTGACAGAATAATGCAACTAAAATATCTACAGGTTGAATTTTTGTGTAACAGACTGTTACAAAAGGATTAAAAGCAGTAAAGAATGAAGAACCAAATGAAAAATGAGGATGAAGCAAATTTAGGATCTTCTTGATTTTGATAAATTAACCTAACATTTTGTCAGTCATCCATGTTATTCAAGGATGTAATCATTGAAGCAGAACGCAAGCTTAGTATATTGAAAATCGGAGATCAGATATTTACTATAATATTGTTATGGTCATATACACAAAGTAATAGTAAAAGGTCATTTGTTCATGAAAATAGGGCTGAGTATTTACCTTATAATGTCTGTGTCATGTTCATGAGCTTAGACTTTGGAATCGAACAAGCAAACGAAACTTGAGATTTTGTATTCAAAACAAAAACGTTTTTATTTTTACACATTTTTTTGCATCCTTTATCTGCCCACCTATCTTAACTAAATTAGACAATTTTTTACCCCATACATGCGTTTAGCTGTAATTATTTAGCAGTCAGGTGAAACACGACTGATTTATAGTAGGTGCAATAGGTATTAATGTTTTTTACAATCACCACAACTTAGGCTTATGTCAAACATCTTAGTAGTGTTACTCGGTGATAAGGTTAATAAAACAGTTACTCAGAGTTAATTGTCTCGAAACATTTGTTTATTTGGTAGTTTACTTAGAAAAATTGTTAAATATGGTACAAAAATGATTCCATGCTACTTTCCCAACTAGGAAAGAATTTCAGAAATTATATGAATTACTGATTATGTCTATAATCCATGGATGGAAAAGTGCTGATCATACATGTGTTTTAGTCATATCCTGTAAACCATGGAACTCTCGTACCGTACGTACATTGGATGTTCTTTTGCAATTTTGTATGTTTAATTGTTTTGCGAGACATATTTTTATTATCTGCTTGTGTGCTTGAACTTGACTGTTTTAAATGTTTTGCTACATGTGTACAACCACAACAAGAGGCCCTATGGGCCTGAATCGCTCACCTGGTATAAATTTCACACCCAAAACCTTCAACGTGGACAAAGGAAATATTAAGCAGCAGACTAAATATCACCATCATGGGCCTTTTGGTTATCAAGAAGATTCTTTTTTTAAACATTTGATTCCTGTGACTTTGAAAATTGGTTAAGGTTATTTATTTCAACAAAATTTGTCATCACTCAGGGTCCTTCAGGTATTAAGAAGAAATATTTTTAAGTACTGTAGCCTTGAAAGTGGTTCAAGGTCATTCATCTACCAAACTTTGTAGCCCTTCATCTCAGCATGTTACTGGCCAAATACATTTTCATCCTAGACATTTTGCTTATAAAGAAGTTGTTTGAAGAATTTTTTGCACTAGGTTAACATTTTGCACCCCCGACCTTGAAAGTCAGTAATTTGGAGGTTTGGGTTATTCAGAAGAATTTGTTTGAAGATCTTATTAAACATTTGATCCCAGTGAACTTGAAAGTGATTTAAAGTGTGGCCCTTCATCCCAGTATGCTAAATATCATCACCAAGTGCCTTTTGGTAATTCAGAAGAATTTGTTTGAAGATTTTTTTAAACAATTGACCCCAGTGACCTTGAAAGTTGGTCAAAGTCATCGTTTGAACAACATGGTAGCCCTTCATTCCAGTATTCCACTGGCCAAATATCATCACACTGAGTCTTCTGGTTAGGTATTCAGAAGATGTTGTTTGAAGATTTTAACATATTTGACCCCAGTGCAGTGACCTTGAAAGCAAGTCAATGTTATTCAGTTGAACAAGCTTGGTAGCCCTTCATCCAAGTTTACCACTGCCCAAATAACTGTCACCTTAGTCCTATTGGTTATTGACAAGAAGTTGTTTAAAGTAAAAAGTTGACACCAGACGGACAGCTGGATGATGCACAGACAACGAACGCTGAATCATGGCATTAGCTAACTTAGCCTCTCAGGCCAGGAGAACTAAAAAATGTGACAAAAAGCAGCAAATGTTTCATGTTATACAGAATATGCATGGACGCTAAAAATGTTATCTTATTTTTATAGGAAAAAGGAACAAAATTTTGGAGGGAAAAGCATCAGAATGAAAAAGTTTTAACTAAACTTACCCATGGTAGGCAATTTGCTTATAGCAGCCATGTAGATGTCCACAACATTGTTAACACTCAATTTTGAGGCAATCTCACGAACAGTCAGTGCTTGTAAACCATTCAAGTCAAATAGGTCTGCAGCTGTAATTAAAATAAAAAAAATAAAATAAACGTGACTTCAAAAAAAAAAAAATCAAAATGCTGAATACAGTGCACAAGTAAAACCATGTTCTTTATATTTTTGTTGTTGATTTTTTGTTGTTGCACCCACATATTTCAACACCTTTTCTGCATATTTATTTCATTTTCCATAGCATTAAAAGATTGTGCTCAAGTTAACAAAAAATAACACTGTATAAAACAGTAAAATATATTTTTGCCAATCTCTTTGTCTCTCACATAATTTATGGAAATCAAAAATGTTTAGATTAAATTTAAATGCAGAAAGTGACTAAAGAGGAGATGATGAGAATAATTAGATGATCTACAATTGTCTTACCTCTCCATAGGTCTGTTAGTAAGAGGCAGGAGGTGTTGGGTGGGATTTTGTTTGTGTACACAAAATGTAACATAGCTCGGAAAGATTCAGCACTGATGTCACTAAACGTGATGGGTTCCTGAAATACAACCAACATGCCATCATTTATGACGGACAGACTTTTGAATTAATGATACAAGATTTCTTAATACAGCAGATGAGTCTAATGTTTCCATTGGTCCTGATTTTCCCTTCTTTATATCTCACAAGAGTGTAGCGAAAAAACTGTACAGTCGAACATAGTGGTAGTGTCGAGAACATATTCCAGTCCCTATCTTAAAATGTGTGTACATCAATATACCAACACCGTTTCAACACAGACATCATCACATCCTCGGAATTCTAGTTGTTATACTCTATAGCTTATTATTTTCTCTGTACCCCATGAATATGGCATGATGAAATCAAAGGCATGCAGTCAGTTATTTGATTGGTTCCAGGTATATACCTCGCCTGTCTTTTGAAGATAACAGAGGAGTGACACCCAACTTTCCAGCTGGTCAATTTTGCCGTTAGGCTGCAGCGCAATTCTTTTCATGTACATCAAAGAATTAAACTAGTCTACGTGTATTATCTGATAGGTGGCGTACACAGAGTCTAAGTTTCGTCCCGACATAGTGTGCAAAGAAATTAAAAGAGCGTAACAATTTTGAATCTTGAAGATGATTTTAATTGTCAAATGCCTTGATCACTTAAAACTTATCTTCCAACTTTCTGATCCATCTTTGGCTATTGAGTCATCAAAATTTATAACTATTTTATGTATTACAATAAAGCTCTGTAGTATAATGGACATAAAACAAGAGGTTCAAGGGACCTGTAATTCTCACCTGTTACGTACAGCTGGCAAAATGTATTTAAGGATCCCTGTCCCAATGCACTCTTGTTTTCCTAAATACAGTTACCTCCCCTTAACTTATATTTTGATATAAAGTAAAACCTTGTTATACTGCCACCATTTTTCCAGAGATATGTTGGTGTTATGAAGGGGTTTGGCAATACATTGAGGGAAACATATAAAGGGAAAAAAGACCCTTGTCTAGCGAAGATGTCTACAAAGTTGTTCTTACACAATCTGATTAAAATCATCTGTTACATGGCTTCATTGACTTCGTATTTTTCAGGCATAGTACGATGTTAATGAAGCCAATATGTATCAGATGATTTTAATCAGATTGGTTCTTACAGATTATTATAGAATAATTCATTAAAAGTCACGTGTAAAAACTTTTTTGGCACATCGAAGTGACAATTATTAATTTAATCACCTTTTGCAGGACGTCAATTAGGTGATTTCATAACAAATATTACACATTTTTTTAAATATTACAAAATGATGAAAACAACATTTTTACCAGAGAATTTTTTTCCTTGAAGTCACTGGTGAAGAGAACGTTGAAGAACTGCGAACGCACTGACAGAATCGATTTGTGTGCGTAGAATCTTTCTTTACCAACAAGAAACTGGATGTCACTGAATTTCTCGTTGTTGACCAATTTCTCTAAAGCATCTGATAGATCCTCTTGGTCAGGTGCCATGGCTGGAAGATGCATCATGATAACATAATTGTTAAATATGGGATCTCAATGATTTAAAAAAAAATAATCAAGATACACTTTCATATATCTTTCTGTAAATTAAAAGACAGGTATTTATGAAAAGTAAATAACTAATTTGATACTAGAAAAAAAATGAACATGCAGAACACTTTTTTTTTTTCAATGGTGAAATATTCTAAAAATAGTTCTTTAGTGGTACTGTAAGTTTACTCACATCATATATTCCACTTTATATCACATCGCAAATATCACTTTTCAGTTAATATAAAGTTTTCTTGAAAAGTCATTATCCTGCTTTATAACAGGGGTATACATACATTAAACACCCTTGTTGCAGGGAAATACGATTCTTTGTTTCTCTGAGATTAATTTTGTTTCGTGACGGAGAAGCCCGAAATAAACATGATTAATCGAGGATATAGATATTTTTATTTAAGCTGAAATAAAACAATAATCCAATAGTTAAGATGATACCTTTGTTTCCTTCTGTTTCAGTCATTCTGAATTCAGTACAGAGAACGATTGAACAGTCTACCAGTAACGGAGAGGGCGTAATTGGTCTTAATATGCCTTTATTTATTCGAAATATTTATATGTATTTGATACTACAGGTACTAGATATGTTAAACATTTTTCTGGGTTTAGCATTTCATAACTCAAAATGATTTATTTTCAAAATATATTTGGCTGTAATAATTATTCAGGACAGACATGGTTTTAAGATATTCAGGAACTGCAAATTGCTTTTAAGTCTCAATGTCTGAAAAACTAACAGATACTTAAACTACCAGGCTATTGAAAACAAAACTTTCACTTCATTTTTAGATATTGAACACTTACGTAAGTCATATTTTCTCCCCACAATCATAATAGCATCAATTTCGGCCCAAGTTCCACTGGTAGAACAATCCGTTTCTACCCGTAGTTCATCTGTTTGGAACTTTGTTTTCTGTAATATACAAAACAGATAGAGATTCTATTGAAAACTGTGTGTCATTGTAGGATGTACTGTGATAAAAAAAAAAGTTTCAGACTAATCTGATTATTTCTCAAATGAAGTGCAAATTTTTTAGTGCATCACAACACAAAAGAATATGTGAATGGGAAAATCATTTAAAGGTTTCATCTTTGAGAGAAAAAATCATTTATGTCACTACGTCAATATGCATATTTCAGTGGTAACCTTATTTTAGCGGGTTTTCTTTCTGCTTTAAATATTGCACTTGCACTGTACTTATTGAAATTTCTGTACATAGTTTTCTATAGCACAGTGGACGCTCGGGATCAGTGTTTTCAAACGGTTTACCTGTATTTTGAGGTTTAACCATTAAATGATGACACTCAAAATACTTTGCACGACGCATGGGATTAGGGTGCACAGCGAAATTTAACCCCCGCGAAAATGTACTGAATCTGATGTCGTGAAATATTGACCCCGCAAATTTAAAGCGCTATACAGTAGACAGATTTTGATTTTAATTAGTAAATACATACCACTATGTCTGGTTTAAATATACGACTTGTGTGAATATCTTCTGTTTTAGCAGCTGTCCAAATGTTTATCCAAGTTTTATCTGGGCCTCTTGCCTTTATGCATCGCACAGATCCAGCGTGATAAGTCTCATAAATGTGTACCTCGTCTACGTAAACTTTATGTTCAAATCCGACCTGCAAAGAAATAATCAAGTTAACAAATTTATAATGTCATGACATTGAGCTTAACCCTACCAGGTACATTCACCCCTTAAGACACATTTGAACTCTTCAATTTCAAAGGCTGGAATAGTTCATTATGGAATTTCAGGGGTAAATAATAAATTATGCTGGGAAATATTTGTCGCAATGTTAATTTCACCATTTTTGCCCTCTGACATATGGGCAAATAAACTGGTACAAAGCATTCTGTATAGTAAATAAATGTAAAAGGCAAAATTAACTAAGGGCAAAATTAACTAAGGGCAAAATTAACACTAGGTGAAATTAACACTGGGCTATATTTACACTAGGTGAAATTAACACAGGGCGATATTAACACTAGGTGAAATTTACACGGGACGATATTAACACTAGGTGAAATTAACACAGGGCGATATTAAATAAGGGCAAAATGAACAGTAGGCGAAATAAACACAGGGCGATTTATTAACACTAGGTAAAATTAACACAGGGCGATATTAACACTAGGTGAAATTAACACAGGGCGATATTAACACTAGGTGAAATTTACACGGGACGATATTAACACTAGGTGAAATTAACACAGGGCGATATTAAATAAGGGCAAAATGAACAGTAGGCGAAATAAACACAGGGCGATTTATTAACACTAGGTAAAATTAACACAGGGCGATATTAACACTAGGTGAAATTAACACAGGGCGATATTAACACTAGGTGAAATTAACACGGGACGATATTAACACTAGGTGAAATTAACACAGGGCGATATTAAATAAGGGCAAAATGAACAGTAGGCGAAATAAACACAGGGCGATTTATTAACACTAGGTAAAATTAACACAGGGCGATATTAACACTAGGTGAAATTAACACAGGGCGATATTAACACTAGGTGAAATTAACACTAGGCGAAATTAACACAGGGCGATATTAACAAAGGGCAAAATTAACACTGGGTGATATAAACACTGGGTGAATATGGATTATACAGGTGAAGAGAAAAAGTTTGAACAGGCAAAAGTTTCACAATTAACAGTATATTTCTTATGGTGTGTTTATTTTTGCATTAATTCATGAGGAGAAAATATCCTGAATTCTGATCTCTTTTTTATTGCATTTTCAAATCCTCCTGAACATGTAAATTAAAAAATAAATCATAAAAATTTACATTCACCAAAAAATATCAGATAAACATTGTGATGTAATGGAACAGATCTGAATGGGGTTGATATAGCTAGTGACAAGGAAGCTCAATTGGTAAGAGTGTTCATCTAGAGTTCAAAGGTCCCGGGTTCAAATCCCAGTCTGGCTATGTATTTATCTGCTCCTGTTACAGTGGTGCCTGTGACCAACCCTTGTTAAAGCATTGGATGTATGCTTGGTAAGGTAGGACCAAAACCTGGGTTGTATATAGTTCGGGGATGAAGACTTAGGAAAAGGAGGTAGGAATGTAGCAGAACTGTATTGAGTTGATAATTGGCAACCAGGTTGAGCTTAATTAGTTAGAGAATGTAATACCAATCCATGACTGAAATAAGTGTTTAGAAAGTTTCATGGTGTTTCTTATTTTGTCAGCTTTATCAAGTCTACTTAATCTTTACTTACCTCTATAAATTGGTCACCATTACATTCACCCTGGGCCCATGAACCGCGGATATCACCGTACCGTGGGTAAACTTTTGGTGGTCCAATCACACATTTTGCCGCCCAGCTACAATTCAAACACACTTCTTAAAGATCTTATATACTTGGATAACATCCCCCCCACCTTTTTTTTTGTTGTGTCAATATATTTCACCCCTAACCCTTCCACCCCTATGTAACTTTAGTAGACTCTACCATGCATTGATATGGAGGGGTCCATTATGGTCTACAGTGGTGAAAGGGTTAAGGTGTACTGTGCCAGGGGACTAACACATAATATCAGACTTCAAGTGAGGGGTAGGCTTATGATTGGACCATGAAATAACAGTTGATATATCTACTGAACTGTTATAGATGTGGGTTGACTTATTACAAAGAATCTCAAATTTTATTACCAAATAGAATATACTTGAGAAAAGGCCAAAGAAGAAATATTGCTTTTTCCAGTTACCCCATTTATCCTAATTATTTAGTTTTGGCAATTTTCAAGGAAGCAGTGTTTAAGTCAAGATCACTCTGCTATATAAACCTTATATAAAATGATTTAAAAAGAAAAGGCAATTTCAGACATGTAACAGGAAATAAATAGTTTTTTGTTTGTTTTTGTTTTGGCCTAAATTGACTATATATGATTCATACCAGTAACCAATCACTTATTTATATAATATCCCTTCATTATGCATTGTATATATATCATTTAACCTTTATTTTGTTAATTTGCTTGCAGTTCATCATTTTTAACATATTTTTTTTTTATATCAAAATATTATATATAAAAGTGAAACATCTGAAGCAAACTCCAGCAGGACTTTCAGATTGTATACAGTGGACCTGTAGCTAGAGGTCTGGTTCATATACATAGTATGCTGTATTACACAGGGTTTGGTGTAGACAGGTTACACAGCCCATCTGTGGATCCATATCATTTGTCCCAAATGGATTGTTGGGATATTTATATGGGTATTTCCATGTATGAGTATTTATGTCCATCAAATTTTACAATTCAGTGGCAGATCTTGCAAACTATCGGGGTGGGGGGTGTGGGGGGTNGGAAAAATAAAGGAAAATGGTGAAAAAACATGATTTTTAAATAAAATTCTCAGGGTGGGGGAGGTGTTCTTGAAGCCCAAAAACCCCTCTGGATCCACCTCTCCTGATCATATGTTTATTGTAACCCACCCAACTCTGAACAAAATTCATCTATCTTATCTTATGGTTAAACTTACCTAACACCATCATACTCAGAAGAGAAATTGCAGACGCGGTTCACCCACAGTTCACTTTTGTCAATGTCTGCAGGACCCTTTCCTCTGCATTTAGCAGCCATATTTAAAATATAACAAGCTGAAAAGTGATAAGGTTGGACCATTAGGTGGAATAAGAAATTTAGAGGAAAGTCCATTATATAACTGCAGATTAGTTGAAAGTACCCATCATTTTTTACTATCGTGTGACAATTATACCACATTCAGACAAAATACACTCCATCAGTCATAGATATTATTCTTACTGAAAAAACACTTCTATGGGGTAATGATATTTACTCCAAACAAAAAAATGAGGAAATAATTTTGACACTCCAAATTTATATCAAACTAAGTAAACGTTTTAGCTAATATTTGTGTACCAATTGTTTTTAATATATGGCAAGTTATTGTGTTGTATCATTTAATGGTACTCAGTACAATAAGGTGACCTGTACTTATAGACTAGCAATTTATGGCGTCATAAAACATGTCTATTATCATTCTATTCACCACATGTACATGTATATATGTTATCTGTTAAACCTTATTATTATTCATTCCATATTGAAATAAGGTGTTCTCTAGTACCGAAGATTCATTTGCCTTTTGATTTGTTTGGGAAAGGAATTAATATAAGCTCCAAGCTTGTTTTCCCATATTTATATTTGTATTTGTAATATTGTTGACTATTGAATAAAATATTGTTTAAATTAAACTAAGAAAACTGTGGTTCATGTCACGGGCGTAACTACTAGATTTTTCAGTGCACTCGACTTAGACATCACACATACATAATTAGCACCAGCAAGTGTCCCATAGACGTTCGGGTCCCTGTGTATATATACTGGAATGCAGTTTACCTCGAACCCCTGTGTTCCACACATATCGATCAGACCTGCAAAATCGTAGTCGAACTTGAGTTGGACATTACTATAAACTAATGGATGTATTAATTACTTGTCTTGAACAATTAGAATGACGGGTCAAATAATGTTATTTAGATGTCATTATTTCATCTCTCCGTCCTACACATACTTGTCTGGTCTGTCAGATAATTACGTACCGTGTTTACGAGTTGATTTCCCCTTCGATACTGTTAGTACTAGTACTGTCGAGTTAACAATGCGGTTATAGGTCATTTCTATAAATAACGCACTTGTGTATAAACCTGTACGCTACCCAGCGATTGCTTGAGCTGAAGCCTTAATGAACATTGCATGGCTCAGAGACGTCTCTGCCGTTGGGTTAGCTGGTCAGGGGTGCCACAGTAACTGGACACTCATATGATCAATATAGTATTACTACAGACATGTTACGATTATTGGCAAATAACAATAATAATAGAAGAATTCACGCATTATGTATACATAGTATTTGTGTACGATCATGTCCATTATCATTGACCAGTGACGTATATAATACATTAACTTTATACGTCTCTGCATTGACTTATATATATATCACATATTCCATATCATCTATTCGTTATCTCTTTTATTATTTTAACCCCCTTTTTTATTATCTACACACACAATGCGAATGCTTTTAAAATGAACCATTTTATCTTCGCTACTCACATGTTTGTTAAAAAAATAAAAAATAAAATAAAAAAATCACCGTGGCCCTAAATGACCACAGCCGTCGATGGGCCGTTAAACATAAACAAACAAACAAATCATGTCCAGCATTTGCTACATACCTATTACGAAAATAAATCTGGCGCCACATTACAGACGAAATTATCATGTCCTTCATTACAACTGCCATTAATATTTATTTTGTTAACAGTGAGAATATTTTAAACAAGAGGCCTGTTCAATACTATTGACATAACATCTCGTGTCTGTGACTCAAATGTTGAATTTAACCAACTTCATTCATAGTAAACAAGCTGACACTAAACAGACTAAATGTCGTTGCATACTTATCAACCTTTGATGGGAGATTTTAATCAATATATTACTAACGTAAATTTCAATTGAATCATTGTCTTTCGAGTAAAATGAACAAACTTGATAGCTCTAGATTGCATAACTATGTATATCAAAAAAGTCATCTGGCTTATTAAGAAATAATTTTGAGATTTTCACTCATTTGACCCCCTGACCTGTAGTATACGTCTCTGCCCTGACCTTAAAGGTGAATCAGCATAATTTATTTGAGAAAACTTAAAAAGCCATCCAATTACCCTCTGTGTAACATGTCAAATATAATAACCCTGAAGTATTTTTGTTATTCAAAGAAGTTGCGTAGATGTTTTAAAATATACTTGATCGATTTGATCTTGAAAGGGAGTCAGTGTCATTCATTTTACTCTTGTCTTGTCTCTCACTCTGTCACATCAACAACTCATGTCTCTCCATCTATCATGTCAACAATCCCTATGTCACGTCAACAACTCATGTCTCCCTCTCTATAACGTCAACAACTCGTCTCACTCTCTATAACGTCGACAATTCATGTCTCCCTCTATATAACTTCAACAACTCATGTCTCCCTCTCTATAACGTCAACAACTCATATCCCCTCTCTATGATGTCGACAACTTATGTCCCCCTCTCTATTACGTCAACAACTCATGTCTCCCTCTCAATAACGCCAACAACTCATGTTCCCCTCTCTATCACTTCAACAACTCATGTCTCCCCAACAATTCATGTCTCCCCAACAACTCATGTCTCCCTCTCTGTAACGTCGACAACTCTTGTCTCCCTCTCTGTAACGTCAACATCTCATGCCCTCTCTTTATAATGCCAACAACTAATGTTTCCCTCTCTATAACGTCGGCAACTCGGGTCCCCCTCTCTATAACGTCAGCAAATCGGGTCACCCCATCTGTAACGTCAACAACTCATGTATCCCTCTATATAACGCCAACAACTCATGTCTCCCTCTCTATAACGACAATAACTCATGTCCCCTCTCTATAACGCTGACAACTCATATCTCCCTCTCTATAATGTCAATAACTCGTGTCTCCCTCTCTGCAACATCGACAACTCCTGGCTCCCTCTCTATAACGTCAGCAACTCATGCCTCTGTCTATGTCACGTCAACAACTCGGGTATACCCCTATGTAACGCAAACAACTCATGTCTCCCTCTCTATAACGTCAACAACTCATGTCCCCTCTCTATAACGTCGACAACTTATATCTCCCTCTCTATAACGTCAACAACTCGTGTCTCCCTCTTTATAATGCCAACAACTCATGTCTCTCTCTCTATAACGTCAGCAACTCATATACCCCGCTCTATAACGTCAACAACTTATGTTGATTCGCTGGCAAGAATCCACTATTACTAAACTATCTAACAAAAATACCAATCCTAAACTTTTCTGGTCAATTGCTAAATCACTTCTAGGCAAAAATGGCGATCACACTATCCCTCCTTTAATGGAAAACAATCACTATATACACGATGATACTGATAAGGCAGATCGATTTAACACATATTTCTCTGATCAATGTACCATCCCGGATAACATTGAGAAACCAGTACTACCCCAAACTAATGTAATGTAATTAGTACCGTACAAACCACTCCAGAAGAGGTATGTAATATTTTTAAGTCGCTAAACACCAAAAAGGCAACAGGGCCAGATGGCATAGAAAATTTTATTCTTAAAAATTGCTGTCAATCATTATGTCATACTTGGGCACATATCTTTAATACTTCTCTCAGGTCAGGTATTTTTCCCACTTTGTGGAAAACAGCTCAAGTTTGTCCTATTCATAAAAAAGACAGCAAAAATGATGTAAAAAATTATCGGGCAATACCACTTCTTTCAAATATATCTAAATGTCTTGAAAAAATAGTATACAAACGTATATATGAATTCTTTTTGGCAAATAACATTCTTATCAAAGAAAACTCTGGATTTAAAAGAAATGATTCTACCATTAATCAGTTGTTAAAAATAATCCACAGCATTTATAAATGTATAGATAATGGTGAGGATGTTTGTACAGTATTTTAAGATGTCTCAAAAGCTTTTGACAAGGTGTGGCACGAAGGTCTACTTCACAAATTAGAAAACATAGGTATTAGAGGTAGTTTGCTTTGTTGGCTTAAAAGTTATCTTTATAATAGAAAACAGTATGTAGTCTTAAACAGTCAATCTTCTGGTCATAAATATGTTAACTCTGGTGTCCCCCAGGGCTCGATCCTTGGACCGCTCTTATTTTTAGTATATGTAAACGATATTAATTTAGGCATCTCATCTGACATTAACTTATTCGCTGACGACACATCTCTCTCATCAACCATAAATAGCAACGAATCAGTAAATACACTAAACGACGACTTAACTACTCTGTCTCAGTGGGCAAAGCGATGGCTTGTCACATTTAACGCACTAAAACTGAATTTGTTATTTTCTCTAAAAAAAAGATTTGTTAATAAACCGAACCTCCTGCTTAACAACATTCCGATTAAACATGTAATTAACCATAAACATCTGGGCATAATTCAGTCGGGTAACCTCAGCTGGCATTCTCATATTTCAGAAATTGTAGCAAAAAAAAATGCTACACAGAAATAACTGTGATATGAATTGCTGTTTTAGTAGACCAACAATTATTTTATGTACATTTATTTGCTGTGATACTACTTTGTCTTTTAACTAACCAATTTTACTAACAGAGGACCCTGTGGAAGATTAGCTTTGCTAAACAGGTTTTGTATCCTCAATAAATAAAGTTTATTATTATTATTATTATTATTATTATTAAAGCAAACAGAACATTAAATATCTTACAAGCATTAGCTTATATTATCCCACGTTCTTGTCTTGAAACACTATATAAAACTAGGGTAAGATCGGTTATGGAATATGGCAATATTTTATTTGATAACTGCAGTCAGCAAGAGTCTGACCTTATTGAAAGTGTTCAGCGTAGGGCGGCATTAATATGCACAGGCGGTTATAAGGTTACCAAATATACTAAACTGCTGGGTGAATTGGGATGGGGAAAACTAAGTGAGAGACGAAAAAATTGCAGACTTAAAATGTTATTTAAAATTAAGCATGATCTATGTCCGCCATACTTGAAAACTATTTGGAGTCATCGAACACAAAACTACAACTTTAGAAATTCTAATACTATTCTTCCTATCCTGTCAAGAAAATCTTTCTATCACCAATCCTTCTTTCCAAAATCAATACGAGACTGGAACAACCTACCTGAAGCATTGAGAAATAGCTCTTCACTAACGTCTTTCTCTCTAGCACTGTCAAATCTATCCACTCCACAAACAAACTCTTTATATGCATATGGACATGGGAAAGGAAAAATCAATCACTCTAGAATAAGAATGGGACTAAGTGCTTTAAACAAACATAGATACTCTTACAATTTAACTAATAACAAATTCTGTGACTTCTGCGCGAACTCCTCCGAAGATGAAATCATTTCTTTTTACTTTGTCAAAAATATAACCGAATCCGTTCCAATATGCTCCGTGCCGTTTTTCATATATTCGCTCCAAATATCAATTCCAACCTTATTGTAGAGCTCATGCCAAATGTTCTTGTCAAAATAATTTTATGTGGATTAGAAACTCTAAACGAAATTGAGAACAAAACATTATTTGACCATGTTGTTGAATATATCGTAAATTCAAACAGATTCTGACTCTCTCTCTCTCTCTCTCTCTCTCTCTCTCTCTGTAATGTGTGTATGTGTGAGTGCAAGTGTGTGCGACATTTGTACGTCTTTTGTGTAATTGAACATATTGTATGTTTGATATATGTTGAGGAGAGCATCTAGTAGCCTTCGGGATGTTTGTAATCCTCGTAAAATAAATAAAGAATTAAATTAACAACTTATGTCTCCCTCTCTATGACGTCAACAACTCATGCCTCCCTCTTTATAATGCCAACAACTCATGTCTCTCTCTCTATAACGTCAGCAACTCATATACCCCGCTCTATTACGTCAACAACTCATGTCCCCTCTCTATAACGTCGACAACTTATATATCCCTCTCTATAACGTCAACAACTCGTGTCTCCCTCTATAACGTGGACAACTCATGCCTCCCTCTATATAATGCCAACAACTCATGTCTCCCTCTCTATAAAGTCAGCAACTCATATATCCCGCTCTATAACGTCAACAACTTATGTCTCCCTCTCTATAAAGTCAGCAACTCATATACCCTGCTATTTTACGTCAACAACTCATGTATCCCTCTTTATAACGCCAACAACTCATGTATTCCTCTCTATAAAGTCAATAACTAACATCCCTCTTTATAACGTCGACAACTCATATCTCCCTCTCTATAACGTCAACAACTCGTGTCTCCCTCTTTATAAAGTCAATAACTCGCATTTCCCTCTCCATAACGTCGACAACTCCTGTCTCTCTTTCTATATATAACTTCAACAACTCATGTCTCCCCATCTGTCACGTCAACAACTCTTGACTCTGTCATGTCAACAACTCGGGTCTCCCTCTCTGTAACATCAACATCTCATGTCTCCTCTGCAACATCAACAACTCAGGTATCTCTCTCTATAACGTTGACAACTCATGTCTCTCCCTCTATAGCTTCAACAACTCATGGCTCATGGCTCCCCATCTGTTACGTCAACAACTCATGGCTCCCCATCTGTAACGTCAACAACTCGTCAATCTCTCTATTACGTCGACAACTTATGTCTCCCTCTCTATAACGTCAGTAAATCAGGTATCCCCATCTGTAAAATCAACTCATGTCGCCTTCTCTGAAACGTCAACAACATGTCTCCCCATCTGTAACGACAACAACTCATGTCCCTCTCTATTGCTTCAACAATTCATGTCTCTTTCTCTGAAACATCAACAACTCATGTCTCTTTCTATAACGTCAGCACCTCATGCCTCACTCTATATAAAGCCAACAACTCTTATCTCCCTCTCAATAACGTCGACAACTCCTGTCTCTCTCATTCTATATAATTTCAACAACTCATGTCTCCCTATCTGTCACGTCAACAACTTATGTCTCTCTCCCTGTCACGTCAACAACTCGGGTCTCCTCCTCTGTAACATCAACAACTCATATCTCCTTCTCTGAAACGTCAGCAACACATGTTTCCCCCTCTATTTAGTCGACAATTCATGTCTCTTTCTGTGAAACGTCAACAACTCATGTGCCTCTCTCCATTCTCTCTCCATTACATCAACAACTCATGTCTCCCTCTATAAAACGTCAACAACACATCTCCCTCTATATATTGTCAACAACTCACGTCTCCCCATCTGTAATGTCGACAACTCACGTCTCCCCCTGTCACATCAACAACTCACGTCTCCCCCTCCCCCTCACATCAACAACTCACGTCTCCCCCTATCACATCAACAACTCCCGTCTCCCCCTATCACATCAACAACTCCCGTCTCCCCCTATCACATCAACAACTCATGTCTCCCGATCTGTAATGTCAACAACTCACGTCTCCCCCTGTCATATTAAAAACTCAAGCATCCCCCTCCCCATCACATCAACAACTCCCGTCTCCCCCTATCACATCAACAACTCCCGTCTCCCCCTATCACATCAACAACTCCCGTCTCCCCCTATCACATCAACAACTCACGTCCCCCCGCTGTCACATCAACAACTCACGTCCCCCCCTATCACATCAACAACTCACGTCTCCCCGCTGTCACATCAACAACTCACGTCCCCCCCTATCACATCAACAACTCACGTCTCCCCCTCCCCATCACATCAACAACTCATGTCTCCCGATCTGTAATGTCAACAACTCACGTCTCCCCCTGTCATGTCAAAAACTCATGGCTCCCTCTCTAAAACATCAACAAATCATGGCTCCCTCTCTGTGACGTCAACAACTCATATCTTTCACTTTGTGACGTCTTTGCTGTTGTTTCAACATCTCATTTCTTCTTTGCTGTTATGTCAACAACATACACATCCCTCTGATGTCCATAAATATGGTTGTATCACTTTACTTTGTAATGTACATTATCAAATTTCAAGATTTTTTGTTGTTTAAATACTGACTGTCAAGGTGAATTACTCAATCTCTGGCTTTCTTTTAATTCTTGCATGTTTTACAGCTGTATGGGTCGAGGTCATTTATTTCAACAAAGTTAAAGTCTCTTCATCTTTGCAAACTACAAGCAAAACATTACGAATGTAGGCCTTATGGTTCTGTAGAAGTGAAGGTTACTAGGCAGACAGACTGCTGTCGCGTAAGCCGACAGACATTTTTTGTAAGATGAGCTAGTTAGAGAGAATCATTTACAAACAGTGTAGGTGTATCCAATACGGTTTGAAATTCTGAGAAGTCCATGTGTGCGACATGATTTGATACCAGATCACAAACACTTATTTTTTTAAATAACCCTTTTTTTTAATAATTTTAATAATGCTTACAATATAAAACGATCAAAATAAACACTGTACAAATTTATTTGTCAACAAAACAATATGTATACATGTACATGTAGTATAAACCCTAGTTATTTTCTTGTCGTGCCCGTAGTTGAACCTGATTTCTAATATCCGGTACTTATTTTCTCAAATTACCTATTCAGCATGCACAAAACTCTTAACAAAACATCTATACACATTTACACATGTAACACACTTCCACTTGTAACAAAATTAAACCAAATACACATTCACACTTGTAACACAACTACACCGATGGTAATCCATTAATAAAATCTTACGCTTCATTTACACAAACACTCTCCCCAACTACCTTGAACTCGCATTTGGCATTTTTTTCAGTAGATTTTCTGTCTACCTTACTTATTAATTAATTATCATCTCATAAATACATGTTGTTATATATATATATACTTCACAAAAGCATATGTCAAAACGTTTTTCATCATTTTTCATTTCCATGATTTTTAATGCTGCAATCAACGGAAAATTCACAAAATAACAATTCTTTTAAAGAATGAAATAAATCAACCTTTCTTCACTATGAAGAAAAATAATGCTGTGCTAAAGATGAATATTACTCATAAAATGCTGGGCAAACAAACAAAGGTGTATTGCTCTGTGACATCTTCAAGGCATTAAAATGTGTGTTTTAGGTTTCCTGACCACCCCTTTGTTTTCCTGCAAACTCAACTTGTTTAGCCTTAATTAAAGCAACATGTTTCCCACCATTACTCTTAAAATGTCCAAAATCCCATATTCAAACACTTTTGAAGTGTTTTGTTTGTGACCTATTTATCAAGTATCAACAGTTTATAATATGTTTTACCAAAATGTCGGTAAAAATCGAAAGTTCTCCCGGTGATGAAACCTCAAGACACATATTTTACTACCTTGAATACTGTTAAATAATGGTGGCAAAAATTTTGACATGAGGTACCCGTACAAATTTAAGCTAAAACCCTTCATTACATAATCTGTATGTACATTTTATGTTTATATGTAGTGTATTTGGAATGCATTACTAATGTATTCATTATTCAATTGACTAGCTCAATTAAGTCATCCCTTTTATTCTTACTCCTATGGATTGACATACTTAAATTTTAGAACCTTACAACATTTCATGACTTCAATATATTCAGGTCAAATGCAACCTTTATATATATAAAGGATCACTAGAATAATTTTGCAATATTTGTAACATATCTTCCGTTTGATTTCCTCAAAAAAGACGATATAGTTTTCACCCAGCAAAATTCACCCCCTTGGATATTTTTAAACCAGAATGATGCAGTGCTGGACTTCTGGGAAAAATATGGTTCTTCAATATTTTTTAAGCACTTATGGAAAGCTTAAGCAGTAGAAACAAAATCCTGTGTAGGCAATTCAGTACTTAAAGACATCATCATGTTAGCAACAAGATTCCACTGTACACAATAAGCAGCTTATAAAGTATTTAATTTCCTGAAAGATGTATATAAATGTACATTAAAAACTGTTTACACAGAAAACCGCAGAAACCATTCTTTGTGTTTTGTTTAACCCTTTCACCCCTAGGTTACTTTTGTAGACTCTACCATACATTCATCTGGGCGAGTCCATGATGGCCTAGAGTGGTGAAAGAGTTAACAGGTTTTCAGAATACATCTATTCCATTTACATATATAAATATGCACAGGGGTATCAAGTTGAATGTCTGATTATGCAGGCTTACATGTTATACAGTATTCAGTTAAAACTGGTTACATAGTAACAGAATTCGCTGAAATACAAAAAAATTGAGGGTCATTTCAATAGAATACCTATTGATAAACAGATTAATATGAATGCTTGACCATTGCAAAGAACCAAAATTATTAATTATTTCCTGTTTATCAAACAGTATTCAACCAGGAAACAGTTAAAAAAAAAAAAGAGAAATAAAAATTCAAGCCGCTGTCATGTATAGCTGGATTAAAAATTTCTTATATAAGTGATTATTTGTGAGACAAGAAAAATTCAGTTCAATTACAAAACAAAACGGGTAAATGTTGAGTTCTTATTCTTGTAAAACTATTCAGCAGTTGAAATCACTGCTATCATCGAATCCTGATTTGAGGGAATTTAACAACAATATGATGTGACTTCAGAATTCTTTGATGAAGGTTTTCATTGTCTTTGGTAAAGGCAAGTTGTCCACTTCGTCCTCGGAGCTACACCGAAGACTGTTTTTAATGGCCTGGTAGCACTTCTCTTGCAAAGACAGATATCGGCATGATCGTTTGCCAAGTCCAAGTTCGGTCTCGGTGGCGGTTGAGCTTACCATAGGATACAAAGGCATGCTCAGATTGTTCAGACCAGTGAATGCCACACCGAGCTGGTGTCCATCCTGATAATAAGCTAAGGTCCCTTTGTAAAGGTTCAAGTGACAGCCAATCACCGCCCGATGGAACATTGGTGCACAGAACTCCTGGCACATACCATCATGCCACAGGTCGCCGCGGTATGACAGACCCCAGCTTTCCCTGTCGATACCTGTTGATGTACACAATATACAAGTGAATACAGTCTCTAAGGTATGACAGACTAAAGTTAAAGTCTCTTTACTCTAATATGCAACATATACCAATGGGTCTTCACAGAACAAATGTTTTTGCTTACAGAATTTTCCCGGTAATTGTATTAATGATTATTTTTTTAACCGAAATGAATATGCAAAAGAACGATTCCATATTGATAGACGTTAAATAGTTAATTAAAAGTAAACAAGGTACATGTATTAAATATTTAAAGGTTAAACATAGAATACAGACTTGCACTGTTGGCTTGAAATTCGAATTGAATTGATGCAATTCTATTTCGGCAACAAACTACTCAAATAAATAGTTTCCCTGTGTAATCATTTCACACTCACCAAGTAGATCAACAAATCTGTAGTCCCCTGTGTGTAGTCCAGCTTTCTCTGTCCCTACACCAATCATGACCGAGGTCCCATTAGGGGGTTCAAGGAATGTCACTTCCCAGTAGTGTTCACCTTCAGTAAACCCTTTGGTGCCTCGCACGCCTGAAAAGAAGAAGTTCCACATTAAATTTTATGTACAATCTCACATCTCTCTTTGATTTAACTATATTTTCTTTCAAAATCAAGCTATGAGCTTATAATATTACTTCTTCCTCCGGTCACTTGGACTGGACTGTTTCATACAGTAATACTGCCCTTTGGATAAAAGGTCAAATTAAACTTTATAACTACAAACTTTTCAAAACTATGCTGCTTGTTTCTTTGGACTCCAATTGATAAACCATGACTACAGATACTGATAACATGAAGCAGTACAGTTACCATTGCTTCATAGATAAAGATGCCAAAAGTTTTTTTTATGAAAATATCATTTATGTACAAAGGGAGAATAGGAATTTCATTATAATGCATCCAAAAATTATTGTCTTAAGCGTACACTGATTTCCCCCCATATTTTTGAATTTCAATTTTTTTCAAGAAACACTGTGCTTTAATATCTTAATATTAGGTTGGACAATTTTGTTTTTGGGAACACATTTTTCAAAATATTTTGCCCAAATTAAACTAACATGCAAATTTTATTTTTGAATTATTGATCTAGACTGCTTGAACAATCACATTTAGTCAACATGTATAATAATTAAACAATGAAGAATCACATTTGTGTCTGTGTGACAGGAAAGTGCATTTCTGCATTCAAATTCAAGTGCACTAAAAATGAAAGAAATGCAGCAGTTTTATTAATAAACATAGGTAAAATACACAAACATCACTAAAATAATACTCATCCTTCATAAAAAAACATTACCTCCGAACTACTACACAATCTACTTATTGTATAACATGTTCCTGAGTTTGTGATCAGAACCGGGATTTCGAAGCCTCTCATGGTTGTCTCCCTTTTTTGATCAATCACCTGTAATACAAATCGTTGCAAGTACAAAAGAAACAGTGCTTCCGGGCACAAGGCATGCCAGAAGTAAAAAAAAAAAGAGTAAAAAAGTGGTGCCCTACAGCTCATACTATGTGAAACTAACAAAATATATAAGGCAAGGCTTTTAAATGTATAACATACTCTAAATGTACAAAAGATTATGAATATTAGAAAGTTTCACTCTATATTGTGATTCAGCATCACTGCATAAGCAAGCTCCATATTAGTTAGGTGCTGAACTATTGTTTTTTTTATCAATTTACAGTTTAAAATCATGGGTTGGTTAAGATTTTAGACAAGAGGTTAAATTTCTGGCTTATTTTTGTTTGTTTTCTTTTTCACTCAGTATATATTATGTTAAAAGAACTTGTATATTTGAATCCAGGAATCATCATATTATTTAACGTGATTTTACAATGGTAATGATGCACAACTTAATTAATATTAATTTATTATTTTTAACCAAATTGTATAAAAAAAGCCTAATTATTTTTGCCAAATTAGTTACATAATTTTTGAAATCATTCAAAAACATCTTATTAGTGTCGAATATAAAAAAGCAAAATTTAATAACGGTATATTGTCGCACCGACACTTCAATGTTTACATATCAATTTCTGCTGTTAGAAATAATAGTTTTATTAAATAATAATCAACTGTGTTTTACTTTTTTACTTTTTAGGAATTGTTTTAATAATCTTATTTGTTTAAGATATATTTTGTTATTGCTAATAAAATGCTTTTAAATAATGAATAATCCTTAACCTCATATTCGTGACTTAAATCAATCTTGAGAAAAAATTTAAAGTCAATCATAACTAATTAGCTTTACTTATAATGCCATTTTTTACATTACAAATGTGGAAATATTTAAAACTCTTTACATACCAGGTATATAATAAGTTATTTAGAAGTGTTAAATAGGAAACTAAAATACAAATTCAAATTCGCCAAATTGAAAACAAAGACTCAAATGAAAACACTTTATTACCTGCAGTGCCAGTACTGTTGTATACAGGGTCGATATAGAAGTACGCGTTTTCCAGATCAGGAGAAAGCTGTATGTCCGGCGACTTGTTGAACTGATCCCATACCCAATTCTCAATATTATGGCCAGCAAAGAATCCTGTCTGATGCCTCAAGAAATTGTCATTCATTTGGTCTAAAAATGAAGAAATATCAAATTACCAACAAAAATATTAGATGTGGTTTTCATATAACACAATATTGATATGAACTTCTAATGTTGATTTAGAACAAGAGTGTCCTGCTAAACAGGTGTTGTATTCAAAGATATTACCAAAAAAAATGTATTCACCACATGTAAATATATTTTATCCATTATGGTGAAATATACTTTGCAGTTATAAATAACTTGATGGTGACGAAACATGTAAACAATAGATAAAACTTGCTGATATCCCAGTTGATGTGTCATGACCATGGTCATCTCTTCTAATTATTGATAAAATAATTCTATGGCCGGACTAGTGAATTCTATTTAAAGAATCCATCAACTATATGATAAACTTTGCTGATCTTTATGGAATCTACCATTGACTGGACGTTGGATCTCCACCCCCACCCCCCGTTTTGCAGTTATAAGTTTAAGTTTTCTAAAATGATTAAATATATTTACAAAAATTAATGTTGTCTATATCATATATATATATATAGCGATAAATAGTTTTAAATGTCCATGTGACAGTAAAAAGTGATATTCTTGTGTCAATATTTATCCATTTTGTAATTGTCTGAAGAACGTCTCAAAGCATAGAAATATTAGCAATGATAAATTATGTTGTCCATTTTGTATGTTTACATGATACGTTAAAGGATGAGGTATTAGCCTGGTCTGTCAACACATCCAATTAATTACTTAAAGTTGTATAACATAAACGCGGCTAGTACCTGTGGCTACACACGCTCTTTAAAGTTCTTGAATTTTCTATTCCTCAACCAAAATGACTGGAGATTATCAGCGATAAGCCAAACTGTTTTCTATCGGGTGTCACACTGACAATCACAGTGACTTTGTCCTGGATCTAACAGTTATAATTAAGAAGTTGAATAATTAAATTTTAATAAAACAAACTTGTAGCTTTGTAGTAAACTTCAATATTGAAAAACATATTTTGTATTCTTACCCATTTATCTAAAGAAATAATCAGTTGTCCAATTTGATAAGTGGTAATCTTCTTTAATAAGTTTCTGCAATATACTATCCAATACTGAGGTTTTTCCACTGCAAAAGAAAATCATTCATTGTTGCTTAGTTTAATAAATGTTGTACACTTATACGCAGCTTAACATAACGACAATGCACATCATTTTTATTTACGGATATAAACATTTTGTCTTTGGAAAGTAATTGATAGATATAATTCACCAATGAAAAACAGAAAATATTAAACATATTTATAATATTTTCCTGTAAATGAGTTGTTTAGTAGGAGAATGGGAAATACACAGCAGGACTTGGATTTGAATCCAGGACCCTCCAGCTCCAGACGACACTTAATATCAATTGAGCTACCTGGTTGTTGACAATTAATCAAGTTCAGTTCCACAGTTAATTGGAACAAATTTAAGACTGCTTCTTATCAACAATGGGTTTTCTGTAATTTCTTTCAAATTTCATTTTATCGATTAAAATCTGTACAGTACTATATAATTTCTGTCTATTTGTTCATAATCATTGGGATGCCCGGTATAACACTGTTTTATTTAATCAGGTCAAATTTTAACCTAGCTGCACTGGAGCTTACAACCGTTTTGAAATAGTCGAATAGTCGCACACCAAGATCTGATTATTCTCAGAAATAACAATAGTTCTGTTTTGTCGGTCAATTTTTTCTCGGTCAATGACATGTGTGAAACAACAAATAGCTAGAGCACAGTAGGTCTCGGCTGTTCAAACCAGTTTGAGTCGGTTTGATTATCAAGCCATATACCTGCTACGACAACGAAACCATTGTTCAACACAACATTTAACCCCTCTTTTCAATAAAAACAACAGATCTGAACAAAACTTACTTTCATACAAAAGAAGAAACTGTTAGGTTAATTGCAAATTATCAAATTAAACATCAACACGCATTTGACTTGTTTACGATCGATATCAAACTTGGAAACCAGCCAAAATGATTAATTTCCACGTTTTGAACGAACCTCCACTTTTGACGTTTTGTATTATAATCAAATTCTAAACAGATCTATTATTGTTTCTTGCACATCACCAGCATCAGATACAGACCTTGTTGTCTCCTACGCCCATGCGATGATAACGTGTTTACTTGACTTGATGTGCGTGTTTACGATTTCTTGCAACGTGAACTTCGGCACGTAATGGCTGTTCCATCTACAGTTCTAAAATGCAACCTACCGTCATTGCTTTAGCCTTTAGGTTAATCGTTGGTTTGAAATATGATTTTATCATATATTTTATAGCAATATTGGAATATTGTTCCTAACAGATTGTTTGAATCATTTAAATATCAAAATGTATCATTTACCTATCAAATTAAACTACTTAAAACGGGGAGTAAGTAAACAATATGGAGTAAACATAAACATTTTGATTGGTTGAAAACGACACACCTCACATTCCTTTGACCCACTTTTTAGAAAAAGATGAGATGATCCAACACTCACCTATTCAAAAATAAAATGGACTCTTCCAGTAACATTTGCGCATGTGTCAACTTCATGTCTGACTTCCGCAAATAACGAAAAGAAAATATTGGTTTTTAAGAAGGACTGAAAAGACCAGTGTAAACCTACTGATCGAAATTATGTATTATGATCAGGGCGGAATGGAGTACGAATTGGAAGAAGACAAGCTGTATGTTCATAGTAATTCGAAGTATTTTTACGATCAGCACTACCATTTCGATAGCTGCAGCTTGGCAGCTGCTTGATGATGACAGGAATGGTCCTTTTGCTTCTTGATTCGTAACCCCCTTTCAGTTATATTTATTCCTTGCCTTTTAAGATACCCAGGCCCCATCCTGCTTTCATTGAACGTAGAGAAATCTGTCCCATAACTGATCTCCTTTCTCGATGTGTATGTCAATATTATATCAAATCACATTTGCAATGTTGTTCACTGAAGCATGACAAATTTATCGTACCCACGTGACTTATAAACGTAAACATGTTTTTGTCAGTAGGCCAACCGTCAGTACATGTGTGACGTGGCGGGGAGTCACATCTGTTGGAAGTCTATGTACTACATGTATTGTTTGTTAACAGTGCTTGTCATGTAAATAATTTGTCAAGCATGACCTGCACAGAACAGCTGTTGCACAAACAGGATTCTAGATGTTGTGTGAAAAGATAAAAGTGCCTGTTGAAGTGTTCAAAGTTTTGATAAACTTCTGCTAGAAGTCTCATGGGTGATTCTAAAGACTATGAATATGATTTAATTCCTACGTTTGATCCAGATGAATATGACTCTGATGAAGGTCGATATCAAATGTTTTATGAGGAAGATCGCATGTGAGTTAAAGCCACATATTCAATGTAATGATGCAAATGGCTAACTATTTTATAAATCATGGCCATACTTAGAATATTTATTAGAATGATGTTAAATAATAACCTATTTTATAAAAATTAATGTCAATTTTTGTGTAATTTTGGGTTTTATGTCGTGATATCTACATGTGAATGACTAGTCCGTATTATTCTGACATTTTATCAACTTTTTTCATATCGGTCTGTCGTCGATTAAACTTTTAATCGACAACAGACCGATATGAAAAAAGTTGATAAAACGTCAGTCAATTCGGACTAGTAAATGACATGTAGTTGGGCACGACTGGATGACTGCTAGGTCTATCCTATTAGTAGCATCTGGAGCTCAAGGTCCCAAATTCAATTTCCAGTCCTGTAACAGTGGTGCCTGTGACCAACCCTTGTTTCAAGTTCCATGTTTGATTCCAAATAAGCCCCCTCTTGTGCATATGTTTAGCAAGGGGATACCTGAACATTGGTTGTAAATGGTGTTGTCTTGATTAGTTAAAATATACAATAAGGGCGGCACTAGGTGTTGGTAGATGATGATTGGAGCACCTTTATTTCAACAACCTGTTCCTCCGACAACATGCAGCACATTTTGACTATTTTCTCATGATCACCATGTCAGAGTCTGAGAGACATGAAAGTTAGCTTTTTATATATATATATTTGTCCAACCCAAAATCGAATTTCCCATTGATGAAACTCTTCATCATTCTGACAGATTGCATTGGTCATTATATTCACAAAAAGATAGTCCATGGCAGCACAATTTTGGTTGTCAATGTTGTCCTAACAACAAAACTAATAAGACAATTTTGCAAATTATAAAATTTGGAACAGCATTCAAAATTTAATGATGAGCAATTGTCCATTTAAGTTATATTCACGGGGGTGCCTCCATTTTGACGAAGTTGCATCAAATACAGTTAACACAATACATCTCCAGCACACATGCAGGCATAAGGTGACAGTACCCAAATCGGAAACCAAACCATCATTTTATTTATCAAATCGTTGTTTTAAAGGAAGAATATCGACGGGTGTTCTTACAAATGGAATTAGCACCTGCAGCTCACTAGAGATATTTATAGAATGCTCTAAAATCACCAATCAGTGTCTCCGGTTTTTGCGAATGTCAGGACCCAAATTGGATCAAGGCTTGAATTTTGCAGTATCTTACACTTCAAATGAACTTTTTTTTCAGCATATTAACATTTTATGATGACCTTTGGAATTTATATGAAAACAAGTATTTTATAGGGTGAATTTGTTTCTATAGTCCAAACACGCGCCATTTTTTAAAAAGGTAAACAAAACACTGACTTTTGAGTTTGAAATACGTTTTCTTATGCTATTTGAACTAAAAAAAACAAAATATCTGTAGACAAAAAAAATGTACATGGCTATCTATTCTAAAACTACATCATTGTTTTAACTGGTCTGTTAACACATTTATTGATTTAAAACTATTTTTGCAAAAAGTGATCCGATTTGGGTCCTGCCTCCTTACACACATAGGTAGATATTAGCCAGGGCATAGGACTAGTAGTTAGCGCCTGTTTACTGTTAAGGCAACTTCTACAAATTCCTCACACATTGTATTGATTAGTGTATATGCTAATTGTATTGATTGTATGAATTGTATATCTGTGTACTGTAAAGCGCTTTAGAGTGGCTTATTCTAGCTAGATAGGGCGTTATAGCAAATGTTGTGTATTATTATTTTTATTATTGGGTGTATATAATAGTCTAGTATTGAGTGTATATCATAGTCCAGTATTTGGTGTATAGAATAGTCTAGTATCACAGTCATGATATTTTCTATAGAGGTCTATAGATCTAGATCTATAAGGCTATTATAGATCAGGTCCTCTTTAAAAATATGCATAAACATAAAGTCTCAGTTAAATTTGCCACAATTGCAAAGTGTGTAGGCTTGCCAAGGCCTTGTTCTACATATATATACCTTTTGTAATAATATCCCCATTCTAGCCTGAAATTTTCTTGGCTTTTCAACTGAAACATTTCAACAGCCTTGGGAATCGAAGTCCATATTTGAAATATATATAATGCACTAGTAAAATATAGTATTTGTTGACCTCAGAGACTCTTCTGCTGGATAACCAAACTACTCCATAGTGAAGTGGATATTAAACCTATCAAATAAACACAAGGTCTTACCCTGGAAGGAGAGAATGTAACAGGGAACATCTCTTCAAATACAGCATTTGTTAAAGGGTAAATCCCAGGGCTCGTGATTGAAGGGTTGTGGGTTTTAGTCATAGCACTGTGTTGTATCATTGAGCAAGATACTTTAGTGCGCTTGTTCCAGTCTACTCAGCTGTAAATGAGTTTGTGGTTGGGCAACACCGGCGGTATGCTCCCCAGGGAGTTGAGAAAGATACTGGCTGGTTGCAAAGGGCCCTATAACCACGGATAATAATTTGTGAACCACTTTGAGACGACCTACGAACTAGGTTGTAATAAAGCGGTATATAAGAACCTCAAATTATTACTATTATTACATGTATTATTAAATCAAGTCAATCAGAAGAATTTCGGTACATAGGATCAGTAGTCCTTTGTGGAGAAACTTGAATGATTGACCTTGGATTTACACGTAGATATACACTGTGAACAGCATAGTGATTGATAGGTGTGCATGTGTATAGCATGAGAAGAAACCTGGTTGTACTTGGAATTTCCTTTCCCCAGTGTCTTTATTGCCACATTTTATTAGTTGTATTAAGTTAGAGTATTTTTCCTGTGGAAGGTTTTGTTATACCCTCGCATGATGAGGTGTCCAGGGTATATAGGGATCTGCTGTTATGTTCGTTCGTTCGTTCGTTCGTTCGTTCGTTCGTTCGTTCGTTCACTGTTACTTACTATAAATATAATATAGTTTTTGATGTCACCATTTTAAAGGCTTCGTTTCTTATCCAATTGCCATCAAACTTCACACACCTGTAATTAACAAACATCACCTCTTGTAAAAGTTCAACCGGCTGTGATCAAAAGCTAGGTCACTTGATACGGATAGAGTTTGATAGAAATTGCTCTACATTCCTTATACCAATCATCATAAAACTTCACACACATGTTCACAAACATAATTATTGTATGATCTAGCGGTTCAATCTTTTTCTCTGCAGATTTTTTTTTACATCCGAATCGAGAACACTGATAAGACTGAAGGTGATTGTACTACTTTATGACACTATTTTCTGTCTTTAAAGTTCTATTTTGGTGGCATCTCCCTAAGAATTGAACGGTGGATAGGTCTTAGAACAATTTGATTGGATGGGGTTTCCATCATGCTCCCATTCCCAATCTGTGACATTTTAATGTGTTGGTACACGAAAATAGCCTTTGGTTCTTATCAGTGGACAATACAGTCAAAAAATTCCAAAACAAATGGTTATAGCTTCTTGCTTATCCCCTTTTTAAGGACATGCACCTGATAGTGTGTCATATATTTGTGCTGTGGCTTTTACTACTAATCATGGATATTCTTGGAAACTTTCTTAATAAAACTTGCAGAGTAATATTCCTTCTGTGAAAGCAAAATTCTTTATAAATTAATCTATGGAATGACTGTTAAAACCTGAAGTTTAATATTAAAAAATGTGTCTTATCAAGGTATGCCACCATGCAAGATCATTTTCTAGTTTTCAATAGCATTTATTGACTGAATCTTAAGATTACAGGACATTTCTTAAAGACTCTCAGTGTTCTGAGTATAAGATAAAAATGCCAAGGGGCTAGCCAGGATTCGAACCCCTTACCTAAATCTGCCTAACTATCGCTCCTACCGATTGAGCTACTTGGACGACAAAAGCGTTCTGGCCCAATTGTTCCACAGTTATAACAAAATAGAAGTTATGAGGAGGTCTTACTGTATATAAGAAAAAAACACAGTTCAGTGGGACAGGGATCCTGCAAATGTAAATCATGGTTACTAGTACATATATTTCCATTTCATCTGACGGTAGAACAGCTGGCTTCCCAGAAAAGTTAATTCAACTAAATTGTATTTTTTTTTTAACAGAGGTATGAGAGTAACATCTGGCAGTATAGTGTTGAAGAAGGATACCCAGAACCTCATAGGGATCAGTATAGGGGGCGGGGCTCCGCTGTGTCCATGTCTCTACGTCGTCCAGATATTCGACAACACCCCCGCTGCCAAGGACAGTACTCTGGCCTCGGGGGATGAGATTACTGGTGTAAACGGACAGTCAGCCAAAGGCAAGAGTAAAGTGGAGGTCGCAAAAATGATACAGTCAATATCTGTAAGTTGAACACAGAGAGATATAGGTAGTTTGTTTTTAGTCCCAAAATATGTATGTTTCAAGTAACATAACTGAAAAAAGGAGGGTAGGTCAGTCAGGATTATTTTAATTTTATTGTTGTTGTTTTTTCATATCTTTTTTAAGGGCTAATTTAAGAAATTACAAAAAATCACCAAACATATTTTTAAATCTTTTGAATAACAATATGGGATTTAAATTTGGTGTTGATAACTGCCTATGAAGTAGAGAGGGTATATATATGTATAGTAATTTGTTTGGTCATCAATTTGTTTGCACCTGGTGGAAAAGTTATCCCAACACTGGATGGAGGGCATTAGAGTGAGATAAAATTGTTAGGGTCGGAGGTAAAAACTAGGGTCGGTCGGGTTACCTGAAACATACATATTTCTTTGGGGAGGCCTTATGCCCATCAAACATACAGTGTAGCATACAAGGATTTAACTATTTCTCTTCTCTCTCAGTCTGTCCCTTCAACATCTTGGTGAGAATTGTGGCTTACACGGGTAGCAGTGTACATGTACAGTAGCGTACGGTGGCCATGGGTGATATTTTTGTACAATGAATAACCCCTGTAATATAACATGTATCAAAGTTTTAAAAAAAAAAAGCACAAAAATTGGCATATACATGATGAAGTGGACTATGTGGGCTGGGCTTCACATTTAAAAAAAAATAAAAAAAATTGGCTAACAAATCTGTGTCTTCACAACAAAAGCTAGCTTTTCATGTGGTCTATTTTTGTACTTAGCACATGTGTAAATATTGTGAAAAATCCAGTCGAACGACCTATGCTAAAACGTGAGACATGCCCTTTATTTTTAGGATCAGACCATTTCTACTGTACTCTGCTACCACAGTGAAATTTGATACATTCATTCTGTTATCTCCTAATACTATACTATTAGATATTAGAAATTAATCTCTTTACTTCCAAGCAAAAAGATTTGCACCTTTATACCATTTTGGATGGATGATTTCCATCTGTATGATATTTTGGTAATCCTTTGTGTTAGGTCTCTTACTCTTTCGACTAAAGGTACAACAGTCGTCCGACTTTGTATGTAGATGAATCTTGAAGTAGTACACCAATATATCAAATATAGGTCACTGTGACCCATTTTTATGCTCCATTTGGTTAGACTGGTTATTTAGTTCCTTTTTCATCAAAGAAAGAGCAAGTGCATATTTATGTTTACAAACATTTTCTAGTTTATGTGGTATGCTACTGAAGTAAATCTATCATAATGTCATGATAACACTGTAATTTCTGTAAAATGTTGTAATTTTTACACTTTTCTTTTTCCTGTATATTTCTCGTTATGGTATATTAAAACTTCCGGTTTTATATTTCTAGGAATCAGTAACTATCAACTATAATAAATTGCATGCAGATCCAAAGCAAGGAAAATCTCTAGATATAGGTAAGTACAGCAAAATCTCAATGTTTCCACGCTGATGTTATGAATATATATATACATGTAACATTTGTATAAGAGGAGGACTGTTTCATATTGTGTACAATATTTCAAACATGTAAAAAAGAATGTTCTGCGATTTTTCTTCTATTTGTTGAACACGATACCCTTTAAAAATCAGCAAGTAGATATACTGTACTATGTAAGTGATACTGATATTGATACAAAATCCCCCATTTGAATAATTGTGATATGTTTGTAAATAAAAAATCAGCCATTGAGAATTTCCAGACTTAAGACTGTTTTAGCAACAAGTTTCTCATCACCTTGTAATTCAAGTCTTTCTCCTATTTCACATAATTATCAGTTTATTTTTAAATTTGTTATTTTTTTTCAACAGTATATTTATATTACTTAACATCTTGTCAAAATAGGATAATTTGCAATTTTCTTACCTCAAAATAACTAGAAACTCGTGTGAAAATCTTATTTACAGGAAATTCTATGTAAAGTGAAATCTGTATGCTTTGTGTATTGGATGAAGTATGCTGATTCATTAGATATTAAAAGCACAGTGCCATGATCCAATGTTTTGGAGGTGGGGGAGTACCGAGTCACCTGTCACACTATGAAAATATGTTAATTATTATCGTCAATCTATATGTTACAACCTGCTTTAATTCAGACTTTGATTTTGTTGCAGTTTTAAAGAAAGTGAAACATCGTGTGGTAGAGACAATGAACACAAACACAGCCGATGCCCTGGGCCTTAGTAGAGCTATCCTATGTAATGGTGAGTGTGTTTAGATATCAAGATTTGCAAAATATCCTTATTCGGTCATTTTAAGCTTACCTGTCATAAAGTGTCTGCAGTGAGCTTGTTCGATCACTTCTCTTTCCTCCATCATCAAGTTTTCTTTAATTTTAAATAACTTCTTTAGAACAATAATGCTTGGAGTCATAATAATTTACCTGTAGCTTTATACTGTGATAAAGCTTAGACCATCAGATTATTCAGATAAATGACCTTGACCCACAATGAACATCACTCAGGTCAGTTGTGTTCAAGTTTTCGGAATACTCTCTGCGGAACCCTGTTGATATGTATACTGGTATATTGTATAATGTAATAGATTGCAAAAAAAAGACTTTTCGTATTTGACATTATCCATGCAGACATTTCAATGAGAAATATTGACATCATCGTGTCACAATTTGTTGGTATTTGATGTGTATTTTATTTACAGACGGTTTAGTTAAGAAACTTGAAGAACTAGAGAAGACAGCGGACATGTATAAAGGTTTGATTGACCAGACAAAGAAGTTACTCAAGTCAACATTTGAACTGTCACAGTCTCACAAAGGTGAGTATTTTTATAACACATCCCATATACTACCAGTTGTTTAAAAGGTGATTATGGTAGCTTAATCAGTGATTAGCCGAAATTTTATTTTTTGTGTATCTTTAAAACACAACCATTTACCGAGTTAAACCTTTCCAGATAGTAGATATTTTAGTAGAGTAAAATTACACTCTAAATTGAGCTAGTTTACCTTGAACATTGACCAAATTACTGTATTAGAGATTAGAAAATGTCGTTACACAGTGATTAAGCTAATCATCTTTTGAACAACTGGGCCAAGTTGTTTCGTATATAGTGCATGTTTCAATATGAGATATTGGAAAAGCAAAATGGCTGCCAGGCAGCCATCTTTTATTTTGCATATTGAGTTTGTTACAACCATTTCTCAGTAACTAGCGAGGGGATCATGACAAATTACCAAAGTTGTCTAGCTGTACCTAATTCATATTTAGCAAATTCAGAAAACAAAATGGACACCAGGCCATCCTGGACTTTGTAGGGGTAACCTATCAGATGTAAAGTTTGATACCACTATTTCTCTGAAATGAGTGAAAGGATCATGCACAAACTTAATTGATATGATTCCCTTTGTCCCTAGTTGTTCATTCTCCATTTTGAGATGGATCAGAAGTTCTAGCTTAGAGCCCTGTAAAGATTCCCTCTGAGATGGATCAGAAGTTCTAGCTTAGAGCCCTGTAAAGATTCCCTCTGAGATGGATCAGAAGTTCTAGCACAGAGCCCTGTAAAGATTCCCTCTCAGTTACCTGGCCACGTGCTTGTTCATGAAAAGAACAGAAAAATGAAGAGTAAAAGAGACTATCAGTGGTAGGCACCAAACTCTCTCTAATATCTCTTGTTCTTTATCAAATTGGGAGGAAAAACAGGAATACTGTAAAAGTTCTTACTTTATTGGACTCAGATTTTTAGCATAATATGGAATTCTGACGGATTGGCCTTTTGAATGAATTTTTGCACTCACATTATATGCAATAGGTAGCTAGATACAGAAACTCCAATCAGCGCATCATAATTTAGCGAAAAATTGAAATCATGAAAAGCACTCAAATTAAAATACTGCTGAAAGAAATACATCTATAAGCGAATAGTTTATAAAAAACAGACTTGCGTGTGCTTCTTATTGATGTATTCATATCATTTACCCATTTCTAAGTTTCTGATTGGGGTACCGGTCTGCTCTGTCAAGGAAACACAATTTTATTGAAAGAAATGAACCATATGGATTGCCATTTTCTAATTTAGTAGTTATCCCCCGGGACTCCATGAGTTGGCGGGGGATATAGAAATGGGGTCCGTCACTCTATCCATCCGACCGTGCTGATGATTTTGACCTATATTTCACGCTTCATTGACCTGGATAAGAAGAATTGCTTTTATCTTCATGTAAGGTTAAGGAGAATTGCTCTCATCCATATCTTGCCTACTACAATTGCTATGTTGATTATACTTACATTAATTGTGAATCTATGGTTGCTCTACTGAATGCATATTGCGGATGCTGGTTTTGACCTTTATTTTGTGCTTCATGTTTTAATGACTTTTGCTCTGCGAGCAAAGGATATTGATAACAGCGTCTTCTTGTTAATACATGAAAACTCCTCTTTTGATTTTGCAGCTTTTGGAGAGGTGTTTTCAGGAATTGGAGTGCGTGAACCTCAGCCTGCAGCCAGCGAAGCCTTCAGCATGTTCGGGGAGGCGCATCGTAACATGGAGAAGTTCGCCATTAAGATGTTAAAAACAGCAAAACCGGTAAGAATTTTTAATTTTTGATTATAAAACAGCCCTAAATTAAAAATGATAAGATTTCACAGGAAATAATTATTTAGGTTTTTTTGGGCAGGGGTGGATAAAAACTGATGAGGAGTGAACATATACATTGCAATGTTCCCAAATTTCGGTGTCCCCAATAAAACTATGATTTGCCAAATAATTCTTGCTTTATTCCTCCTTGTTCTGATGTTCAAGACTTTAATTACATTCTACTACAATTGATCATAAAAAGTTATTTGAATTATTTCTATTTTTTGTTACTATACTGCAAAAAAGGTGATAGTCTTTTTCAAAAACAGCAGTTTTGAATCTTAAAATTTCGATGGTATATGTTGTGTCTTTTTACTAGCAATTAATGTAATGTTTGTTCCAAGCTATAATGTGACATCTGTTCTGTCTTTCAGATGATAAGTGACCTCAACACATACCTACACAAAGCAGTGCCCGACACAAGACTTACCATAAAGAAATACCTGGACGTGAAGTTTGAGTACCTGGTAAGTCCCAGGGTTTGCACAATCCCTAGCTAGCTGGGAGGTAGAAGGGTACACTCACTGCAGATTGCACTTGTTTTGTCTTACAAGTATAGCAATACTGTGATAAGCTTGGAATGTTTATTCCGTTGAGACATTGCCCGACATTTCACTATCTCATGACACAATAAGTTCAAATAAAGAAAAGACTGTATTTGAACAGGCTTATCCCTAGAATTGGTTTAAGCTGATATGTTTCATTTTCATCAGATGACACAGCACTATATATATAAATTATAGATAGCGCTTTAAATATACATGGAGGGTGTCATCATGTAGTTGTGTCCCTTCATTTTTGTCTCTTTAAAAAGTACTTTAATACTGCAAACCAAAAATTGGTGAATATTAAAACAGTAGAAAATGAGGGAAAAAAAGTTCCTTAATAGGTATACATTTTCAGCAATTGTTTGAAAACTCTAAAACAAAACATATCATATCAGCTGAGTGGCCTGGGGAGAACCCTGATGAACACACAAAAAAGATGCTTCTACTTTGGAATACAGTAACAGAATCATCTAAAAGTGTTGTAGATATTGGATTAAAAACGTATTGAAAATTACTATAAGACATTCAATTTAACTCATTCATCCCTGAAATTTCATAATGAACTTTTCCAACCTTTGAAGTGGAGGATTTCAAATGTGTCTTCAGGGGTGAATGAGTTAATGATTCAAGGCTAGCAAGCAAACTTAGTGCGGACTTCAGTATTTCACCAAAACCATCTATTCCGTCTTTGCGTATTGCAGAGTTATCTTCTCTTGTGAGCCGGTATTTATTGTTACGTCATTGGTTTGCGAGAGTAACGTCATCAATTTTTTGAGAAAACCACGTAATTTTCTCCCACAAACCAATGACGTAACAATCAATACCTGCTCACAAGAGAAGATAACTCTGCAATACGCAAAGACGGAATAGCTGGACAATCCATTGCACAATTTTGATTCTCGAAGAACATAACAAACAACAATTACAGAAGCTTGGCTAAGTTCTAACCATTGGTCTTAGGTATATATCTTATTTATTTTGTAAGTTGTTGTCTTATCATCAGGGACTTTTTATACAGTTTAGTTGATTTACTCTTTGATTGTCTATTTAAACCGTCAACATTACCGGTAATCACAAATGTGTTCTTATTTAATAGGCCTACTGTCTGAAGGTGAAGGAAATGGACGATGAGGAATACAGCTACGCAGCATTACAGGAGCCTCTGTATCGAGTGGAAACAGGGAATTATGAATACAGGTAAGTAATGTGATTACAGGACCCGCTGTGATTATGATATTTATGAATACAGGGATTATTTAGCAAGCCTTTCATAGAATTTTCTAATATCAGAGATTAGTCGTCCACAGGAACTATTCACAGGAAATTTATATCCATTTTCAGGTTAGTGTTACGCTGTCGACAAGACGCACGACACAGATTTGCCAAAATGAGAGCTGATGTCCTTGTCAAGATGGAACTTCTGGACCAGAAACATGGTAAGTAAGCCAATGAAGTTAATGTCAATTTTCAAAATGCACAACTTCTGTACATTTTGGGAAAAAATATATCTATATGTCTATGTTTTCGCTATATATTTTTTTAATTTCTCACGAATAAACTTAGAATATAAACCCAAAAAATCAACTTCCCTTTAATTTTACATCAATTAAAATTCTTCAAGTGTATTATTAAGTAATGCCTTTTCAAAAGTTACTGTTTACAAGAAAGTGAATGTATCAATATTTTACTCTCAAACGAAATGAATGTTACCATGGAACTGACCTTAATTAAGTATGAAAATGAAGTTACATGTAACAGAGCCAAATTGTTTTTGAAAAAAAAAGTGAAATGTAAACTTGATTGTTGGTCTGTACTTCTCTTCCAGTCCAGGACATCGTGTTCCAGCTGCAGCGCTTTGTTTCTGCGATGGCCAAGTATCACAACGACTGCCATGGTGTTATGAAGAAGGCTGTAGTGTTCCCCATAGAGGTGGATCTGTCCCGCGGCACCTTCACATACGACACTTCCAACCAGTTTAACGATGAGGAAGAGGAGGAGGAGGAGGAGGAGGAAGCGGTCGAGGATACCGTGGAGACGGGAATGGAGGCGAGCGTCACAGAGACTAACGACCTTATCAGTACTGATTAAGGGTCCGTAGCGGTAAAGGGAGGTTAAAGGGGAGGGGGTTGAAGGGAAAGTCATGTACAGGCTTAAATTTTGAGATCTAAAATAATGAAGCAATTTCAGTGTTAAGAATCAAGTGTATATATATATATAGGTTGCATTTTTTCAGTCTGTTCAAAAGTAGAGATGCTTTTTGAAAGTAAAATTTGAGACAATAACACTGTTGATCAGTAATTTTGTTTTTCTACAGATGATATAGAATTTTAAAACTTTAGTAAAGATCCACAGGAAAAGACTTTACAGAAAAGATTCTTCATGATCACCAGATCAAAGTAAAATTAATCTGATTTACAGAAGAGAGTTTCCATTCTCCTAAAAAATATTCATGTGGTTTAATGAATACATGTGACATGTAAACTAAAATAGAAGCCTGGTTTTAATCAAAAGAATTCTTCCATTAAGCATGCTATGCATGTGACAAGTGTTAGTTAAATTATTTAGAAGATCAAGGTCAAGAGAAGCCTGTATTTCATAGGGAAAATATTATGGATTTGTTTGTTAATGATTATTTGGTTAAGAAGGAGTAACCACCTGAATGATGCTCTTCAATTCTACAATTTTTTGCAATAGATTTTAAATACAGTACAACCTGCTTAAAACGTGAGAAAAACGTTATCCAAGTGTTCATATTACGTATGAAAAAATAGTAATGCATTAATTATGAAGAAGGGAACAAAATCATATATTCAAATTACTGTGTAACCCCTATAGAACTATAGTAGACTCAACCATGCATGACCTGGGAGTCCATTATGACATGATGTATGGCCCCAAAATACTGGTTTGTTTATATTCAACCCTGTCATATCCCACCACCATCATTGTTCCTTTTCATGTTGTTTAAAATCAGGTTTCCTTGTATAAGAAGTATAAGGACTTGTTTCCCTTCAAATTCGACTTTATTTGGGTCTACTGTACATATAAGCAGTAAAATATGTTGAAGTACTAGAAACATGCCTGATATGAAATCATGATTATAACAAAGTCACATCTGTTGTCCTATGGAATTTCCATGGTTGTAAGAGGTTATAAAAGCTAGAGACTATAAGAGCTATTATGAATGATATGTGAGAATGATCTTTTTGTTAAAGCAAAGTGAATACAATTTTGTGTTAAGCTTTTTGTTTGTTTGTTGATGTTAATATGATTGTGGCTTCTAATCAGACAGAATGTCTACTACTGCAATAACGGGAATCAGCAACGTTCTGAAAGATTCATTTTGTGCACCAATTCATCTGTGATATCTTATGATATTCCTTTTAGAGGTTCAGAATACCTGTACATTTTCATAAATTTCCTTGAGGTAGAAAAGGGGTGAACAGCATTTTCATCCATATTGCTTTTTTTCCATCCTCACCAAAAATGTACTTGGACGTATGAAGCAACAATCATGATTTATGGAATCGGAATGATAAGAAGTGCATTTTACAACCATATATTGTTCATTTGTGTACAGTCGAGGTTTTGTTGCCACCACGATTCTAGATCTGATCAATTTGGACATTATATTGACAATCCTTACCAAATGTTTCATTTGATGTATTTGCATTAACTGAATTTGACTACATAACCTACACATTAGCCTCTAGCTGTGTTCATTTCTCTGTATAACCTACTCATTAGCCTCTATCTGTGTTCAGTAGTGTTCATTTCTCTGTATAATCTACACTTTAGTCTCTAACTGTGTTCATAAGTGTTCATTTCTCTGTATAACCGACACATTAGCCTCTAGCTGTGTTCATTTCTCTGTATAATCTACACATTAGCCTCTAAATGTGTTCATAAGTCTTCATTTCTCTGTATAACCTACACATTAGCCTCTAGATGTGTTCATTAGTGTTCATTTCTCTGTATAACCTCCACATTAGCCTCTAGCTGTGTTCATTTCTCTGTATAACCTACTCATTAGCCTCTATCTGTGTTCAGTAGTGTTCATTTCTCTGTATAATCTACACATTAGCCTCTAGCTGTGTTAATTTCTCTGTATAACCTACACATTAGCCTCTAGCTGTGTTAATTAGTGTTCATTTCTCTGTATAACCTACACATTAGCCTCTAACTGTGTTCATTAGTGTTCATTTCTCTGTATAATCTACCCATTAGCCTCTAACTGTGTTCATTAGTGTTCATTTCTCTGTATAATCTACACATTAGCCTCTAGCTGTGTTCATTAGTGTTCATTTCTCTGTATACCCTACACATTAGCCTCTATCTGTGTTCAGTAGTGTTCATTTCTCTGTATAATCTACACATTAGCCTCTAAATGTGTTCATAAGTCTTCATTTCTCTGTATAACCTACACATTAGCCTCTAACTGTGTTAATTAGTGTTCATTTCTCTGTATAACCTACACATTAGCCTCTATCTGTGTTAAGTAGTGTTCATTTCTCTGTATAATCTACACATTAGCCTCTAAATGTGTTCATAAGTCTTCATTTCTCTGTATAACCTACACATTAGCCTCTAACTGTGTTAATTAGTGTTCATTTCTCTGTATAACCTACACATTAGCCTCTAGCTGTGTTAATTAGTGTTCATTTCTCTGTATAACCTACACATTAGCCTCTATCTGTGTTAAGTAGTGTTCATTTCTCTGTATAATCTACACATTAGCCTCTAACTGTGTTAATTAGTGTTCATTTCTCTGTATAACCTACACATTAGCCTCTATCTGTGTTCAGTAGTGTTCATTTCTCTGTATAATCTACACATTAGCCTCTAACTGTGTTCATAAGTGTTCATTTCTCTGTATCACCTACACATTAGCCTCTAGCTGTGTTCATTTCTCTGTATAACCTACACATTAGCCTCTATCTGTGTTCAGTAGTGTTCATTTCTCTTTGTTATACTTTGTGTGTACATGAAAATTTTGGAATCTGCATTTAATTGCTAATTACTTGGATGTGCGCGCGCACCATGCCATTTTTGTGCATTAAATGTTACTTGTGAGCTGTGGAAACTCTGTTTCTATGTACATGTAATTTAAACCTATTTATTAATCTCAATACTTGTCTCTTTTTAAAAGGGAAAAATTGCACTAAATGAGGAAGAATTTCAGAAAATCATTTGATTTTTGTGATTGTCATAGATTTGTTTGAATTTCATTAACGTCGTTTCACTTACATTCCATGGTAGGGCAAATGATTCCCTAATAGGATGTCAAAACCCTATAAAATCAAAACCAAAACAGGGGTAGGGTTTCTGTTTACCGTAATTGTCATTAAAGCCTCATTGGAATAAGAACCACATTCACGTTTCTTAGACCTTCATTCATATATGCTGTGGCCCATTGATCACAGATGAATTAGAGAAGTGCATATTGAGACCAACCATATGCTACATAAATCAGTTGTTTTACAACACCTAGGCGCTTTCTTAAATCTTCTCGGATATTTGCACACATTTTCTTCAGAAGTGGGAACTTGTCTGATTAACTAGTATATTGTATATAGAAAGATAGTATTCAATTTTTTTTCATCATATTACGTGGAGAGAACGGAAAGGGTACATCTTTATCATGGGGGGGGGGGGGGGGGGGGGGGGGGACAGGAAGGGTAGAAGTTTTAAGGGAGGTGGAGGAATATGCCTGAAGCAGGATTTTTCCTGATTGCTTGTGACAACTTATTAGAAATCCATAAAACAGTCATTCCAAATGAATTCTCATTCGTTATACTTGTGAAATCTCAGTACATGCAAATTTTACGTTTTGTTTTGTTTTATTTTGTAATTAATCTTTTGTATGAATGAAATCGTCATCCTTTGTGGAAATATTGACCAAATGTTGTGTTGTTTTACATTCTCCAGAAGTTGTATACTTGCATTATTTATGTTGTGATATTGTGTAAGAAATCTGTATTTATACGTTGTTATTTTTGAAAGTTTTAGATGATGGCTTTCAATATTAAAAGTCACTGCAGAATATGAATTCATGTGTCATACTTTTTTGTGTAAGAATGTGCAAATGCATTTTATCTTGAGCCGAGCTAATGGACCATACAGCAGGTTCTTTATCCCAGTACATGTATCCCAGACAAGTGGACCATAGAACAGAACTTATCTTGGTTATAGAACGAAGATTTTATCCTAGTTTCTCTGTGGACCACAGAACTCGAGTTTATCCAGGAGTTGAGCGTAGTGGACCAAAGTTAATTTCAGTATTTGACCCCTTTGGACGATACAACAGAGCTTATCAAGAATTTGAGCCTTGTTGACCATAAATTAGAGCCTATCCAATGATCAGAGAATAGAACTGGAGTTCATCACAGTATTTAATACATTTATAAACTTTATTCATTTTACAACAATTATGAAACAAGTTATATAACTTATATTAATCACTCTTATTGGCCCGGATGTTAGCACGCAGGGGGTCTTAATGTGGGAGGAAACCTGAGTTCCTGGAGAAAACCCATGTGGTCTGGCAGGTGATCTCACACCTTTTCACATCTGATCGGGGAATCGAACCCCGGCCGCCTTGGTGAAAGGCGTTATCCACTTCACCACCCGACCACCCCATTTGACCACCCCACCACACGGTATTTGATTAAACAGAGCTTATCTTGGTGACTGATTTTGAGCCTTGTGGACCATAGTTACCTATTAATGCTAGTCTCCTTGGTACATATTTATACAGCTAGGGAGACTGGAAAAATCAAGATAAAGTGTAATCTCAAAAGACATTTTACAGCAATGTTCAGTTGCCAAGCAGTCTACTGTAAAAAATCTGTTTTAGGTCAACGACAGTTTGATGAAAATACTGTTTTTAGACAGAAGTTCGTCACTATTATACATAATTCAATCCATATCTAATTCATACTGTTGCATCGATTGATGTTTGATATGTTTCAACTGTAGAGGCATCCCTCAATATACTGGGGAAACTTTTGCCATAGTTAATGTTGCCCTTCATATTTGAATATTTATTCACTAATTTTCCGCTGTAAAAATAAATTTGGCTACATTCTGGAGGGTTGAAAAAAAGTTATCTGAAAAATTCCCGGTAAGCAGTATGAATACAGATCAAAATCTGTTAAATAGTCAGCATAATTATCATCCATCTATTGGTTATCTTAAAAGTTGGTAATCTCCCTTATCAAAAAATAATTAATAGTTGTCTCCCTTGTCACTATTTTACCTATATGCAAATAAGTTGTTACCACTACTAGATATTTCAGGGAGAAATACATAGGGTCGAAGGAGAGGAACTTGTCATATCACCTGCTGGACAACTAAACTACTCGGTAGAAAAGTGGATACACCTGCTGGACAACTAAACTACTCGGTAGAGAAGTGGATATATAACAACAGAAACAAACATTGATCAGTGTTTTAATAGAAAAAGAATGCTGATCTCCCTTAATAATTAAGTTATCCCCCTTGTTATTAATTTACCAATATACAATTAGCTATATGATGTGTGTTTAGTTTCAAAATAGAAATGGAGAATGCTTACATTAAAATTCATTAAATTTTGTTTTTTAAATAAAGACTGAAGTAGTGCGTGAGCAAAATGTATACGCCCCACCCTACCACTAACCCCCCAGTTTAATTTCTTATTATACATATGGAAATATATTTATTAGCAGGTATATGCCAATTTGCATATTGGTCAAATTTGGATAAGGGCAGACAACTCATTATTTTTCAATATCAGATACTGCCTTTTTAATATTTATACATGCATAAAGATAGCCAAGGGTGAAATTTTCTCTTATGCTTTTGGATAAATAATAATTTGCTGGTACCAACCAATTTGCATATTAGTCACATTTTGAAAGGGGCAGATAACTCACATTTCATTGTGATTTTAGAGAAATAAAAATATTTATCCAATCAATTTGCATATTGATCAAATTTCGGAAGGTGAGATGACTCTTTTTTTTTCATAAGAGATATTATGGTTTTAATTTTGTTTTCTTTTTTGATGCATAATGCTATTAAAAAGTGAAATTTGAAATTTGTCTTGTAATTGTTTATCAACAGTTATTCAATGGTACCAGCAAATTTTCATTATGGTCAAAATTGGAACTTGGCTGCTGTGGGGAAGTTGTTTACGTGTCGGACTGTTCAAGATCACTAGCCCTCCACCACTGAGTCACAGGTTCAAGGCCTAATTGGGGCAGTTGCCAGGTAATCATGATTATAATGTATACCAAGTTTCAAAGAGATCTGTTGAAAAATGTAGGATGAGATTGCCGGGCACAAATCAAATACTGAAATAAACAAAGGGCAATAACCTTTGCAAAAATTGTTGAATCAAAATTGTTTTCAAGGAAACACAACATATCATGATTATTTAGCCTACTAAGTTTCAAAGAAATTGTGACCAGGTTTTTGAAACTAGGCCAAAATGCAAATTTCCTAAAAGAGGTGATATTTCTACCCAAGTATGAAGTTTCATGACAATCGTATCACATATTATGTCTCGAGATAAATTTTTGTCATAGTTGTCTATTGTTCGCTTATGCTTAAAGTACATATCGTTTGTATCTGTGATTCATGGGTCAACATTTGTTGATGCTGTTTACACAAATGAATTCTGTCATATATACATATAAACAACTCATTCTGGATACAGTTATGTATATTTATTTTCGAAACAAGAAACAGAGATTACAGAGTAACAAAAGTAAACATTTATGTTAGGAGGCAACAAATTTAATTCAACATGATGTAAATAAATATATATATCAAAATGTATAAATTTGGTATTTATCAACAAAAGTAAAGGCAAATCAGGCATATATGGTTTTGATGTTTGTAATAAACAAGAAGCCCAGGGGTGCTCACCTGGATATTTAAGCAATAATGGCAAAATATTTTCATTAACAGTAATGTTATTGCAAATGGAATCCCAGAGATGGGGCTAGATCCCAGAGCCAATCCTGATAGCATATGAGTATCCAAACCTATATTGTTATAGGTTGGGGAAATTGAATGTTCCATGTTATGACCATGATACTAAGTCCCTAGGGTATGGGCAGACCCAAGGTCAATTCTCGGGTAGCATGATCGTCTTTTCATGCCTAGGAAAATACTACATGTATATCCAATTAAGGAGTAGGGATCCCAACCATTTCTATGTTATGACCCGAAGACTTAGTTGCTTGGGGTGGGGCAGACCTAAAGTTCAATCCTGGTAGCATATATTTAATAGGCATTGTATGGTTATGGGATAGATATCTCAACTGTTTCAAAGTTGTGACCCAGGCCTTAGTCACATAGTAAGGGCTTGCACCCTGAGGCTAATTCTGGCGTTCATGTATATTTGTCTCTTCATATTCAGCAAATGTATATATGGTTATAGGGTTGTGATCTCAACCATATTCATGTTATCATTTTGGCCAAATATTGCTGATTACCATTATATGATTCTAGATAAGTCCCTTAAAACAATATGGCCAAATTATCCTTTTCCCCATCCTTCAGTCCCTTGCAGGGTCAGCCCCTCTATTTGTGCAAATTTGAATACCCACCTCATAATTCCAAAAAGTCCCTAAACCAATACAGCCAAATTACCATTTTTGGCCCCACCCTTCAGCCCTCTAGGGTTTGACTCTCTCCATTTGTAACCTCCTAAGTATGTTTTCAACCAAATAGGATTGATATCCATCTCATAGTTCCAGAAAAGATGTTCAAACTAGAACTGTCACCTATTCCAAGGTATATGTATACAAAATACCTGCCATTTCTGCCATAATAAGCCATTTCGGTAGCATAATTGGCTATGATACTGTTATGAGAGAAGGTCTAGAGAAGGTTTATGAACCAAGGACCATAGCTTCATGAAAAGGGGAGATAACCCAATGAAAAATATGCACATCTCCTAGCTGCAAGGATTGCTATCAGCAAATTTCATTGAAATCCATCCAGTAGTTTAGGGGGAGTGCACAGTACTACATTGTGTCCACAGTCGAACGGACGGATTTCAGTATACCCCCCTTAACTTCGTTGCGGGGAGTATAATTAATATGACAAAATTAACCCTTTACCTCCCCAGGGAGTCAGTCTCACCACTTAAGGATGCTTCCAGTATAATTTGGAGAAATTCTAATCAGCAGTTAATAGGAAAAAGTCATTTGAAGAAAATGTTTAAGGACAGATGTACAATGAAAGATAGATGCCAAGGTATGGACAAGGTGAGCTAATAATACAAATACCTTTGCCACTTCATTGTAGTACTACCACCTCACTACCCAGGTATACAAAAATAAATATGGTGATATTGAGCACTGATATCTGTATTGACCCTTGACATGTTTTCAGACTAAAGGTGCTGATCCATCTTTATCTAGTTAGAAAAAGATTAATAGAATATTTCATCCTCTCGAGTGTCGGATGGGGAAAGATTCAAATTGTAATTTATGCAATGTAAAATGTAAATAGATTTAAAGTTGCCAAACACTAGACTTACTGAGTGTTTGGCAATTTAACAATCTTTCCAGAAGGGTCGAGGTTCCTCATCTCACCAAAAGGGGGTTAATACATGTAGTTCTTTTTCTCCGACCCTGTCATACACATGATAATGTCGCTTTAGAAAGTGAGTAACTCCTAGTTACACAATGGTGAACAATTCTTAGATGAACATACATAATCAAGAATTTTCTCCCAACTTTTTCCAATAAATAACAAGCTGAAATGTTGACTTGCATACTGGAGCTCTACATTACACACACAGTATGATGCACTGTAAGATTCATTGTATCTGAAATTTTGGTTCTCAATAAGAATTTGTTCACCTACAACTTGTTCTCAAGCCAAGACCAAGTGCGACAGATACACTGTATGCCAGAAAACATTGTTCCAGCCAAAAATGCGCCCTTCACTGGTAGAATCCGTGTTCACGCATTCTTACTTTCGCCCTTCACATGTTATTACAATAGTATGTTGTGCACTTATCTTCACTGTCATGATAAATTCCCCCCTGATTACGGAGGGTGTAAAAGGCGAAAATTTAACTGCGGCAAAAAGTCCCAGGTATACAGTATTCTCATCAAACCTAGGTCAAAATAGATTTACAAACATATTAGTAAATTTACATACACATAATAATACAGGTATTAACATAATGGAAGTGTTTTGTGTGATTCAAGTCGCCATAGGCAGTTCTAGGCTACAAATAAGTCCACAAGTAGTGAAGTTCTTTCCCACAGATTTGATTCACTATAAGCTGCTAATGCACTCTTAAAACACATTCAAACACTTTTTTTATTCACCACAAATTGTATTTCTCGGCAGATTTTTGACTTCCCACAAGTTGTAGTCCTCCAGGGATTTTTAAGTCACCACAAGCAACTGTAAGTCCTCTTGTACATTCACACCATTTTGAGTCAATACAAGCAGTGTTTGCGATATGCTATGATTACCGATATGTCTTCTAAGACTTTCCTGCAATTTAAAGCTACCAAAGCTAAAATCACATGTCACTAATATGTCATCTAGTACTTTTTCTCCCAGGGTTTAACTATTCATCGTGGCTTAATGCTACTGATGTGTCCTCCAGTGCTTTTCTGAAGTGAGTATATTTCAAAGTCTCCACAAGCTAACATTATATGTCACTCATTTTATGTCCTTCAGTACTTATAATGTCCCTCAATATTTAGTCATCACAATCGTGGCTATGCTACTAGTAAGTTCTCCAGTACTTTCCTGCATTTCAAAGTCACCACTAACTGACATTGGTTGTCCTTTAAGGCCTACATTCCTCTGTGTTTTGGTCCTCACAAGCACGGCTATGCTACCAGTATATCCTCCAGTGCTTTCTGACAGCTCTCCGTGGCAAGGTTCTTGTGAGTGAATTCAGAACTGACAACATTTACTCTGCCATCCACATACTGTAACAGAGAAACGTAAAACATTTATCTGTATTTTACAACTAATTGGCATCCGTGTGTCCTGTCCATAATAACTTTACTATCCTATTTATCCAGTAATAAGCCTATGCCATGTTAGTTGAAATGCAAACACATGTTTTTTCATTATTTTGTGAGATTTTGTTTGTGCCTTGATTTTATTGCAGGATATTTATGGTAATAATTAATAAAACATTTTTTATTAGACATGATGAGTTTCCTCAAATAGTATTATTTAGTGTTTTTGTAACATAAAGAATCCACTTGTTTTCTGGATGAAAAAAATGGAACCAAGTACCATTTTCAAGTTTGGATGTCTTTATTCCCAGCAAAAATAATTGGATTGTGAGAAGTATGTATTATCAAACAATTTTGTGTAGAAAAAGGTAAATCTGCCCCCTGAAGTATTAGCCAGATAGATGAACAACTACAGGTAGATTATCGATGGCTGAACTTAGGAGGCTCAACTTTGCTATCTAAATTCAACCTGTACTATCTGTAACATGCCTAATCGAAGTGTACCATGATATTATCTTCAGGTTCGAAGTACCAACCTGTTTCAGACCGTAATCCTGATGTTGAGCACAGTAATCAGGTGACGGCTGTAAAGGTCTGAGCAAGGTCACATCACCCTTGATATTTGACCTCCACATCAAGGTCACTGCCAAAGAGGAAAGCATGTGGTAAATCCTGGTTGCCATGGCAATGTCTTCTGCCAAAAGTTGAGGCTGAAGAGCGGTCAGATGTGATGTCACTTCCTGTATCTTACTGTCGAAAGACTTATTCTCTGTCAATGTCTGTGAATGAAAAAAAAAAAAACAAGTTTGTAATCCAATAGAGGATGCAGATATTATAATTGAAATCATATATAGCTGTATTGTAAATGTGGTCAAATTTGACTACAATTATAATCTGACAACAAGCCCTATCTGATAATAAGCCCACCCATGTTCATAACAGATCATAAGTAGTAGAAATACCAGCAAATGCTTTTTTCTTTTCTTTGCCCCCCCCCTCTATGTATTTGAGATATATATATCCAAGTGTCTAATTGTTATGCTTGACAGTACTATGCCTATGAAAGAATCATTTGAGTCTCCACAATAGAACATCAAAGAATATTTCACTATTTGATGAAATATATTATCATGCTACTGTCAGATATTTTTGGAAATGTTCTAAATATGAATACAATTTTTCTTCTTGATTTGGACATTAATTTATTGGTTTGTTCCTCTGTACTAATAAACATCAGTCTGATGATCAAAACCATTAATTTCAACTGTCTAAAAGTGTAAACCACTATTCAACACACTGTTCATAATTTCAAGTATTCAATGAACACGGATATGATAGTAAAAACTTACCTTTGTGATAGCTGTCTCCCCTGTGAGAGATTCAATGAAGCTGGTGATGGTGTTAGTTTCCTGTGCATGCCTGGACAGACTACGGAGGGCCTTTACCTCGTCCCCATAAAGCTGTGGAACGATGGAAGGGCTCCCATCCACCAACACCAGTTTCCCAATATTCTTGCTGTCTGTGTGGAACTTTTCCAGCTGATGTCTCATTTCCATGGCAACAAGACAGCCAAACGACACGCCTACGAGGTGATACGGCTTGTCTGGTAACAGACTATCTATCTCCTACAAACAGAGAATTAATGTGAGCATGACTTGATAAGTTTTATTTTCACAAAAATGAAATTTAAGATTTATCCCCAATTATTGGTCATGACTACCATGAAAAAGGATTTGACTAGTATAACAAAAAGTAAGTACATGCTTTGAAGTCAACTTGCAATAGCTGATGATTTTCCAGACAGAGTGTCTTTACAAGTCTAGCAAAATGTTAATAAATATAGTGGGGTGAATTTGAGCTTCAGCTCAAAACTTGTCATATTTAAACACCTTGATATTCACTGCTGCAATATTTGTCTCCTAGATAATGGAACTACTCGATAGTCATCAGCCTAAACACTGCTGCAGAAGATATGATGATCATTCTTAACCTGTAAAGAAGTGATGTGAAGATTTACCTGTAAGTAGTGGGCAGCTATTGTCTGTATGGATTGTGCAGGTACATTTGTGGTCAACTGGACGCCATACAATGGTGCCGACACACTGGACACCAAGTCAGATAAACTGGACACTGTGCCTGTGTATGACAGAACCATCATGAACATTGTCAGCAGAGGCAAGGGACACCGTGGAAGAATTGATGAACAGGCAAGGACAGCAGACTTAAGGATATATGCTATCTTAACCATTATACCTTAGACTTGGACTGAATTATCTCCCTTGAACGATTTTCTATTTATGGTAGCAAATACTTCTGGATTACTCCATGGCGTTTTATCAGTGTATGAATTCCTGTTTACCTTTCCAAGTGTCGACAACTTATTAATCCAGTTCAAATTTCTCTTTTCATAAAGGAATTATTTGGCAAGTTTTCTAGTATGGAGCTCTTCTTGAAAGGAGATTTATGTTACAGTAAGATAACATAGGTCCTTAATATTAATAATATACTGTAGAGGAGTCACTGAATCATTCTAGTAGAAGGTACAATGTATGATAAAGGGACAATTTATCAACGCCGCACTACTTTTATCACTAAAGAATCTTCATCAAATTAGACGAGGCGTTTGCTTCAATATTAATCTGGTTCTTAAAATGAGAGCACATATTAGAGGAGAAAGTCGACAACTCACCTCCTAGAGAATGGATGATAAAAACAGCAGGCCTGTCATTGTCAACGTCATTTAGTCTTTTGATGGTATGTGTGGCAACTAGATCATCTCTTGTGATGGACACTTTTGCAGATGAATTCTCCACTGTCAGAAAAAGATGGACATTCATTTCCATTAATAAATGGTTGTATATGTTCAATTCTAAATAAAAATTAATGAATTCAAGAAAATGTATTATCACAGTACCGGAATGTACACTTTTTATATGTCCAAAATCAAATATCATTGAACCTTATAATTGGCAGTGGCATTGACCTGTCTGCATCGACTTAACTTTCAAGCTATATAATATGTTTACAGAGCCAAATGTCAAGAGACTCCAAAATAGTGTTAGTGTGAACAAATTATCATTTTATGTTAACCACTATTCATTCTGTATAAAACTGGTAACTGAAATTAAAGCCAATCACATCTCCCTTCACATGTTACTTACCATTAGTGTCGAGCACAGTGCTGTCCAACTCTTCTTTCAACATCTTCTTTAACTGGCGAATCGTCAGAGTACGGATTTCGTCCACAGAAATACTAAGGTCAAACTCATGGTCAAGAAGTTGTTTGATTTCAGCCAGCATGAGGGAGTCCAGTCCGATGTCCACCAGAGGTTTGTCAGGGCTGGGGGTGTTTCCCGGCTGAATACCTGTCAACAGAAGAAAAAGATACACGCATGAAAAAGAGCATTTTTCATTTTGAAGGGCTGACAACTTCCTAAATCTATTTTGTCATATATTGTTTTCACAAAAATTTTACTGCTAAAATTACTGATAATTTGAAAGATACTTAATATAAATTGCAGTTGTATTTCAGATAATGGCTAACTTATTGGGATGCTGATCTGGAACATTGTTGTCGCAATATCCACCTTACAAGTGTTAAGTTTTGGCACAAAGCAAATCGGACACAGAAAAATCTCCAAGGCTCACCAATTATCTGGAGAATGGCCATGGCTGAATCCCTCCTACAGAGATGATGGTTAGGCACTTACATGGAGTTCACAGATGAAACCCCAAAACTTACCAATGATCATGAGATAGCTGCCATCAATGCCCTATCACCCTAGCCTTTTCACCACTATAGACCATAATGGACTTATCCAGATCAATGCATGGTAGAGTTTATTAAAGTTACATAGGGATGAAAGGGTTAAAGATTGTATATTTTGGTACATGAGGCTACATGATGTTACAGACGACTTTGCATGACTGAATGATCTGGAAAATGGCTGTCATCAATGCTCCCTCTACCCCTAGATATTGGATATTTTGGTACCTACATGGAGTACACAGATTATTCCAAAGATGATCTACCTATGATCTAAAAAATGGCCCTTGTGAGATCTAATGTTTTAGCACCTACAAGGTGTACCTAAATGAGTTCCAAAGATCTATCCATGATCAAGAGAATTCTGTCTTGGTGAAAATAAAACGGGGCAATATTTCCCATTTTACATTACTGTACTTCAAATCTTACCAATAATCTGGAGCACGGCAGTAGTGATATCCTGTTTCTGTCCCTGAGCCTGTGGGCCGAGGTCGTTGGTCTGGGCAGGGACGTAACTTGACACAACAGGGTGGGATTGGTGAAGGAGTGTCCCCAGGACCTCCAGGCATGACACCAGTCTCTGGGGTAGGGTACCACCCACCACAGTCTTGTCGCTGGCCACACCCACATCACCGATAGCGCCCCACTGAATGGCCAGTCCTAATACATGTACAACATAAGTATCTCTTTCGTTAAATATTCAAACCAAAATTTCCCCATTGACATGTTATTTCTAATTGAACACCATTGACAAAAGTATTTTTTTTGTTTGTTTACTTCCATTTTTAGTCAATTATAGCCAATAATTGCAAAATTGAGCAGAATTTTTCCTTTCTCTTGTTTTTGTTCTTTTTTCAACCAATTTGGTTGATTTTTCCTGATTTATCTTAAATTGTTGGTTACACATTTTGTCAAATTTCAAATAGTCATACCCAATAAAAATAAAGAGGAATTAACTTTTTATGATGAAAATTTGACAATTAATAGCTGAATCTTAAACAGATTAGTGTTTTCCCGATGATTATAACTGAATAACATCTTTTCAACTTGATACCAAGTCTGAACACTGTAATCACCATTAATTGCTTCCCCAATTTGTTCAATTTATCAATTATCGTTTACCAATTCCCAACATCAGGACAAACAGTTTACCAAACAGATGTCTAACCTGGCAATCCTTCTGCTTTCCTTTCTTCACATACTCTCTCCATCACAGCATTGGCGAAGCCGTAGTTGGTCTGGCCAGCATTTCCAAAGCCACTGCTCACAGAGGAGAACACAACAAACCAATCGAGGCTATCCTTACATCTGGCCTTGGTCTCCAGGTCAAGGTTCAGTACTACGTCGATTTTGGCCTCGCAGACAGCCTTATAGTTCTCCATTGACTGATTCTCAAACAAGCCATCTTTCAACACCTGTTAACAAACCCTTGAGCTTATCTTAAGTTTTCTTCACCAACACAATGTACTTATAAATGTCAGTAATTTTCAGTACAAATCACTGATACTTTTAAATGTGTGAGCTCATCTTTAATGTGTGATCCATACAATGTAATTTATCTGACCCTAGTAATGTAGCAAAACATGAAAAACTTCTATAAAAATGTACTTATATTAAAATGTTTGAAATTCCAGATAATGTAAGTTGAAGGTTTTGATTTTAAAACTGAAGAGTGACATTACACCATATTTTGTTACATGTATTATATAAAAAAAACATCCTATTTAGTGCAGATCTTGCAATGGAAGTCATTCTTATCTACAGTAATACACACCATGGCCAAATGGAAAACACCGGCCACCTCACCGAAACTCCTCGCCTCATCAAACAAATCCTTGGTTCCCGCTCGTGTTCGGATGTCATCGTTGGAAATCCTCACAGTAATGCCTTCGTCCTTCCACAGCAGTAATTTACGAGCCTGGTAGCTATTTTTGACCCCTGACCTCGATACAAGGATGATGTTTCTTGCACCATTGTCAATCAGCCACTGAGCTAACTCGATGCCGAAGCCTCCTAGACCACCGGTGATGATGTACGACTTGTTTGCAGGACAGAAACACTGCAGCAGTAGTGGGATGTCCCCTGGCAGGTTCTTACTGGGTGTACTGGGTACCATCTAGAGGCACAACAATAAATCTATTAGGTACTACAACTTCACGATTTGCCAAGCAAATTTTTTAACGTTTTAGAGTAGTATCAGGAGTACTGAGGGAGACATATAAAGAATTGTTTTAAAAAATTGAAAAAAAAGGACATAGAAATATGCTGTTGGAAGGTAAAACAGCCAATTAAATAAGAGGTTTTACTGTACATTTTTGCATTCATGTGAAACCCCCATTTTGTGAAGTGTTGAGTTTGTAGTTTCGTCTTTGTCAATGTGGTGTTGCTATATTAGAATTGTACATTCTGGGATAGAATTCTCAATTTCATCTACCTTGCCTATGAAAAATAAGAAAAGAACATTTGGCATCAACTTGAACAATGCAACAAACCTCCACAAGTATTTTAGATGCTGAACCTTTCTCGGTTGTCATGGCATCAAAAGCCTCCTTGAGTTTGTGGGGAGGGTAGGTGGTGAAGGGGAGGGGCTTAATGGTGTTGTTCTGTATGCCCTGTTGGATCATCTCGGCTACACTGGGCATGTCCATCTCCTTGAGGGACTCAATCCGGATACCCAGGAGTTCATAGCTACCCTGGATTGTTCCTAAAAGGAGCAACAAGATAATGCCATACTCCTTATTTCTGAAATCATGTTTTTAGCTAAGGCGTTAGCCGCCAGCTATTGGTATTACTTTAGTTAATGAGCTCAAGATATTCATAAATGTCGATTTCACACAGACGCCTCTAGTGGTCAGCACTGGTACTAAATTGAACCATATACCGGACCTACTGTCTTTATTATGCGTAACTTTGGACTCAAATGCACTTGAANGTTTCGGTCTAAAAGTTTCAAAAAATATTAAGATTGTCCAGTAACTGACCTTGAAATGTACAGTAAATGACCTAGAGACTCAAAGCAAATGACCTTGAAATGTGCAGTTCTTTATCTTCATAGGAATAGTAATTAACTGACCATGATGATAATTTAAATGTCCTATTATACAGGAACTGACTTTGAGGTACAAAGCATTTGACCTTGACATACATACTGTTTAACCTTGAGGTAAGTTAACTAACCTTACATGCTTAATGACCTTGAGATATTTTATAGAAACTGACCTCGAGAACATGGTGTTTTACCTTAGTTGAGTTACACAGTGTTTGACCTTGAGGTTTCTGTTAATTAACCTCAAAGTATAATTTTACTGACCTTGAGGTATACGATCTGATGGGATATAAGTGTTGAGGTCCAGAAGCTTGCCGCCATGTTGTAAGAGGCGGATATCTGACTGGAGGTTGTCAGCCATCTGAGAGGTCAGCACCATACTGACACCTAGGGACAAAACAATTGACTTTGGAACTATTATGACAAAACTTATTTCAACTGAAGGAAAACATGAATCAGCCACTCTAATCAACCAGTTATTGTTATTTCTAATCCAGTCACCTCCCCCAGTAAATGCAACACAAATTTGCATAGAAAAATGTGAATTTGTCTCCTGAAACACTAGTTGAGCTTGTGTGGTGACTTAATGAACAAGTCCAGACAATATATAGATTATGAACATAGCATGAATACAGTAGTAAACCCAGTCAAACAGCTACCAAAAGCCTGGTGAAATGTTAGCAACCTAAAGGAGTTTGACAGTACATGTACATCAAGTGAAAGGAATAGAGGATTTTTTAAGAAAAAGGAAATTGGGATCTTGAAATATGTTGGCAGTAAGTGAGGTGGCAAATTAAACATGGGGCATTCTAACAAGGTTTAATGTTATCTTTAATAAGTAAGTGGACTTCGTGAGAGGTGATTGCAACTTTCTGGGGATTATGACAGCATGAAAAAGTTTATCCTTTATAGCTACTAAATGAGTCTGCATTTTGTACGGTATTAGTTTCCTCAATTGGCCTGTAAAGAGCTGTTTTCAGCAAACCATCAATGTTTTCTTTCACACTGAAGCCAATCATATGTACACGAAGGTTAATTGGACATTAGTGTTACAGACAATTGTGGAAGCCCACAAGATGCATGTTAAGTCAAATCACCTTTGCCTTTAGTTGCACGGAGGATATCTGCCTCGTAGTTGTTGGACTGGTGAGGAAGGAAAATGCGATCTTCCGACAGCCGCGGGAAATGTTGACTGAGCATGTCCTTGTGTGACGGCATCTTCACAGTCACGTAAATGTTTGTACTGTAGCTCAGGGCAATGGCCACCGCAGCCTGCCCAACGTCACAAGCCGCATCGTGTATGAGCACGCACGCGTCCTTGGTAAGGTTTCCTCTGACCTTGAGGGCATAGATGGCTAGGCCATATGCCCATATCACCGTGGCAGCCTCTTTGTGCGACCACGTCTCCGGGATGTCCCAGATTAGGTCCTTCTCCGCCAACACCACCTTGGATAGGGCCTGGAACATATAAGTATCCAAACTTATGTAATGTGTACTGTTCAATATCTTCAAACTTTTATTCACTTTACATTTTGTTCTTCCTTTCAAATAATTTTGTTTGCGCAATGTAAAATATCTTCAGGGTCACCAAAAAAAGTGCGAAATTAAATACCCGGCGAATATCAATACCATGAATTATCTGAGATTCCATTTCATACGAGATTTAGAAAACATGTTAGTAAGGCTCTTCCGAGCTGTAAATATAAATTAGGACAAGTTTCATAAATCTTGTATGAAATGGTAACTAAATCAATATCCTTTTCAACCCATTACTGCAAATATAAAAAAAGGTTTTCTCCTACTATATTTCAGTTATCAATTTCATCATCTTAACTTCAATGCCTTCAACAGATTAAAGGCCACATGGAATTATATTGCCACTTCACTGAGGGTCATCAATTAATTTTATTTTCACATAAACATATTGTGCTAATAAACTAAACATGGGATTAGTGAAAATTTCAAACTGCAAAAAAGTTACAAGTACAAGCTCAGAGCAATAACTTGATAAACAATATGTTGTACATTCGATCTGTATCATTACATGGGTTAATGCTATTCTACTGTTACCTGGTTAGGGGCCAGCCCCATCACACGTCTCCCGTCAGGTGTGAAGCCGGAGAACTCCGTACAGAGTGTGCCACCTGGTTCCCCAGTCACTAGCTTCCCTGTGGCTATCATTCTGTCGGCTGTGTTAAGTGCCACACAGACAATGTGGCACAACACCTTTGACTCGTCCTTTGCCACGTCTAGCCTGGACGGTTCTTTGAATGACCAACAGAAACTGGACATGTCGCCGTACTTTTTCATTCTCACCTCCACATTCTTGTTTTCTCTTAGGTCCATTTTTATTTCCGATAGCACTGAAAGGAGAAATGCCTGAATGATGATTTTTCATTTTATTATGTAAGGCCATTCATTTTTACTTATCATATACTTACTTATTGCTCAATATGCTGTAATAAACCCTATTCATTTGAGTATGTGACACCTATATGCCAAGTGCCCCGTCTCTGTGCTAAAACACCTCAAACATTTAGTTCCTTCACATGTCTAGATCACGAAATTATAAGTTTATGTTGTAAATTTGGGTCAAAATCGCGAAAATTTAAGCCCGCACAAATAATCTGTTGTATAGTATATATCCAGTGTAGTATTATTTAAATGTGGTAATTTAAATCTACAAAATCACATCCAAGTCAGAACAGCTGAGCCGGTCTTCAAGCCAAGATTTTTATTGTAATGTGTGTATAAGTAATAACATGTATAACTATATCAATATCCAACATATCAGTATCATGTTCCATTAGTAGGTCCTTAATACAATCTAGAACTCAAACGCTGTGTTGTTATTATTACTGACATAAATGAGTGTCTTTGATTTAATATTGCTTGAATGAAACCATCATGTATATATGTAGTACTATCTAAATTATTTCATATCAATTTAAATAAATTGTCATTCTGCTTAAAGCAGGTAGTATTTTATCAAAGTGACACAATTGCTGCAATGAAAATTTAATGAGGTTTTATCAAATTAAATCAAATTTAAATTTCTATTCAAATAGATAAAATGGATATTGACTTTTGAAATTATAAGGAGCAAATTACTTTCATTATTCTATATGGTTGCTAAAAATAAGAATAACATGAAACAAAGGTTGGTAACTTGATTAATGCAAGCTTGCAAACAGTTCATATCAATAACTTCCCAGCATCGGGACTAACAATAGTCAATTTACCAGTTAAAGTAAGGTGTGAGACTTAAACCATTCTGCTATTCCGATTCAAATTTTTAAATGGTAAACCTTAAGTAACTTTAAATTTGCTCAAATATTCTCCAGAATGACAAAGCACAATATGTTATTCCCAATATTACACATGTGTATATTTTGAACCACAGAAATGTCTAAAACGTGCTGGAAACCCCCCAGTTTCGTACCAAACTTGTAAACCTAAATGTTTACCTGACTTGGGTGGGATCTGCCTGTAGGACCCACACACTCCCTCCTTGTAGACATTCATCACCAAGTCTCTCTCCATCAGACCCTCTAGGTAGCCAGGTGTAGGTTCACAGGCTTTGTTGACCCCGTCAGCATGGAACACACACCTGAAATTGATATATTAACATGCTGTTTTTATTTAACTCGACATTTACCGAGACATGGATGGTTTTGTCTGTCTTCCACCTTCTACCTGTTAAACTTGGGTCCAGGAACTGTAACACAAACTCTTTCAAGCCCTACATACCCAACAAACAAACTTAATTCATACCTTAATAATCTCATGAACTCACTCCCATCTTGTATACCAATTAACCTAACAAATAGGTTTCCTTTTTCAGACTCGACCAACCTACCTAACTCGTTCGCCTCCTGGTTCTCGTCGCAGACATCGCACCAATCCCAGAATTCCATTCCGTTTCTCCTTGTCAGCCACAAGCCACAGGTTGTCTCCCTTGGGTCTTGTCTGCACTTCTTTAAACTTTGTCTTGAGATCATCCAGCCATGAGAAGTTGAGGTGATCCACATGAACCACAGTTTGCCTCTTTGGATCAGATTTTGTCCTTTTTTTTAACAGATACAGGGTGTATAGAAGGCTATCTGCTTTCTCTACAATGATTTCAAGATCAGCCATCTTGAATAGTTCCTGCCACTTGGGGGGACTGCAGTACCACCCTAGTGTCCTTTCATCCTTCACATTCAAACATGACTTCATCAGACCATCCAGCATGGCCTGTATGTGGAAGTTATGGGTGACCTCGAGCAGAAGGAGGTAGCCGTCGGCTGCAACCATTGCCGACACTTTCCTGAGAGATTCAGCAATGTCAGGTTGTCCATGCAGGAAGTCGTCTATGACAACAAGCTGGAAGGGATCATCTGGTTTAGATGCTTCACCAAGTGTCCAGTCAACCTGATGAAAGCTGACTGCTCCCCTTTGAGTTTGCTGAAGATGACCTCTCAACTTTTCCCCAAAGATGTTGTCTATATTCTTGACTTCCAGCACACTAAGTGCTCCTGCCGACAAATTTTCTGATACGATGTCAAGACATGGGTTGAGCACAGCCTTGTTGGTCATGTGATTCAGCAATTGGTCCTTTTCCATGTCAGATCCAAATGCCTCTAGCACACTTACGATGTTATCAGCCAATCCTCGGGTCGGTCTCATGGTAGAGACCTTCATCAAGGTTCTCAGCAGACTCCAGTCCATCCGATCCAAATCCTTAGACTTGATTTTCAAATTGCTGATGTCGTCTGCTTTACACGATTTTGCCACTACTTCAAACAGCTTCTTATTTGGAATGCTCGACTCTCCCAGGTGAGATTCAAATTTGTTGAGTATTGCAGCAGCAACACGGCTGCACTGTTCAGTATACTTAACCAGAGAAGGCAACGTTTCCCGACAAGTTGTATCACGGTACGAAACAAAGGTCATCTCACCAAGGGCAACTGTCTGGTCGTGGGGTCGAAGGTTAACCTTTGTCAGAGTCACTCCCTCCATAGTGGCACCTCCTGCTGTTGTTGTGTCGCCAAATTTATTCACAAACACCTTCACAACTGCAAAGGCAAATTGCACTGAATTAATAAGAATATAGTTATTGCAAAGCATTACTAATCCCTGGATCATTGTTAAAATTGAGAGATGTCTGGGCTTGTTTTTTAGATTACGAGGTATTCATTTGGTACACGATGAAATGTACTTTTTATAGTAACAACATGAACAATGACCTTGACCTAACAGAGTCCCAACTGCCTACATGATCACTAGACATTGGATGGGAACACATTTTTCTCTGTATGCTGTGACCTTGGCCTTTGACATTTGGACCATGTGGGCAGTGTATGAAGATTGATCAGCCTCGAGTTATTTTGTGGAAACTCTATGTCTGATTACATTAAGTGTTATCAGCTGAGCAGAACTCAATTCATTGCACAGAATTCAACTTTCTATTTATATGAGTGACCTTGATTTTCAGCCCTGAAAAGCAACCATATGCAAACTCCAGTGTAGCAGACCAATCTAGTACTAAATGTTAAATGCCAAGTTCCTATCAAACATACAAAGCCAGATCCTAAAAACATTCCCAAACTGAATATCACTATATTACTTCTACCAAAAAGAATTAAAATGATCCTGATTTGTCCTACTGATTATAGGAGTTATATCTGAATTTTATTCAGCTCATGAAAACAAAAATGAAGCTATATGATGAACTGCCTGCCTTACTTGTCTTTCCAGTGTTGGAGTCAAGCAGTACAGCATTGTTGTGGAGGACAGGATTGATGGTCAGTCTCCGTATGCCTGTGGGTAATGCTGACTTGATGTCGGGTTTCACCACCAGGTGGATCTGTATCATGGCATCCAAAAGTAACACCCAGTTGTTGGTCCATACCAAGTCACCTTGTTCACCTTATAGAGAAAGAAGCAGTGTTAAAAACTAACATGTCTGCCTGCCTAGACTGTTATATCAAGTCTACACAGTTGGTCTACAGACACAATCAACGTACGAAGACCCTTGTCTATCAGACCGTTGATGATGAATGGACAAAGAGTTTGAGTAAACACTTATTCCCAGATATATATATAACCAAACCCGTTTTTATAATGCCAAAAAGCTTGACTTGTGGCAAGATTTTATTTTACAGTGGTTAAATTATTGTGGCATTCAGACTGTATTTATAATGAAAATTGAAAAAAAAAAAAAAAAAAATTGACATAGGAAAATACAAAATTTCTAAAGTTCAATTTTTCTTAGTGTTTTCTTTCACATACCTCTACAGCTTGTTTTTGCAATAGACCTAAACTTAGGTCCAAAGTCGTATCCGCGCAGCCTCAGTTCTTTGTAGATATCGTCTGTCGTCAACTCTGGTTCCAAACGTCGTCGAGGGCTCTGTGGGACTAGAACATCCTCGGCATCAGGCTTGGGGTCATCTTGTGCAGGGGAGATAACTCCACTTGCCACGAGTCCATCATCCTGACTTATCTCAAAACAGCCAGTGACTTGTGTGAGATTTACACGAAAGGTAAGCTTACCTGGAAACATTCAAGAAAACATGGCTCATTTCAACATATGAAAAAGTGGATGAAGGACACATATGATTTACTGTGAATAGCTGTGATTGTATGTCCATGTCATACTTAGTCATGGCTCAGTGCAAATAAAATGGAATATAATCATTGAAGGAATTTGCACATCTTTTATTATTGCTTTTAAATTCATGATGTCACATATTATACATCTGCTTAGACCACAGGTGAAAAGATACTTGAATACATCAAGGCTTTTTTAGGGAAAATACTCAAAAATAGACATTGATATGCTAAATTTTTCATCAATTTAGAAAATATCCTGCCATAGATTTCAAAATAACAACTAGATTAGACCTCACAATGTCAATGATTTTGTGACATGGTCTGGATTGGTAAGTAAACAATATTTATGTCATATTTCATCTGCATTTATTGTTATGTGATGAAAAGTACCATATGAATGGTACTGAAACGTGTCTGGTATATTTTTTCAGTCGATCAATATATCAATCATATGTGTATATCATAATGAAGGTGAGGAGTACCAGATTTAGGGAGGATGGTGGCGCGATGAAACACCACGTTCGTAAAAGAGACGGGCAGCTGTGTGTACAGCTGTCCACAGACTCGTGCTAGGGCTCGCCATGCCAGAGTGAGGTAGCCAGACGCTGGAAATAGGTCAAGGCCATTGATCCGATGGTCTACCATGAAGTGGTACTTCGACTCTGGTGACAAGTCGATCTCAAACAGGCATGCAAGGCCCTCTGTGATGAAGTTTTCTGGGTCAGCTACAGCCCAGGTCTGATTGTGGTCCCATCGTATGGCGGGGCTTATCATTGGGGTGCCCCGGGGTACAGGGAGCTGAACAGCAGGGAACAGCCCCAAAGGGTTCACTCTCACACCCTCCAGATAACACCTAAAAGAGATAGTCAAATGGGGTTCAAACGAAGTGTAAGATTACTGCTTGTGCTACAAAACCTGAAAACTCATCGTCGTAACTCAAGTAAATCATCCTGATTGATGATGAAATGCTAGTATCTTTGGCGTATCCTTTTTCTTATTGTCTCCAAAAGATATCTGTGAGGTATGACGAGTTCTAAAATCCAAACCTCAGACACTTAGTACGCCTAGATATGGAAAGGATACACCAAAGTGTAAGCGGTTAAAGAACAAGAGGCCTATGGGCCTGTATCACTTGCCCTTTCTTTTATCTGAACACTGTTCGGTAGTGACAGCTACGCCTTAACTTTTCATGTATGCTTGTTCATTGTTAACATGAAATCTCTTTTTAATTGTAAATATAAATGTTTCAGCATCATTTTTCATGAAACATCACACTGAGATGTGACCTATCGGGATCTATCAATGTTTTGATGAATGGTTACAATCCTACCGAAGACATCACAAGTTATACCATGCTTACAAAGATCATCCTTAAACTACTTACTTCCCGAGGTTGGAGAAGAAGAATTCCTGATTGTTTTCATGAAGCTTCTTCATCACACCAAATATGGAACAGCTTTTGGGGAGGGAGCGCTTTATCACTGCTTGCAGGAGACAGTGTGGAGCAATCTCAATCACACAAGCGTTTTCAGGAATGTGCTGAAGTGCTTCCTGGAAAAGCACTGGGCTAACCAAGTTGTTGACAACATACTCTGGCGATGACCATTTTGCTTTCTCACTGTCCCATTCTGACTCCGGCACGGAAGAACTGATCCATTTGGAACTTCTAGGCTTGGGTTTTATCACCTGTAGCAAGCAAGCAAGATGTACAAACTCTACTGAAGCCAAACAAAGTACAGGTCTTCCGTATTAATAAACCATCCCCATTCACTGCCTTCCCTGACACTTTTGAGGCTACTTCTTTGACTTACATCTGTACATGTTGCCTGTTTTCCTACCTTCCTTGTTGATGTGTTTCTAACATACCTGACAAAGTAAAGCTGAATATCTGGCAATAGTATTCAAAGGTAGTTAACAGGTGTCACCTTGTTCTCACCCGAGTCATGTGTTTCAGGTAACTTACCTTCAACAAACGCAACATCAGGATCAGAGGGATGCCATCTTGTTTCGGACTTATGTCAGGTGGCTTGACAGGTGAGACATGATGATGCCCATCTTGTTTCTGGCATGTTTAAAATGTGTCGGGTGTACTAACCTTCAATCTGAGAGAAATGAGAAGTAGTGCCACCTTCTACTAATTTGTATAAAGTGTCAGGTGTAATTAACTTAAACAGGTGAGACATAAAGAGGATTACAACTTCCTGAGTGTCTGGTGTGTCTGGTGACTTACTTTCAACAGGTGAAAATTGAGGGGTGTCATCTAATGTTCTGTTCTCTATCAAATGTGCCAGGAGTACTTTAAAATACCTTTGACAGATGAGACATTAGAATGTGCGCCGTCAAGTTTTATCCTGCGTCAAGTGACTTAGTTTTAACAGTTTAGACAGGAAGCGGGATCACCACCTTGTGTTGTCTTGTGTCAGGTGTACTTACCTTTGACAGGCGAGACTTGAGGAGGGTTGCTACTTTGTTCTGTCTTGTGTTAGGTGTACTTACCTTTTACAGGCGAGACTTGAGGGGTGGCACCTTTTTCATGTCTTTTGTCAGGGGTACCCACCTTTGACAGGCGAGGCTTGAGGAGGGGTGCTACCTTGTTCTGTCTTATGTCAGGTGTACCTAGCTTTGACAGGCGAGGCTTGAGGGGGGCCACCTTGTTATGTCTTTTGTCAGGTGTACCTAGCTTTGACAGGCGAGGCTTGAGGGGGGCCACCTTGTTATGTCTTTTGTCAGGTGTACCTACCTTTTACAGGCGAGACTTGAAGGGTGCCACCTTTTTCTTGCTTTTGGCAGGTGTAGCTACCTTTGACAGGGGAGACTTGAGGGGTGCCCACTTTTTCATGTCTTGCGTCAGGTGTACTTACCTGTGACAGGCGAGACTTGAAGGGTGCCACCTTTTTCATGTCTTGTGTCAGGTGTACCTACCTTTGACAGGCGAGACTTGAGGGGTGCCACCTTTTTCATGTCTTGTGTCAGGTGTACTTACCTTTGACAGGCGAGACTTGAGGAGGGGTGCCACCTTTTTCATGTCTTGTGAGTGAAAGGCAACTCCTGCACTATTGACCTGCCGAGCAAACACTCCTCGACCCTTGAGCTCATCCACAAAGTTGGCCACTGCAGTAACTGGTCCAGACACAGTAACAGTACTAGTGGCATTGTGGCATGCTGGAACAACATCCTTAGGGCATTGGTCTTTAGCCTCCTTCCAGGTCAGCCCTGTCAACAATAGTATGGTTACTTGGTAAAGGACTTTTGGAAATGATATTCAATTTGTTATAGACAAAGCCAAACCATGTGCCTTATGATGAAACTTGTTATAGACAAAGTCAAACCATGTGCCTTATGATGAAACTTGTTAATCTTGTCATAGAATGAATAACAATCTATTCTACTTCCTCACGGATTCACCTTTGGGGGTAATTCTCAGCATTTCCATTTCACATCAAAATACCCTCCTGACATATCAAAAGGAAATCTTGTTAAACGTTCTTCATTTAAACAACTGATTTTTATCTGAAAGGACATGGAATCAGATTGATGTAAAATCATTGTTTATTGACAAATTAATCGGAACCTGTATTAAAAGGTCACCTGTCTCTGAATAAAAAGGTCACCTGCATATCTCTGGATTAAAAGGTCACCTGTCTAAAGTAGCCATTATTCAATGTGTCGTCTCTCATGACTGACTGCTGAAAATGCATTTGACTGTAGTTGATGTCAACTATGCCTTATTTACCCGTTTATATACATTTTAAATATACTTAAGCTTTACCGACTGCTGCCATGCCCCCTGGTGGCAGTTTGGCTTCCTCCACACAGCGACCTCTCCAGTATGCGGCCAGAACAGTTTCCTCAGCGGTCAGCGACCCATCAGCATAGCCACATCCCAGTTCACCCACTGAGTGGCCCAGGATTCCATCTGGTTTTATTCCCATACAAAGCAGCATGTCTGTGAGAGCTACCTGAATCAGTGCAAAGGGTAAAGTTAACAAAACCTTCTTTGTCAAGGTTAACAATGAACATCTCTAATTGGTTTGGGAACAAGATTTGACCTGCCGTAACCCATTGCATGATTGTACAAGGTGATTAATCTTGGGTTTCCTGTATTACAGTATGACCTTGTTTGTCACATGACCTTAAAGTCATTACGATAATGGCCACTCTTATCAAGGTGATAGAGCAAAGGTCATACAGACAAGTTCAACTTAACCCCTTCTCAAACAGCTGACCTAGTGAAATTTGTAGGGGACTTTTTAAGGCAAGTTCTGTACATCGTTTTCAAAATGTTAATGAAACCCATTACTATAACTATTGTGCAGTCTTAAAATGTGGGCGAGTCCAACAGAAACAGCACAAGTCCAGAACTCAAATATCTGTGGCCAAAACAATCTAACTGAGTCAAGGTCAAGGACACACAAGGTTCACAATCAAAGGAATCAGTAGCATTGTAAAATGTACAGTCCTAATATTACTGACTGTAACAATGGCGGAATCTATGAAGGTCTTTGAACTTGTAAAATATACAGTCCTAATATTGCTGACTGTAACAATGGCAGAATCTATGAAGGTCTTTGAATTTGTAAAATATAGTCCTAATATTACTGACTGTAACAATTAATGGTGGAATCTATGAAGGTCTTTGAACTATAATTTGTGTGTACCTGTATAGAGGCGAGTCCTACAAAGGAATGGAGGACACTTTCATAGGTATTTTCTTCTCCCTCCATGATCAGCTTCAGCAGCTGTAGCCCATGTTTCTGGAGGACAGCGTCACATCGTTCAATTGAGCGACGGAAAACTTCGAACTTCATCATCGTGCGCCCCATCCCCGGCCATTGGGATCCCATGCCAGAATACACCAGCCACAATGGACGCTCAGCTACAGCTGAACTACAATCCTGAAAATAATAAGGAGAAAAATACAAAACATTTGCTTTACTGCCATCTTAATCTCTTCTAACCAGTTTATCACATTTCCTGTAAGCTGGTTCCTCTTCCTCTAATAGCCAAAAAACAGGCAAAACACTGAGAAATCAAGTGCATCATTTCATACATAAAGTTACCTCCCCTTAATTTCTTATTCAGATGTAAGTGTAGCGCAACTAGGCCAGGGAACAACTACTGACCGGGTAGCTCAGCTGGTTAGAGGGACAGTGTACATATTGGTAATGTTCAGTTACCCAGGGTCTGAATTCTAGTCGGGCCCAGCTGTTGCATTTTTACACTCATAATTCTATTTTTGTTAATTTCATCTTTATTATTTTGTCATGAGAAGTTCTGTAATGTGTATAATAATGCATTTCTTTCAGAAATGATTGATCAAAGCCAGTCATGCCAGAAAAAACTGCAATGCATAGATTTTGACAATGGGTGGGGATCTTTAATATCCGCTCCATTATAAAATTAGCATCTAGTTTATATTCCCTACTTTGACACAGTGAACATCACATGAATAGCATTTCCAACAACAACAGCCATGCAGCCAAAGCTTCTAATATTTGTTCAGATTTGATGAACAGGTACCTTTATTTCCTGGAGTTTGTCTGGAGCGTTAACCAGCGTGTACCCACGCATGGGATGGAACGTAGGTGCCACATGGGTGGTTTCCTGTAGTAAGTACTGAAGGTGTATGTTACTGGCATTACTTTGTACCAGTCTGAATACTGACTCCAACCCTTCCTTTGTCCTAGCCGAGTATGTGAACAATCTACTCAGTTTTTCCGCCGGGTGGCACTTGGATTTCTGATGATCGTGAGCGGCAAATACGGCATGAGCACATAGGTTACCAAGTCCATAGGAGTTTAAGGCCACTATGCCACTGTTGCCGGGCAGCCGTGTCTTTTCTTCCACTACCTGGACTTGACCGTTTAGGGTGGTAGCGAGATCACGGTTGGCGGTATGTAGGTGAAGGTTCGGTGGAATAATGTCTTCTTCCATTGTCAGTATCAGTTTAGCAAGGCCCACAAGGTCTGGAAGACAGAAGGTAGTAAATGGTCAAATTATAAATTTTGAAACAAAATTCATACCAGTTGCAAAGCAAAATCTTACAAACCTTATAGAATCTTGTTGTTCTGCAGTAAGTTACAATGGGTATACAGCTAAGGAGAATCTGCTTTCAAATTCCTATAACATGTGATTAACACATTTTTTCTTTATCAAAATAATTAGTTGATTCAAAATCCTAATACATCATCAGCAACTCCTAGCTGACTCAAGTTGGCTAAAGTTTACAGCAATTTTTAATTTGGTAGATGGGATGGGACACAAGGAGCAGTGAGAAATTGGACATGTCACACCTAAATTGGGAAGACTGAGGAGTAGGACAGAAATCTTTCTGCAATATGTGCTTTACCTGATACAGTTTCCATATGACCAATATTGGACACCACAGAGCCAATCAGAAGAGGCGTTGATCTGTGACTGCTGAAGACCCTGGCGAGAGCTTTCATTTCCTGTGCCTCTCCCTTAGCAACGGAACAACCGCTCGTCTCAATATATGCCACATGTTCTGGTGGCACACCGGCTTCTTGATACACTTTCTTCAGAAACTCTGTCTGTTCCTCTACACTAGGGGGCAACACTGCAATCAATTTGAAAGACAACACTTCACATTCTTGAAAATAAATATGAATAAACACTTCACATAAAAAAAATATAATAATGAAAACTAGGAATCATTTTACATCATGAACCTTTTCAATAAAAGAGTACTGTTAAGTGAAGTATTTATGTCACATGAAGTAATCAGAAGAGTAAAATATTGGACGTTAATTGTATTAAAAAATATTTTTACTAAATCCAATATGATGCTACAGCTAACAATGGGACATGGATCTGAATCAGAATGTCAGCTTTGTACTTTTAATTTTGTTATTATACCACATTTTATGTAGGGACAGTGACCTGAAAGTCGTCTTTGTACTTTTATCTTTTTAATAATGCCACATCTAATACATGGGGATAGAGACCTTGATGTCACCTGTACTTTTATCTTTTTAATAATGCCACATCTTACATGGGGATAGAGATCTTGATTTCACCTGTACTTTTAACTCTGTTATTATGCCACATCTTACATGGGGATAGAGATCTTGATTTCACCTGTATTTTTAGCTTTTTTATAAAGCCACATCTTACTTTGGGATAGAGACCTTGATGTCACCTGTATTTTTAACTCTGTTATTATGCCACATCTTACTTGGGGATAGAGACCTTGATGTCACCTGTACTTTTAACTCTGTTATTATGCCACATCTTACTTGGGGATAGAGATCTGTAGGATGCCACCTTTGTATGTAGCACAGTGGAGTAAATTCTCTTGGCTGAAGACTTCTTCTGTAGAAACATGGCTACCACACCCTCGCTCCTCACAAGTCCATCCGCTATAACCAGACACAAGTACAGGTTTTCTCATTCAGGTATCAGTTATTGTCCTTTGGCAATTTTACAAATCACAGCACATATTAATATACATGTATGACGTTTTGGAAACGTAATTGAAGCACTTTTCCATGCATCAATTTACTGACTTCCAGAGTTATGTTATCTAAGAAACCTTCAATTACTTCACGAAAATTTAAATTTAAATTCTTACCTTTCTCATCAAAACAGTTACAGACATCATGTGACGAGAGAAGGCCATTCCTGTGTAGCTGAGTGGAGGTCGTGACCTTGAGACAGAGGTTACAGCCAGCCACTACTGCAGCCTGGCACTGACCTGTCCGGAGAGCCATCAGTCCACGGTCCAAAGCCACAAGTCCACTTGCATGACCATTTCTTAGGGCATAACTAGCTCCTACAGTGTAATAGGTACATGTTGAGAATGTTAAATGATAAGCTACTTTCAGCCAGTCATGAGGCATAGCAGTTAGATCTATCATTTATTTGAATAAAAATGAACTTGAACAGCCCCTCTGCAAGATTATAGGTGTCAACCCTCCCTCATTTTAATCAAAATTTACCAATCTTCCTCGAAACTTCCTCATTCAAGTCCAAACTCGCACAAACTCAAAATCTACATCCTGTGGTCAAATGCTCTCCTAGTTACTGCAGGGTGTACATGTGTAGTGATCATAACAAGTGTGTCTGAATCAAATGAATGTTTGGAGTTATTTTGATACATAAAAAGGGAAAGATAAATTGAGCAAAGCAGTTTCAATCACATTTCACACACTTTCTCTCTCATTGGAAATGTGGAATGAGGGAGATTTCCCTCATTGGAGGTTTCAGAGGTTGACACCTATGCAAGATATACACCAAATAGTTTTACTCTACTTAAGGCAATATAGTTATTTACAATAAGTCATATTAAGTTTCAACATACTTGACCCCTTTGACCTTTCATCAAATAAGTTGCATGATAAATACATGTATGAGTAGCTCCATGTCTTGTTGTTCTTAGAAAAAGTTAACAACGGTTTTGATCCCTGTCCTATGACCTTGAATGTCATTTAATGACAATTCATTGCCCTTCAACACAAGCTCTAGGCCACAGATCACCTCAGTTTTCATGTTTGCTTGTTACAGGTATGCATCTTGGCAAATATAGAGTCCAAAGTGAATAAGGCCATTTTAATGTTCCATTTCATTAAAATATCATAAAATGCACAGGTACTCCACCCATAACAGGCTAACATGAGGTGTGTGGGAGATCCCACCAACAAAATTAGCAGAATAGGAAGAACAGATAACCAATTCTCTTAGGATATTGTTTGAAGATTAAATGCATTTAGTCCATGTAGCATTGAATGTAGATCAGGATCATTAAAAACACCTTGTCAGTCTTTTGCCTTAGCAAGCTTCATGACATATTTCATAAATCTAAACGATGGTCTTCTTTATGCAGTGGTACCCTTTACCTTAAAGAAACAAGTTAATGAAGGACAGAAAACCACCAGACACTTCATTACAAGGACAGAAATTAGATCATTGTTTATCCTTACCTTTGAAATCAAATGCAAAAGAAATCCTGTTAGCGAACATTGTGGGAGCATTGCCTATTGGGTTGTAGGCGTAGATATAGTCTTGGTTTGTACTGAAGGCCTCCATGTTCTCCGACAACCCACAGGCCACATACACCCCAGTGTCTGATCCCTTCAGCTGATGTGGTTCCACACCTATATACATACACAAATGGCAAAGATGAGCTCGAAACATTTACAAAGAAATAAATCAAAACTTGCTACTCATTTGTTTCAATAAACATGTTTGTTAACTGAAGCTTACCTTCGATATAGCTAATATTGTTCTTCAGACAAACATTTTGAACAATAAACATATGCCTTCAGTACTTTTAAACACCCAATGAGTACCTTGACCACATCATGCCTGTGTATAAACAGGAGAGAAAAAATGAAAGGTCCAAACTGGGATTCGAACCCAGACCCTCTGAACTCTAGATGGACTATCTATTCAATTGAGCTACGCAGTCAAGTTCTGCTACATGCTACACTTGCATGCATTCAACTTGTTAATTACTGTTTCTAATCCTTGCATGGAAATAAGTTTGTTTAAAGCAAGTCAAGTTCAAAGTATCAAGTAAAGTTATCATGAGATGCGACATTGAAACTCAACATGAATGTACGAATGCTGCAATGATTCTACAAATATTGAAAATGTTAATAAAAAAGTGGATCACACACCTGCATCCACAATGGCTTCATGTGTTATCTCCAGTAACATCCGAAGCTGTGGATCCATCACATCCGCAACCTTGGGGTTCACACCGAAAAATCCTGCATCAAATTTTCCGAGGTCGCCTAATATTCCCATCTTATTAGGGGTACCATCAGGTAAATCTGGAATTCAAAATATGTATAAAATAATTCAAAAAACAGATTTTCTGAGTCCAAGTTGATGAATCTTTCTTCTATTGGTCAACACTTCTGTCTCCAAGGGATAAAAAAAACACTTTACCAATGGAATGTTGCATCTTGTTGGCCCATTGATGCTTCACACCAAGTAAGATTAATTTTATTTCATCTGAATTTATTATAAAGTTCGAAGATTTCAACAATTTCCCTATTAGGCCCCACCCCTCTACCCTATGGTGACAACACCCTTCATTGTCTCACCTTGGCCTGGCAGTGATGCTGCTTATTGAAGTTCTGTCAGCTGTTCTAGATTAGTAGTCTTTTAGCTCAATCACCCCTACATGTTTAAACTGGACTTGCTCAGTCTTTGATTTGGCAAGGTTCAAATGCGACTTGAGGGGTGAATTGGTTACAGGAAAAGCTGGATGTACACCATGGCACTTTGATAAGCTCACTTTGCCCATTTCAAGATGAGCCAAAAATGGTAAAACTTAACTCCTCTGACAAAATTTTAATACTAAGTTGTTTTGTGGCTAGATTACCTTTTGTCCATCTCTTGTTTTCAGATATATTATTTTCTCCCTGCCAGAGACTTTCACGAAACTCTGCCATATTGTCAGCTCCGGGAAGGCGACAGGAAATACCACTGATGACAATGGGGTCTCCATCTTTTCCAGTCACCTGGTCCTCCATCATGGAAAACTATTGTCACAGGAACCAAATACACAGGTAACTGTTCCAGATCACTTACTGTCACTGAAAAGAAATGAAGGTTCAATGAAGGTTCAAGAACTAATTGAATATAAACCATTTCATTCACAACAAAAATTAATGAATTTAAATAATTCCCATTTTCCTGAAACAGGTCAGGTTTTAGGTAAAGGAAGGTTCTAAAATACAAATACTTTCAACATATAGATATCCCAAACCAGGTACCTACACACACACACACACACACGAACATGCACACACTCTTCAAAATGTTCTTATACTGTATATGGTCATTGATGAGTAGGTTTTAAATTAACTCTTAACATACATCAATATTTAATAAGGTTCAGTAACACCACATATAAAATACCAGATGCCACAAAATAATGAGCACCCCTTCTCCTTTCAAAGATAGCTTTGGATAGCTCCCCCAACCCACACTATACCCTTCATCACAATTTTCTTGTTTACTGTATAAAGGCTAAACAATTAACTGTTGGGTAATCAAGGGCCATAACTCCCGTAAAATCAGAATGAGTATGTCTATTTTAAATTTTCTTCGATCAATAACTCAATATCGAGAGGAAACACCCCTCACCTTTACAAATACCTGTGTATCATGTTCAATCATCACTCGGCACAAGTATTTGTGTATAGGTAGTAAACAGTGTACGTCTCACATATCAAACTGTGTAAGGCAACATAAGATAATAAACAATTCAATTGTCGTCAACTCACCTATCTCTTAAGATGGTTGTTTGTTGAAAGCCGAGTCGTCCTCGGGTGCATGGTGCACGTGCTTTTCACATCGGTTATTTTCGTCAATTTCCGTCGACGTATGTTTGTACTTGTTGAACTTATTTAATCGGCTAGTGGACGCAGGCATTGCAATACAAATGTGGTAAACATAAAATAAGCCTATATATTGAGCTCTTGGAACTTTTCTTATTATATACTTTTTGTTAACAGTCACGCAACATGTTTATTTTTAAAACATAGCTCGTTAGTCATTTTTTTTTAAATGTATTTGTTTCCGATATTTTTGTGAAGGGTAGGCCTTGATGGCTACAGGTATAGTTATGGACGTTTACAGAACTTGATTCTAGAAGAACCATGCGTTGCAGAGAAAAAAAAGTATTCTTGTACCTTAAGGAGGGGGGTGGAGGCGGGGGGCAAAGGGCTTTACTCCAGTACTTTTACAAGAGGTTTTTTTGTCCCCTTTCTACTTTTTTTCTTCTTCCAGGGCTTGCTATAACTTAGTCCGAATTATCCTGACGTTTTATCGACTTTTTTTTATATCGGTCTGTCGTCGATTAACGACGTTAATCGACGACAGACCGATATAAAAAAAAGTCGATAAAACGTCAGAATAATTCGGACTAGCTATAACCTCACTCTATCAACTTTAGTGGTATATTTTTGTTCTCTTTTGTGTTGATCGAAAATGCTTAACTCCGTAAAAAAATCACGTCAAGTACTTGACTATTTTATAGTGTTAAGAAATCAAAGTAAAAACGATTTAAACATAAAATTGACATGTTTTGTATTTCAAGGATGTACAGTTTGGATTTTTAATTATTTTTCTGTTACTTAAGTTAAACATCTTCCATATGCGTGCTATTACATAAGAATAAGTTTGTGATAAAGAGTGTGCCGAACTTGTCCAGAATTCTATAAAAAGAGTGGCTGTCACACGACTTCAGGAACATTTCGGTGACGATTATCTCTACGACAATATAATACCTACTTTGTTAAAAGTTCAAGGGGTTGGTTTTACTTTTCAAGTCTATATTATATTAATTATAGAATCTATTAGCATATTATCGGCAAATTGTCAGGGTTTGAAGGACAAAGGTAAGCGAAAAGATGTTTTCTCATACTTAAGGCGCCAGAAGGGCAATATTTACTGTTTACAAGACACTCATTTTACTGTAGATATTGAAAATATTATTAGGTCAGAATGGGGATATAGCTGTCATTTTAGTTCTTATAAATCTAACTCTAGGGGGGTAGCGATTTTAATTAATAATAATTTTGAAGGTAAAGTTCTGAAAGAAAAAAAGGATAAAGAGGGTAATTATATTGCCTTAGATATGTTGATAAATGATAAAAAAGTAACTTTAATAACAGTATATGGTCCAAACTTAGATACACCTAGTTTTTATCAGCAAATAATAGATGTGATAAATGAATATAGTAATGAATTTTGTATTATATGTGGAGATTTTAATTTAGTGCTGAACCCTGACCTTGATTATGATAAGAGTTATAAACAAATAAATAATCCTAAAGCTAGAGATAAAGTAATTGAACTTATAGATGAATTCAGTCTAGTAGATATTTTTAGAGAGCAACATCCAGATTATAAGAGATATACATGGAGGAGAAATAATCCTATTAAACAGGCACGTTTAGATTTTTTTCTGGTATCAGAAAATATGTTAAGTAATATACAGAACTCTAGTATTGAAACTGGTTACAGATCTGATCATTCTATACCTACTATTACAATAAAATTTAATGAATTTAAGAGAGGAAGAGGACTTTGGAAATTCAATAATTCTTTATTACATGATGAGGATTATCTCAAAACTATAAATAAATTATTTTTTGAAATTAAAAAGCAGTATGCCCTATTAATATATAACCCACATTTTATTAATAATATATCAGATGAGGATATCCAGTTCCAAATCAACGACCAACTTTTCTTAGAGACCTTACTATTTGAAATACGCGGTAAAACTATTTCATATGCATCATATAAAAAAAAATGCAGAACATACAGGAAAATACTCTTATAGAATCTATTAACAGTTTAGAAAATATGGATAATGTCAATCTGGATCAAGTAGGTGAAAAAAAGAAGGAATTGGAAAAAATCAGACAAATTAAAATGAGGGGTAGCATTATAAGGTCCAAGGCAAAATGGGTGGAAGAGGGAGAGAAGCCAACAAACTATTTTTTTAATCTTGAAAATAGACATTTTACCTCAAAAATTATCCCGATGATAGAAAAAGAAAATGGTGATGTTATAAGAAAACAAGAAGATATTTTAAATGAAGTTAAATTATTTTATGAACAACTGTATGCAAGTAATAGTAATATCGAAGAAGTGGATTTAGATAAATTTCTATCCAATTGTAATGTTCCAAAATTAAACAATGTAGAATCTTTATCTTTAGAAGGTAATATAACTTTTACTGAAGCGTCACATACTTTAAAACACATGAAAAATAATAAAAGCCCCGGGTCAGATGGATTTACAGTAGAATTTTTTAAGTGTTTTTGGAAACAACTAGGTAAATTTGTTTTAAGATCTATTAATTATGCATATATAAATGGAAACTTATCTATAACTCAAAAACAAGGAATTATTACATGTATACCAAAAGGTGATAAACCAAGGCAATTTCTTAAAAATTGGAGACCTATTTGTCTTTTGAATATTGTTTACAAAATTGCATCTGGCGCAATAGCTTCTAGATTAAAAACTATTTTAGATAAATTAATTAACACTGACCAGACAGGATTTATTGCAGGCAGATTTTTAGGGGAAAATACACGATTAATTTACGATATAATGCAGTATACAGAGGACAATGATATAGATGGGATGCTTTTGATTGTTGATTTTGAAAAGGCATTTGATTCTGTTAGTTGGGAGTTTATTGAAAATGTATTTAAATATTTTAATTTTGGTGAGGATATTAGAAGTTGGATAAAAACACTACATAAAAATTCTATGTCTGCAATTAATCAAGGTGGTAATCTCTCATCTTTTTTTGAAATTAAGAGGGGTTGCCGTCAAGGTGATCCGATAGCTCCATACATTTTTATTTTGTGTTCAGAAATACTTGCAATAAGACTTAGAAATAATAATTATATTAGGGGTATAAATATAGACAACTCTCCACTACTTCTCTCACAATATGCAGATGATACCTCTCTCATTTTAGATGGAACGAAACAATCATTAAAAGAATCAATAAAAGAGCTTAATTTATTTGCAAAAATTTCTGGTCTTAAAATAAATAAAAGTAAAACACAAGTTATATGGATAGGCAGTAAAAAGTACAGTGATGAGATATATTATCCTGAATGGAACCTGCAATGGGGAAGTCAAAAATTTATGGTATTAGGTATAGAATTTCATGTAGATTTACATCAAATCCCTAAATTAAACTATGATAAAAGACTAGTGAAACTTAAGTCAATAATTAAGAATTGGAGTAGACGAATATTAACACCAATAGGAAGAATACAAATAATTAAATCTTTATTAATATCTCAATTTAATCATCTATTTATCTCCTTACCAAATCCAGATGAAAATTTTATTAAAAAATTAAATTCAGAATTTTTTAATTTCTTATGGAAGAGTAAAGTGGATAAAACAAAACGGGAAATAATCATCAAAAGCTATCAGGAAGGGGGTCTTAAAATGATACACATCAAGTCTTTTATTGAAGCCTTGAAACTTACTTGGATACGTAGGTTGCTTACATCAGGGGGTAAATGGCAAGTGTTATTTAAAAAATATGTTAATAAGGACATTTTATTTAATTGTGGTTCAGAATACTTATCGATTATTCAAGGCAATTGTAAAAACCTTTTTTGGAAAGATGTGTTCCAATCATGGAGAAAAATAGCTGATAAAGAAGATTGTATAAGAGAGATAAAAAGTAGATTGAAAATGCCTATTTGGTATAACAAATATTTTACAGTAGGAGCCAAGTGTTTATTTTATAAGCAATGGTTTGAAAAGGGTGTTTTAATTATAAATGACTTATTAAAAGATAATAACTCTGGTATTTTCTATAGTTTTATAGAATTTTCACAAAAATTTGATGTAAAAACTAACTTTCTCACATATCAAGGTATTATTAATACTATAAAAAACTACATGTCCAATGATGATACTTTAAATACTTTGATTAGTTATCCATACATACCCTTAAATTTAGAAATATTTATGAGGCAAAAAAAAGGAACTCAAGATTTTTATAAGTTGTTGTGCCAAAATAGTACCATATCCACTGGGAAAAACAAATGGAATGAATTGTTTGAATTTGATGATGACACATGGAAATTGATATATATGCTTCCATTTACAGTAACTAGAAATTCAAAATTACAATGGCTTCAATACAGAATAAATCAACACATTTTAACAACAAACTCTTATCTAGTTAAAGCAGCTCTTACCGATAGTGCTCTTTGTTTTCAATGTAAGACTGAAATAGAGACAATAATTCACACACTATGGGAATGTGAGAAAGTACAAGACTTTTTACAAAATTTTGAATTCCTTCTTGATGCATTGTTAATCCCATTTGGTTTTAACAAGGAAACCTTCATTTTCGGTTTATTTAATCAAAATAGTATCAGTAGTAGGGTAGATAATACCATAATTTTACTTATAAAACAATATATTTATAAATCGAGATGTTTACAAATGTCATTGTCAGTAGCTGCACTTAAGAACGTTATCAAGGACACATATTTTACTCAGAGATATATTGCTGTTAATAAAAGTGAATTATTTTTATTGAAATTCAATACTGAATGGAAAAAATGGGAAAGTCTAATTAATATTGCTTAAACCCTGTCTTTGCCAAAATATGAACATATAACTATCGAGTTTTCTTATATAAACATGTACTTCTAAATACTTATATGTAAAACTTCTTGAACCTTCCAACACATCTATATAGCTTCTTTATTTCTCAATATCCACCCCCCCTCGTTTTTCTTTTTTTTTTTTTCTCTCTCTCTTAGTCTTACTTTCCCTTCTATACCTCTAGGACCTGCTCTAACCTCTTTTCTATCACTTCTAAACAATGCTTTTATATAACGGACACAATTTAGATGGAATTTAATTATACATAAACATAATTAATTATTAATTATACCTGGAAATATGCAGTTTTATTATAAATGAATATTTAATGAATGAATTGTAATGTGCGAGAGGAATAATGTTTATGTATGATATATTTGCATTGTTATAAATTTGGAAAAAATAAAAAATTACAAAAAAAAATAATATAATACCTACTTACCGTCCACACCACTCAACAGAAATTGACTGCATTTTATGCCATAAACAATGGCGTGTTGTTCTAGTTCCTAGAATATACACATTGAATGTCTGAATACAAACCTAATTGACCGGCAGGTGGAAATTTGCTTGACATGTCTCTTGACTTTGGTGTTCCGCAAGGCTTTGCGCTGGGACCAAAAAAGTGCTGTATTCGAATCTGATTGGAGATATCTGCCACAAACAAATGTCAAACAATGCTGACGATGTTTTCTTAGAACAGTTGACGGAATTTCTCTTTTTCGTTTGAAGTGTGCTTGAAGGACATCAGTTTCTGGACAAACTCCATTATGTGTTGAAATTGAACAAAGCAAAACTTGTTCATTTGCTACCTACATTACAGCTCTGGGTTAGTACCAGTGTCGCATGGCCGTGCCATTTGTGACGATATCAAAGACCTTCTTAGAAACGTTTCCGGCTACAGAAAAGCAAGTACCAGTCATTTTCTGACAAAAGACGACTTCAAGACACTAGTCCATGTATTGGTAACATCTTAATTAGAGTACAGGGAAGTGCCGTACTATATGGAATTCATGACACTCCGTTGAAGGGTCTACAGAGAGGGCAAAATAAAAAAGTCCCGTCAACAGTTTCCGCTCGGTTGTTTCCCATCTTGTCCATTTATCCTGAAACCCAATCTTTCCTGTTACTCTCCAAAATTGGACGTTACGATAGTCCCCTAACCTATACCCCGCAAACGCAAATGAACCAAACAGAAGTTTTTGTATTATTATCTGTCCCATAATGAACCTAAAGAGCATTTTTTTTGAATTTCGTCCAATCAGACGCTGCGGCGGCCATCTTGGATGGCAGTTAAAAAAATATTTCTTGAATATACGCATGCCCACCAGTTTTAATGCGAAGTTTCGATGTAATCAGACTCACGGTTTCCGGGAAAAGGTTAGGACAAGTTCACGGCTAAAAGAAAAGGGGTAAAAAAGATCAAATAATAAAGTATCTGAATTAGGGAAATATGGGCAGTTTTCCGCCAAAGCTCTTTAAAAATTTATACTTGAATAATTAAATATCTACTAGTATACTATGTGCTGGCTTATAAAATGACGTTTAAATTTTGAGAAAATTCATTCAAATATTAACAAAATAAATCCATTTGAGATTCTGCGATCTTTGACCATCGGAGCACCGTTCCCTTGCGATGCCAGTACAACATATGTATACAATATATATATAAAAAAAATAAAAAATGACAAGAGTTTCTTATTACCTCCCTAGCGCTTTCATCTCTTTCTATAAAATATAATTTTATTATGCATAATGTTTATAGCGTGATAAAAATTCGTTGTATAGATTTTAAGCCAGGTTTATGGACTGATATAACCTGTTGAAGCTTAGTATTCCCTTCGCCTTCGACTTGAGGGAAACGAATTATTTAAACAGGTTATATGAACTGATATATCCGCCCTAAAACCTTCATTACTAATAATATACTTATAAATCAACTAACTTTGTCTTTTTTGTGTCCTTTGTGACACACTAGGCCTATTTACAGGAGATACTTTTCAGTACACCAGTTGTTGATGCGGGGTCAAAGTGCGCAATAAAATCTGCTTTAGACAGCTGGTCATATATAGGTTTTAAATTTGGATGGCCATTTAAACGAAAATCTATACAAGTCTTACCTTGATAATCTTAACATTAAGCAACGTGTTGCAGTGTTGTGTACAAAACAAAATATCGCAACATGATCTAGACAGAACAGAATACAATATGGCTACACTAAGCGCGGTCCTGCTTTTCCTGGTAGTGTTATCGGCTGCAGGGAGACGACGCCCATGTGCTGACGAGTAAGTATTTGAGTAACAAAAACAGCAATTTACATTAAGGTTTCTATGGTAACCAATTTTGAAAAACTAACGTGTTTTTGGAGCTATGATAGATATTTCCATTCATGTGAAATTAATGAAACCGGAGTGGGTTTTTTTTTGGCGAACTAAACTGAAAAGAATCATTACGAGTTTCATCAATCTCACATGAAATGGAAACGAAGATCTTCAATGCATCATAATCAAAAAATGTTTTTAATAATGCGAAAATGCACACCCGTGTCATTTTGAAGTCTCAATTCCGACATTTTTGGTCTATATATCTATTATCTCCATTTTGTGACGTCATAATATTATCTATAGAAGTCATTACACCGTTTCATTATCTTTTAATGACGAACAATAGGTTATGATATATGAATTCAAAAGCAAAATATATGACATGGTTGTATTAACTGAAAAACAAAGTAAACATGTGATAAATTAACTTCTGTATAAGTTTACGGGAACATCACCGCTAATCATTTATCACCAAGTCAATCTGATTAAAACCAGATCTTTGATTCCACTCCCGATACTGCGCCATTTATACTTTGGAAAAAACCCATATATATTTCCGTTGTACGCAAACTTACACCACAATGTTAGCGGGAAAAGTGATAAAATTAGCAAAAATAAATATTATTCAATTTTGGAATAATTGCTATGTAAAATAATGCGTTGTACAAATATACAGTGGACCCTGTCTAAACCGGACACTACTTGGTCTTAGCTATTTGGCAGGTTTGTAGAGAGGAGATTTACTAGAGAGGATGGATGGGACCGTAAAACAATGCCGGTTTGTATGAATAGACAGAATCCGGTTTAGCTAGAGTTTAATTACTATCATCAAAGAAAACATTTCCAGGGACCAAACATGTCTAGCCGGTTTAGACAAAGATCCGGATTCGACCGATTCCGGTTTACACAATGTATATTTGAAATCTAAAAGCTCACAACTCGTCGCTAGCTTTTGGTAGGACTCACATCTCGCATCTGTCACCAAGAGATGATGGTATTTCGTGGATGCTTCTGTGTTACGAACCAATATACCTTTTAATTTTCTCGTGTTTCTGCACAGTTGTGACTGCCGCATGTCAAAGGGACACAGATGTGTGTACAGACTGGAGAAAAACAATCTGGTTCACTGCTCCTTGAAGGACAGATCAGCTGACGGTGGATGTTTTTGCTTGAGAAGTAAGCAAATAGTGATTTTATCTTTATCAATAGTAATAACTAATTAATATCAATAGTAATAACTAATAAATATCAACAGTAGTTACTAATAAAGAATCTGACATCTATGCATTATTGGGAGGTTGGTATTTCTTATTATGTTTTTAACTAACGAGGTGAATATGTGGTTATATGATCCTTAGAAAGTAATATCAGCTGACAAGAAAACGAGACTTATATCACTATTCATGTCCATATAACCACACATTTACCGAAATAACTATCATTAATTGTTATATTAGTTGCAAAATAATGTTATAATCATGAAACAAGATGAATCGCATTAAAACTGTACACAGGAAAGTACCGTGAAAGAAAGAGCAGGTCAATATTCGTTTGACTACGTCTCCTCAATATCGTATAACGTCACAATGTTCTCTGACAAATGCAATACTCTTCTCTTGACAGTTTTCTTGCGATCCATCTTGTTTAATGATAAAACGTCATAATCTCATAATTAACACAGCAATTTGGACTCGTAACTTGTCTGGAAATACATGTATTTTTTTCATACAGATTTGCAAAACATGTTTTGCTTTTAACTGAAAAACAGGTCATATTGGATTCCATATTAAAGTTTATTTCATTTAAGTGATATCACTTTAACTATGTTATGATACAGGTTGTGTGATGATGGACGGGACGATGATCAGGAAGAGGAAGACGATCAGTAGTAACTGTAATAACTGTACCTGTGTAACACCGACCAATAACAAAGTTTGTATCATAAACAACAGATGTCATACCATAGAACTGTCAAATTTTAACAAGTAATTATATATACATGTGTATATAAACTATCAGTGGATGTCATATTTTCTTTTCCTACTAAATGTAATTATATCTGAATGTTTCGGATCCAATGCCAATAACATCTATCCCATAGGTTCATGAAAAAAATCATCGCCATTTATTAGATTTCTGGACATGGGATATTCTTGTTCACCTCTAAACGTGTGACGCTGGTTGCGACCATAACTGACCTGAGTTGCATCGTTTGTGGCCATCAACGAAATGTGTGACGTTATTTACGATCGTAAATGAGATGTGTTGCACAGATGTGTGACGTTGTTTACGGTCATCACTGATATGTGTGCCGTTGTATACGGTCATCACTGAGATGTGTGACTTTGTTAACGGTCATCACTGAGATGTGTAACGTTGTTTACCGTCATCACTGAGAATTGTGACGTTGTTTGAGGTCATCACTGAGATGTGTGACTTTGTTAACGGTCATCACTGAGATGAGTGACGTTGTTTACGATCATCACTGAGATGTGTGACGTTGTTTGCGGTCATCACTGAGATGTGTGACGTTCTTTACGGTCATCACTGAGATGTGTGACGTTGTTAACGGTCATCACTGAGATGTGTGACGTTGTTAACGGTCATCACTGAGATGTGTGACGTTGTTAACGGTCATCACTGAGATGTGTGACGTTGTTAACGGTCATCACTGAGATGTGTGACGTTGTTTACGGTCATCACTGAGATATGTGACGTTATTTACCGTCATCACCGAGATGTTTGACGTTGTTAACGGTCATCACTGAGATGTGTGACGTTGTTAATGGTCATCACTGAGATGTGTGAGGTTGTTAACCGTCATCACTGAGATGTGTGACATTGTTAGCGGTCATCACTGAGATGTGTGACGTTGTTAATGGTCATCACTGAGATGTGTGACGTTGTTTACGGTCTTCACTGAGATGTGTGACGTTGTTAACGGTCATCACTGAGATGTGTGAATTTGTTTACGGTCTTCACTGAGATGTGTGACCTTGTTAACGGTCTTCACTGAGATGTGTGACGTTATTTACGGTCATCACTGAGATGTGTGACGTTGTTAACGGTCATCACTGAGATGTGTGACGTTGTTTACGGTCATCACTGAGATGTGTGACGTTGCTAACGGTCATCACTGAGATGTGTGACTTTGTTAACCGTCATCACTGAGATGTTTGACGTTGTTAACGGTCATCAGTGAGATGTGTGACGATGTTAACGGTCATCAGTAAGATGTGTGACGTTGTTAACGGTCATCACTGAGCTGTGTGACGTTCTTTACGGTCATCACTGAGATGTGTGACGTTGTTTACGGTCATCACTGAGATGTGTGACGTTGTTAACGGTCATCACTGAGATGTGTGACGTTGTTAACGGTCATCACTGAGATGTGTGACGTTGTAAACGGTCATCACTGAGATGTGTGACGTTGTTAACGGTCATCACTGATATTTTTGACGTTGTTAATGGTCATCACTGAGATGTGTGACGTTGTTAACGGTCATCACTGAGATGTGTGACGTTGTTTACGGTCATCACTGAGATGTGCGACGTTGTGTACGGCCTTCACTGATATGTGTGAGGTTGTTTACGGTCATCACTGAGCTGTGCGACGTTGTTTACGGTCATCACTGAGATGTGTGATGTTGTTAAGGGTCATCACTGAGATGTGTGACATTGTTAACGGTCATCAATGAGATGTGTGACATTGTTTACTGTCATCCCTGAGATGTGTGACATTGTTTACCGTCATCACTGAGATGTGTGACATTGTTGAGTGTTATCCAATATTGAAATGTGTGACATTGTTTACCGTCATCCCTGAGAAATGTGGTATTATTTACTATCATCCCTGAGAAATGTGACATTGTTTCCGATTGTCACCGAGTCCTGAGACATTATTTACTGTCATCACTAAGATGTGTGACATTGTTTACTGTAATCATCGAAATGTGTGACATTGTTTACTGTTATCCATGAGAAATGTGGTATTATTTACTGTCATCAGTGAGATGTGTGACGTTGTTTACGGTCATCACTGAGATGTGTGACGTTGTTAACGGTCATCACTGAGATGTGTGACGGTGTTTACGGTCATCACTGAGATGTGCGACGTTGTTAACGGTCATCCCTGAGATGTGCGACATTGTTTACCGTCATCACTGAGATGTGTGACATTGTTTACTGTTATCCAATATTGAAATGTGTGACATTGTTTACCGTCATCCCTGAGAAATGTGGTATTATTTACTATCATCCCTGAGAAATGTGACATTGTTTCCGATTGTCACCGAGTCCTGAGACATTATTTACTGTCATCACTGAGATGTGTGACATTGTTGAGTGTTATCCAATATTGAAATGTGTGACATTGTTTACTGTCATCCCTGAGAAATGTGGTATTATTTACTGTAATCCCTGAGAAATGTGACGTTGTTTACGCTGAGTTTTTCTTTAAAGTTCTGATGAAATGTTCTGTTTTCAGGTCTGTCTGTAATAGTTTATACATATTTTTTTATCAAATAGTTGTAATTATTCAATGCCTGAAATTATAGATAAATTACACACAAATCTTTATCATGGGGAAAACTGAGACTCACATTCATTTATTTCTCTTCCAGGCCACGTGTGTCAGCAGCCTTGTGGATTGTCGGTCCAACATTGTCTAGCAGTTACAGTATTAGGGGGAAAATGAATAAAAACGCAATTTACAAACCAATCCTTGGTATTTTTCATTTTCTGTTCTTTCGTTTATGTGTTTTCTTGTGTAAGTTAAAATTTTGATTGTTTCAGGTTTTATACCTAACTACATTCATCAGACTGGATGTTGTAAAGATCTAAGATAAAAAAAATCAAAAAGAAGCTAGATAAGTTTAAACAGATTTTCAGACTGGATGTTTTACATTATTGGAGATTGGATAATAATAATAATAATAATAATAATAATAATATACAACATTTATATAGCGCCCTATATAATTTGTAAAATTACTCTAGAGCGCTTTACAACATATGGATAATAGTAATGGTTATAATTGTGAAAACAAAAAACAAAGGCTTACAATCACTTTTATACATTTAAGTAAGCAATGTGCACATAATTGAACAAATAAAAGGGTGGTATTTACATGACGTCTATACAAAGATTCTTAAATGAAGACGTGAAGAGGTGAGTTTTGATGTCCCTCTTGAACTTGGCCATGGTATTTGACTTTCTAATAGCAGATGGTAAGCTATTCCACAACGTAGCCGAAACCCTCCTAAAGCATTTGTTTCCGTAGGTCACAGNTTCATTAGTAAATTGGTGTTTACTTACATTTATCAAATACTGAATTTTTATCTAGATTTTTGATATAGTTTTTTTCATTTTGTTTTTTGCAGTAGCTTTTTATAAGGGCTGATGAAAATATTCAAACTATTAAAACCTGGGTGTAGACAATGGACATACAAAAATACCAGTGATATTTCCAAAAACAAATATAATCAAGATGATTCAGAATCGTGTTATGAATTTATCTAACGTACAGGATAAGCCGACACAATCATATATAAATAACTGAAGTCAGGTGTCTTTATCTGAGTGTTTCTCAGAACAAAATATAAGTTTTACTGCAAGATACTAGATATGTTCATGTATCCCTGGTCAGGGCCTGTATTCATGAAACTGTTCTCATGCTCAAGCATGGATTCTGTGCTCAATGAATCTTTCTTTAAATGTACTGAAATCGTGTAAAAAGGTAAAATAGTCCTGTGTTAACCTTTAAAACAATATTCGGTTTGTTTACATGTTTTGTTCTTTATTTATCACTGTAACAAGAAAATGGGCTTGAGCACAGAATCAGAGTTTGAGTACGAGAACATTTCATGACACCTATAAAATGATATGTAAAAACCCTTCTACTCATCTTCCAATCTTTTCTTCTTCTGCTGGATACCGAACTACATCCGATAGTGAAGTAGACATACAAAACTATTCAAACATTACTTTTTTTTGTTTTATTTATCTATTCATTTATTTAAAAAAAAAATCGGGGGGGGGGGGTTAGTTATCACTAAAAGAAGACAGTTTAAATACTCTAAGATAACTCGATACATTTAAAATCTGTTCCATATGTTCCCCAATGACCATATGTATTCCAAAAGGACTTATATCCTGATATAAATATTAACTTAATAATTCATATTTATTACTATATGTGATTTTTGGATGCAGAAAGTCCAGGACAGTGTAGAATTACACAGAAATATCTTGATATTTGTGATTATATTACTGTATGTCACTTACAATAGTCCTGAAGGTCCCAGGATCTCTACAATGTTAGCCCTTATAAACTCATTGTTTTAATTACTGTGTAAATTTAAAGCAGTACATATTTTGAAATCTCATATATTCATCAGAAAAAAGAATCATTGTAGGTTGTATCTATGTTTCAATGTGTCCAGCTAGGCAGAAAACCTCCATAAAGAAATGTTTTTAAGGTACACTGTAGTATCCAAGTGCTCAGTGTTTATCTCCATTGAAAGAAGAGTTCCAATCTGTTCAACATTTTTCTTATTTGGGGTTACTTGCCTTTTACTATAGCATTCATCATAATTTCAAGTTTTTGATAGAAAGGTAAACACACTCTAGATTGTATTTATCCCCTTTCCTAACTCATCCAAAACATGTCTTCATCTTACAGCATTTGCTACTCATTCTTATAATAAACATTTTGTTATCCCCCTTGATATTTTTTAAAATTTTAAAAGTCAAACAAGGTCATTCAGTTACTAGCTACTAGCTGGAGTTTTTGGATATTGAAAAAGAGGTCATATAAAACATCGGACCCCTGCGACCTTGAAATTGAGTGAAGATCATTCTTTGAACACTCTCGATCTTCATCTAGGCATGCTACTGGCCAAATATCATCACCCTAGGCCTCTTGGTTATTCAAAAGACATTTAAATTTTATGAAACATTTGACCCCTGTGACTTTGAACATGGATGAAAGCCATACATTTGAAAAAAATCACCTTGATTGCCCTTCATCCCAGCATTCTACTGGCCACATAGCACATCACTGTAACTTTTGGTTAAGAAGCCATTTTCATTTTTTTAACACATTTTACCCCTTTGACCTTGAATACAGGTAAAGATGATTTATTTTGACAAACTTTATCGCCCTCCTTCCCAGCATGCTACTGGGCTCTTTGCAATTCAGAAGTAGCAATATAAAAGTTTTCAACAAAGTTGACTCCTGTAACCTTGAATATTAATAGCCCTTCATCCCAGCATCCTACTGGCTAAATAACATCAACCTAGGCTGTTTGGTTATCCAGAAGATTTCTTCTAATAGTTTCTATGACACATTTGACATCCGATCTGGAATATTTGTGAAGTCTTTTAAAGAAAACATTTATGCTGGATGTACAAACAGACGCTGGAAAGGCACCATGACAATAGCTCACTTTGGGCCCACTTGTTCAAACATTTGTACCAGGTCTGATCCAAATCTGACCAGTAAAATTGGAAAAGAATTTTAAAATGTGTCAACCAATCAGAGGTCATGGTGGCCATTTTGGACTCCAAAACAAGCCAAAAAGGTACAATACTTGTTCAGAGCCGTGAGATAAACATTTGCAACACGTCTGATCTAAATATGACCAGTACCTTGAGAAGAAGTCCTTTAAAGAAGAAGTTGACAGACTGACGATGGATGCCATGGCACGGCAATAGCTCACTTGGTCCTTATATGCGGCTGTGAAGAACAATTCAGACAAAAGATTTCAGTTCTTTCTTCTATTCATATTCATTGACATGAACAATACATTTTACAATTAATGTTTTACAAATGAGTGAGACAGGGGTTCGGGACCATGTCCCCCACCCCAGTAGAGAAAAGGACTGCTTTTTTATGCAAGCCACATCCTCTGTGACTTTTCATACACAAATTTAGATGCCCAAAAATGTCGTGGACCCTACCTCCTTTCCAATAATATTTATTATTTATGAGGCGTAGTCCCAGAAAAAGGGATTTAGAAGCCATTTGTATTTTTTAGTTTATATATTTATCTATTTTTATGTTTTTCACGATTTGTGTGTAATCTTACTTTAATTAGTACATGGAAAAAAATGAAGCATGTCCAATAAGATAATCAGTCATACTTAGACAATTTGTAATATTACATCTATAATACTTTGAAAAGTTAAGCAGGTCAAGGATTAAGCACCCTCGATATCCAAGGGTTCCGCTCACTTTGGCTTTCTGTGAGCGTAACCCCTGGACATACCTCCTGTTACCAACCGCCTGTTGTAAGAGGCGACTAATGTGGGAATCCCCACAGAATTGACGATATTCTTTTTGTAATCCTTTACTTGGGGACGCAGAAGCGACCACCAAATTAAATCTGCTGCACCCATTGCAACATTTTGGATTTTATATATTTCTCTCTACTTCCTACAAATCTTTTTGATTCAAAGTGCCTGCCTTGGCAGTACCTCAATTTGGGCCTAAGTGTTCAACATTCGCTCAAATGAGGAAGGAAATGGGTTCTGTCCCCAGGCCGAGATATACCAAAGTCCTTCAAAATGACTGTTGTTATTAAGGGGTATTTAGGTTTGTTGTAAATTAACCCTCATGATCACAGGTGTCAAATGCGTTAAAACCTTGAGTGACTTCTTCCAAATAAGAGACCTACGGTGATGATGTTTAGCCCCTAGGATCCCGATGTGAAGGGCTAATATCAGGTGAGTGATACGTGCATATTGGGCCTCTTGTTTCCATCAGTTCACTTTTAGAATATGAAATATTCCAGGAGTGCAGAGAGCGCAAACCCCGGAAATTCGAGGATACCCATGGAATATGTGGTGACAGTATTGAAGGAAGATGCAAAGCTATTTTACTGGTATCGTATACAAAAAAAAGACTCAGATCATCGCAAGGCTAATACATTGTTCAGATGTGTTGATATTAGTGACAGGGCTTACCGTCATCAGTGAAATTGGTGAAAATGATTAAATATGTCATCACTGCTATGTGTGAAATTGTTTACTGTCATCACAGAGATGTATGACTTTGTTAAGTTGTGATACAGTGTTTAGGATATTCACTCAGAAGGAGAATGAAAACCAACGCGATTTTTTCAACATCTGTTCATTAATACGGAGGTACATGTATTTATTATTGTTTCATTTCATTTCAAAATATTTTATTAAATAAATCAGATTTATAAAGAATTGGGCAACATGCTAATGTATACTCTTCAAATAAACAACGAGTGTTAAACATAAGGTATAAATCTAGAGGTTATAGTTAGAACATTCACTTAGGATACAAGTGATACTGAAATATTTAAACAGAATTCCACTACATGTATGCATTGTGTGTGTAGTCAACTTCTGGTGGTATGCATACGATCGGGAACCGTCGGCACTTTCCGTAAACAAGAAAATATTTCCTCGTTTACGGAAAGTGCCGACGGTTCCCGATTGCACATGCATATTGACCCCAGACGTACTTTCGTTTTGTAGTTATAGTGTAGCCATCACGTGCGATATGACGCACAGGAAGCTGCACAATGTGTTTCTAGTTGTATGCCTTGAGTTTTAAGACGGTAAGTTGGAAACAAAGAACTCAAATTATATGTATAAATACATTCATATATTTACTTATAGTGGTGTAGTACTAAAGGTGTGTATATACATGTGGGTTTGCTAGGTCAGGTACACGTATATGCCTGGACATTGGTCGTACAACAAAATTAATGTAGTGATTCGTTTGACAGCTGTCGGATATTAATATATCGGTAATTTGTAATATGGATACGCATGCATTTATATTGCCTATTCGTTGTATGACTAATTCAGGTGAAACATATATAAGCCGGTACTTCAGACCACAGCTGTAGGGACCTTATAATTCGTTTCAGTTATATTTGGATCTAAACGGAGTAAACACGTTTATTACAGCTGTATTTGGACCTAATATAGCTGTAACATATTATCATGTTCCTTAACTGTGTTTCATACGTGATTACATGTGGATTTGTTTACCATGCATGAAGTACCTATGGGTGAATTAAGACGGGAATATGTGCTACGTACATTTAGTACATGTGTTACTATTTGTTTTCTTCCATGTCAAGTACAACAAATCGTAGATGTTATCACATTGTCATTTTCGTAACTACAGGGGAAGAAGGCACGTGGAGTTATCGGTTTTCGATGGGTACTTGGTGTGAAATAGCAATGGTGTAATGCTACACTCGATGATTGTAAGCATGGTGAATAGGCGCATGTCGGGCAGATACCGATTAAGTCGAGACATTTGTCTATATATAAATATAACTGCTCGTATCACAGATAAGTATTTCAGGCTGCAGGAGAACACGCACGCGTATCGTGTATTGATAACTCTAAAATAATCCATTAAACGCTAAAAATAAATCGATGTTACGTGAAGGGTGTAATATATGTCTATACAATTTAACAGCGTGTATGATTGCATTAGGCCTATATCGATCAGAGGACGGAGAAATAACACATCGTATAAATCTTACGTGCTCGAGTTCCACCGGTCATATTTCCATTATCCGGAATCTTTTTGAAAGCCAAGCGCCACAACAACTGAGTTCCAGGTGAGTGAAGCAGACGACGACAATGGCGCGTCGACCTGATCATCTTTACTGCGATATTGTTTTATTTCTGTACCTAATTTATTAGCCTTGTAGTAGGGAAACGCATTTATGAAAATAGTGTTGATTTCACTACCTTTTTTTCCAAATAATATGGCCGTACTGGACACACATATAATATCATCCGCAATATTCCAGGGATACGCTCGCTTTCGCTCTCTGCACCCCTGGACTATGTCCTAAAAGCAAAATTGAAGGCACGCGGCTAGTTATATGATTGGTCTCAGGTAAAAAAAAACTGACCAATCACTAAGGCTGATATCTGTCTTTTAAAGATTACAGAGGAGCGACACCCGACATTTAAGCCAGTCAATTTTACCGCTACGCGACTGAGAGATTCTTTTGATGTATATCAAAGGATTAAACTAGTTTTCTCGTCTCATTCACAAGGTGGTGCACACCGAGCCTTCAATTTTGCTATGACATATCCCAGGGGTGTAGAGAGCGAAAGAGAGCGTAAGGTTTTCTGGAGTATCGAGGATAATACAATAATGGTAAATGCTTTTCAAATGACGCCATACTCCCAGATTTAAGACAATGCACACTTTGTTCTTCACTATACATTTTATGTTGACAGCAAATACACACTATGGGAGGGGCAAGCGTAGAAGCCGACTCTTCAGCGACAAAAGAAAATGGAGGGTTTCTTCAAAATATCAATGACTGTCTGGGTCTACAAAAGAAGATGGCAGCTGTTCAACAGTATGTTTCAGACCATCCAATCATCAGCCTCTTCCTGATGGTTACCATAGTGATGTGCAGTGTACCGTTTTTCTGTTTCTTTGCCTTTGTATTCGCTGCCAGCATATTTGGTTTTACCGGATTTGTCATCTTTGAAGGTAAATTAAAACTAGAGCTGAAAATATTTATTTCAATAAACAATGACAATACGAATAGTAAAATTTCGGTCTTGTAATACAAATGCTACACTTCTGAACAAAAAGGGGACTTACATCTTGCCGAGAAGTGTATACTTGTTTCACTCTCTCAGTATGTCGAACTCTTGGAGCACATTGTAAGCATTTTTTTCTTACCTGGAACAGCATCATAACCTTACGTCCCTGAACCATTGCTGGCGACCCCGAATCTGTGTGATACTCTGCTTGTTCTAATAATGCATGACATCGCCCTGAACTACGACAAAGGCATTCGAGCTGATTATATACACCCTCCGCCCATTACTAGAGTTAAGTCTTCCAAGAGGCATGGCGTTAGGTGTCATTATTATGCGACCTTGTATTACAGCAAGAAGCGTACCATGACGTCACAGTGCGTTCAGTCGTACGACCTACACGAAATTGTGTGACAATTATAAGCTAAATTGTTGACAATTAAAAGATTAAATGGAAGTGATGCCTCTTTTCACTCCGAACCTGCCAGTTGTAGCCCCCCTAGCGTGTCTATAATGACAGATTCAGCTGATTTTGTACGAAATCTGTTGTAATCCGGTATGGTCTTGGGGAAATATGACGTACTGTGAAAGTTTGTTTGTGATTTTCGCGGACACGTAAGTTTGTCCCTTGGTCCTAATATAACTCTTTACAAGGTAGGACTCATATTGTATCACTATATGACTGGTAAATATTAGTACCATGGGCTGGTCATCCTTATAACCATTGGTTCCTAGTTCAGCTGTTGAGTATTGTTCTCATACACCCGGGGCCCGTATTCATGAAACCGTTCTCATGCTCAAGCATGGTTTCTGTGCTCAAGCCAGCTTTCTTATTACTCTCCTTTATCATGTCAACGATCAAAAAGTCAATTGTAAATATTGAAAACAGTATTCGGCTTCAAGTCTCTTATTTTTCCCCCAATAACTTTGATAAAATAAGATCTTTTAAATAACTTAAAACTAGAACAAGAAATTATAGGCTTGAGCACAAAATCCATGCTTGAGCATGTGAATGGTTTCATGAATACGGGCCCCGGGCTGTTGTAATAGTTCCTGGTTGCGAATATAGTTGGTGATGAGAGGTAGCATTTGTTTAACTCTGGACACAGTTGTATAACGCCTTTGGTTTCGCCGGATGCTAGTCATTCCGCTGTATCAGCATCCTCGATACTCCAGGGGTAACGCTCACTGTCACTCTCTTTACCCCTGGAATATGTCATAGCGAAATCGAAGGGACAAGAAGACTAGTTTGAACCTTTGATGTACAACAAAAGAATCTCGCGGTTGCGTAAAGGAAAAAAATTACTGACTTTGAAGTCGGGTGTCGCTCCTCTGTAGAGATTGGTAAGTGTTTTGTTTACCCGAGACCAATCAAATAGCTAGTCGCGTGCCTCACCCTAGAGTATCGAGGATGCTGTATCTGGATTTGTGTAAGGCGACTTGGTTCATTTACCGTAAAAATACTTGTTTTAGCGCACTCAAATTTTAGTTTATTATCGAATTTTAACATATAAGCGCATTGATCAATCGGCGTACTCCAAAAATGTGCAATTGAGAGCAATATACAAGAACTTCAATCAGCGCATTCATATTTTAGATTACCGGTGAAATATGTACGTTTACGGTATTTGGCAGTCAATAAACGGACCATTTAAAGTTGATTTTCAATTATCTTCTATTCTTTTTAAAGCAGTTGACAATGTACTGCACGACATGTTCTTAGAAAAGCTAAAAAAAACTAAGACCGCTACTGGAGTGGTCAGGTTCACTCCTCAGCCACCGTCAAATGCGTGTCTCGGTTGAAGGCAAACTATCTCGCATGCCGCGGTTAAATTTCTATTATTCCAATTAAGATCAGAGCACAAAGAGACGACCAAATGCTGCAGTAAACATGAGAAAATTAGGAACACTTCCCGCTTAAGAACTTAAGATAGGGTTTAACGCAAGAGAATGTTACAACCGCGACGGAGAATAAAGCACGACACTTTTAGCAGTTAGACGATCAAATATATTCAATATCAACTATATTGGAAGATTTAAAACCCAATGTGCTTAAAATCAATAACAGCATTTGCAGTTAAGACAAATTTCACGCTTTCGTGAAGTCTTCACATCGACAAATCTTATCGTTTATGGAAAATGCCGACGGTTCCCAATTGCGACTGAAGTTGACCCTTGGAAAGATTATAAATGAAAAATCTGCGTCATTGCTCCAAATCCAACAAAAAAATCACATCCACTTTTGAATACGCTTAAGTGTGTTGTCATCTTAGATCGGTTCTTAAGATATTTGGGAAATTTTCAAATATGTTTAGGTAGCTTCATCTTCAAAAATTGTAAATCGTGGGAGCCGTTCGTCTTTGGAAATTGTACATCTTGGGACCCGAGGAGTATTAATGATATGTTGGAATATGTCTTGGCCTCCAAGCCCTGCCAGAAAGGTGGAAAGAGTATACACTAGCAATCCTATATATACGAGGTTGTTGAGAGGCTGTCTGCCTACCTGTAAATTATACATACATGTATTCCACAACTTGTCGGCACTAAACGCGAGTAACGTTCTTGCTAGCTACCACATTTGGCTGTGCCATTGAAAACCATTTTAGAACCTTTGTCCAATTTTCTCTCAATTTATACCGGTTTTTACCAAGGGATACATGTAATGTTTTGATGATCACAGGCTATTAGCGATCCCCATTGTTGCTGATAAAAGTGATTTTTCAATGTGAATTTATGTTTTATAATTTACTTGTCCCGTATTCGTGAAATCGTTCTCGTGCTAAAGCATGGATAATGTGCCCAAGCCTTATTTCTTGTTGCGATTATAAATGATTGAAAAATCTTATTTTGTCAATGATTTTGGAAACAATTGAAGAGACTTAAAGCCGAATATTGTTTTCAACGTTTGCTATCACCTTTTTGATCGTTTGACATGATTTAAGTGAGTCACAACAAAGCTGGTTTGAGCACAGAATCCATGCTTGAGTATTAGAATGGTTTCATGAATACGTGCCCTGCTGTTTCTGCATGTGTGTACGTTGGTATTGTCTCGAAAAGGAAGACGGTTGCTCAGAGACGAACCAATTTGCGTCATGTACTGCAAGGTATCACAAAGGTGCTTAATATGCGTTTTTCATTTTATATATTGTACATTCGTAAGATATTGCACCAAATATCAATGGCAGACATAGTTCTATAAATGATATTACTTGATTGTTGACGTCGTCATCATTACGTGGTTTTGACGTCATCATTACGTGGTTCCGACGTAACTTTTGTGTTGTGTATTTTAAGGTGTGGTCCTGTTGTTCGCCTCCTTGGTACTGTTTTGGGCAGTGGTCCTGATGGGACTACTATCCATCGGACTCTCCACCTCCGTTGTCCTCGGATACTTCACATTCAGGTTTTCTTGGAGCATGGTGAATAACGTTTCAACAAGTATACCACTGCCAGAATGTCTTGCATCCAGACTACCTGACTGGGCCACCATACATAAAGAATGTAAATAATGCTGACAATATTTTCCATTTCGAAGCAGTGGTTCCTTTGATTTGATCAACAATGCTAACCTTCATTGTGTTATTTCGAAAATGGTATATAACGAGTAATAGAATTACTAACGAGCACTTTACGCCAAGGGTTTAATGCACATATTTTATATTTGCATAACACAGTCTAGCATTATTTTTAATACCGGTAAAATTAATATTTTTTTATGCCATGTTTATGAATCTCGTTTTATCTGATGTACTTATTGAAAAACGTTATTTATGATGTACGTTTCAGTCGCTGAAAATGTAATAAAACTGTTAATACAACTATGATGATATGCATAATTGTTTATTGGTGTAGATGTAGTAATGTTATAATCGATGTATGAACATCAGTAAGGGTATGTATTATTAGATAGATGAACTTCTTTTGATGTTTATGTTAGCATAAATGTATAAATGAAATTAGTTATATCATGTTGTTACTGTGTTGAAGTTCGATGAATAAAAAGCAGAAATATTTTCAATATTTGTTATTTTTTCTATTTTGAAGAGTGGTGTCTGTCTCTACTGCTTTCATTCTACAGTAAAAGGTCCTTTTTTCACTAAATAAAGAATCGTTATGGAATAGCCTGCACTACCTGTGGACTATTCCTGTGGAACCTTGTTAACCCTGACACTTGAAGTTAAAATAAAATTCTTTAAAATTTATAAAAGTGGAAACATATTTGTGTAAATCAAGATATAAAATTCCAATACCAACAAGATTAGTGTGTCTAGTATATACTATGAGGCTAAACCAATCGGGTTTCAGTTCAGCAACTGATAATGGTTGATGAATCGGTGTTGCTTATACAGAAACACAAGATTGAAGAATGCATGCTTTGATAACATTCTGATATTAAAGTACCGGTAAACAATTACAGCATTTAGAGTCATTTTAAGGGAAATAACCCTTAAGTGAGAAAACTCTATACAAAATTATGTAATCTCAGCATTATGCCAATCTGGGCCATTTTCGTTTAAACGGTTGAACCGGTTGGACCAAAGTTGTTTGTTGATGAAATAAGGTCGGACCTAGTAACCTGATGCTGCTTTCAGGCGAGCTTTGACAAAGCCTTTTCAAGGCCTGCATCAACATTTGCAGGTCCGCCAGGATTTATACCCGAAAATGTTACATTTAAAGACTGACAACCTGGTTGTGCTCCGCATAAACGAACAGGCCCCTGGTCTCTGCGAAGAATAACGTATAGATAGCAAAACAAAATATAAGATCAGGTCTTAAGGTGATACATTGATTTATTGATGTTTTTATTTTTCTCGTCGCAGACGGTAGCCTCTATACTTCTAAGCCTACATCATTCTTGTGCATTTATGGGGCTATTTATAGATGGGGTATCTTAATACAAACATACTCTATGCCTGGCATACAACATCATTCACATCACTCACACATTCACAAAAGAATAAAATAATAAATCAATTCAAAATACAACACATAATTTGATTCAAGGCAAAAGAATGTTCATCTCTTGTACCGTATGCTAATACACTGTATATTATTTACAAACTGGAAATCAACAAAATTATACTATTAGTGTAACAAAACGAGTATTTAGTTGTAGTCAGATACATTTAGCACTTTTGTCATGATACAGTTGTCTTACTATCATAATGCCTCTTCAACTTCCTGTTGGTACTGAACATATCATGTGAACCATGGTATAATTGCAAACTTGAAAAGGCGTCAGTTATTCATTTGAACAAACTTAATAGCCCCTCATCCCAATGAGCTTTGTGCCAAATATCATGACCCTTATTTCAATGGTTCTTAACCCTTTCATCACTGTAGACTATAATGGACTCACCCAGATAAATGTATAGTAGAGTCTACTAAAGTTGCACAGTGGTAAAAGGGTTAAGAAATTGATTAAAGAAAAAGAAAATTGATGGCAGCCGATGGATGTCGTTCTAGTCATAGAGCACAACCTTGGTCCTTCCGACCGAGTAACCTTAAAATATGTCAATAGCAACTTTTACATGAAACAAATGGTAAACATTTTGATTTTAGAGTTATATGGTACAGTAAACAATACACTTCTGTGCCTTTGTTTACCTCACAGGAGTAATGCAACTTTCAAGTTATAGTAAACTGGCATGCATCAGTACTTAATTAGAGACTAATTCTTTTGTAGTTTATTATACATGTATAAGCATGCTTTCTGACATTGTCGACTTCAAACTTGGATAGAACGAGGTTTCTGCATCATTCACATAGTTCATGACCTTTTTTCATTCAGGACACCCTGTACCAGAACACAATATATTGCAGATATGCATATCTATCAATTAATATATGAACCCAACATTTCTTAATGTTTTGAAGTGTACATGGTACAGTACAGAAATAAGTAGACATGATTATGCGTTCGTAAAGTTCACCTTGTAATAGCAACACCCATCTTTGTTAGCCAAGGGTTTTGATCAATTTACACATATTTCTTCTATAGAGAAAAGTACTGGGATCATAACCTTGATAAGTGAAAAATGCATAACATCCAATTTCTTAAGACTTAAACATATAATATATAAAATCATCATAAAAATACTAGAAGCACTGGGTATAAATAACAGATTTTAAAAACATGTTATCAGTATATTACATCCCTCGCATCAGAAAAAAACGAACAAAAGAAACAAAAAAAAACCAATCACTTGCCATTTGTTGGCCTACTGTGACAAGATGGATCATAAATGATAAACATTCCCAGCAAGATTTTTTTTTCCGTATTTGAGACACAACCTTATTTTAAATGTATCGAAAATAGGCAATTTAATTTTGAATTTTTCTCAACTCATAATTTAATAAAAATTTAATTTATCTATCATATGTGTACAAATGAAGTATATACATAGGTATATATGGACCTCACACAAATTCTCTACTACTTAAATGGAAGGTGTATTGCACCAAAATATGACCGCAGGAACATTATAATCAGCCGTTCATATGTACATGAAGGTTCATATGTACATGAAGGTTCATGAAGGTTCATATGTACATGAAAGTTCATGAAGGTTCATATGTACATGAAGCAGAATAAACAAAGTGTTACCGATATTGACCACATAGAACGTGTGGCTCCTATACAAATACATGTAGCAAATATTAATATACATACACCAATGTTGATTTGTATGAGGGAGATGGGAATAAGTACAAAGTAAAATACAACAATATCTGCGTTGTACAAATCTTCATCGGATAACTTCAATGGTCTCATTGATCAAAGAGTTCAAATGTAATTGGAAATTGGCAGTTTCCTAAATTCAGTTGACAACTGAAAACTTAAACTTTCATTAAAACATGAAATAATTAAATAACACGTGTAAGTTTACAGACTAAAAGTATCAGTGATATCGGCTGTTGAAAGGCAGAGGTGAATATTATACTTGTCATTTTAAAATCTGTTTCTAAGAGGGCTGACATTTCCTCCATTAAGTTTCTGAACACGAAAAGAAAACAGAGATATGAAATTTCTAGTTGATGAACCCAAAAAGAAAAATTATTTTATATTTTTTTTTATCATAAAGTATTTTTTTCTTCTCATAAAGTAGTTATCAAATTGACAAAATACTAATTAGGATTTGACAACACTCGTCTGTAATCACAGTCTCACAACTTTCGTACACAAGAATACTTATCAATAACAAGCAAAACTATGTTTAGCATGAACCTGACTATGTGGTCTTCCACGTTGAATGATAATGCTGATGCAGCAATATTGACTCCTGGGTTTGGGTGAATATTCAGTTGATGTACTTCACATTTGGTAGGGGAGGGAGTGGGGGGGNTAATTGCAAAAACTTAATGTTGATGGAGATGCTGACAAAGTCAATGGACCATGAATGATAGGTCGCATCCAGCATGTAATGCATGTGTTAAGATGATCTACCCAAGATGCATCTATGGTCCAAGTTTGGTTGGTCTAGCACTTTTACTTTCAGCGAAACTAACGCAAAAACCTTTTAATGTTGACGCTGCTGCCGTCGCTGGAAAATCAACACCTTAGTCTCGCTTCCGCTACTTAGTGGCATCAAGACAACAACTGCAAGAATCTTTGTCATGAAAATACCATTTGTCAAAGTATTGTTAAAATAGCAAATTACCAACAAGGTAACTGGGAAACTTGCTGAATGGAGCTTACAGAACACTGCAGCCAATTTTGATCCACCGTTAGAAAATGAATACCAAAAGTTTGTACAGATAATTTTGTAATAATCCTGATTGAACAAAAGCACTTGATTTTATCACTTCATAAACAATAGGCTATCATACCTCACCATTGTTGTTTACAGGGACAATGTATAGGTTATATGTCATCTATACTGCACAAGCTATACATAGAGTTAAGTAAGAACACCAATGTAAGTAACAGACATATAACACACATTTGAAAAATAATATATTAACTCATTCACCCCTTATGAGACATTTGAACTCTTCTAATTCAAAAGTTGGAATAGTTCATTATGAAATTTCAGGGGTGGATAAGTGAAGGTAAAGAGTCCTGCCATCAATTCTACTGTTTACAGATATTGAAGAGTTATTTTCCTGTTAAATTTATGTTACTTCCTCTATATGTTCACACTAACACAGCCCTTTTTAGGAAGTCAGAATGTTTTTTTTTTTTTAAATTTCTGTTAATGTTTTAGAAAAGAATTAATATAAAACATATTATGACGGTAGGTAGCCCAGTGGATAAGCTTGCTCCTGTTTGTTATCAAGCAGTCAAGAGACTGAATCAATCTCTCTGTCATGGAGATGGTTTTGTGAAACAGAGGAAATTCTGTAGGAAATGGATATACAACTCCAAGTCAGAAAAATGCTAATCAAATCGGAACCGATACAATAAAAACGATGGAACTCTCTTCCTTAAATGTTAACCATGATACAGATATTTCATCTTCACAATGAGGTCAACCAGTTTTGATTGGGAATCTACCTACCAGGTATATGTTTTCTAAATCAAATGCAGAAATTATATGTTACCTTACAAACAATTTTTTATTTTTGACATTTTACATTAGCAACATTTAGATTTTGTGCTTACATACAACCTCCTGCCATAACAAACATTTTGTAAGCACCCACACACAAAATCCTGAAAACATACTTGGCTATATCTATGTACACAAAGATTATATTAATTTTAGCCTTGAACATCTTACAGGTGTTAAATCTACTTGGGAAGATAACAGCAATAGACTATGCATGTCACATCAGCTATAAATAGAACATGAAAATATCTGAGCAAGACCAATTCCCTATCAAAGCCAGTCTACCTCTTTGTCACGTTCTGAAGATGATTTGCTGTTTTGTTTTTTTGTTCTAAGTCATGTTCAGATTTTTTTTTCTGTTTTGTTTTTACAGTTACCAAAGTTGCACACAAACATTTTAATGTAGAAATGTGAAAATAAGCACAGTACGAAAGCATACAGCATTTTGATAACGAAAACAAAATCACGTGTTTCAATATTTTGAAAAACAGTCATACATTTAAAAAAACCTCAATATTCTTTAAATGAGATGGAATGTAAGCAGTTTTGACGCCGTTCACATAAATGCAGTAGAGAACTCTTGGTGTCTACTTTATAATGGACAGCCATGGCTACTATAGAATCAATGTGACGCCTAACTGTCGTCAAGCTGGAGGCGTAAGCAGTATCAAACATGTAAAGAACGGTCGACTTTGGTTGAGATGTGGTGACCTTGGGATGGTGTGGTGCGAAGCGTTGACCTCAAATTGGACTGGTGGTCTGAAGCATTGATCTCTCGGATGAGTTGTGTGGTGGTTAGTTCGTTGACCTCAAATTTGGACTTAAGGTGTGAAGTAATGATCCCGGATGAGTTGGACTTATGGCGTGAAGAGCTGATCTTTGATGTGAATATTATATTAAACATTGACATTTGATTAGCTGATGGTGTGAAGCATCAATATTGGATTAGCTGATGGTGTGAAGCATCAATATTGGATTAGCCGATGGTGTGATGCAATGACCCTTGATGATGTGAAGTGTTGATCTTCGGTGGGATGTGAGCTGTCAATTATTGAGGTAAATTTTTACCACATGATTACCGCGTTATGCAATGAATGTACCTGTGTCACATATTATTGCATATTACCTATGTAATAACACCCACTGTGATGTAGATGAAATTTGAATACTTGTAGAACTTATTAAAGATGACATTTAAATGTGTTTTGCATTATTTTGGAGCTAAAAAATAAAGTTCAATTTATTTAGAAATTTAAACATGTTCAAAATATACAAGAATATATATTAAATGAAGCATTAAGTTTCAAAACATTTTCAAATGCCTCCATCTTCCCACCCAAAATGGCTTTATGCTGCTAATGCTAATTCCTCCTGGACAAAACTCAATTTGACAAAACCAAATATTGGGCCAGAAATAGCCCTGAGCATCGACCTTGATGTGTGATAAGTTGACCTTGGATGTGATGATGATGTGAAGCGTTGACCTTTTACACAGCCCATTTAAAACATTCACTATGAGTTGGACATGAGGTGTGAAGCATTGACTATGAGAGGGACGCGTGGTATCCATGGTAACCATGGATAGGAGCAGATACACATAATTATTTGTTCTTCAGACCACACAGAGGGAAGTCAAAACTATGATCGGTCATCAGTCATTTCCAAGAATTGGGCGTAAACATCACGAGTACACTCCCCTTTGGGGTTGAAGACAAATTTGTAGTAACTGCCATCTGCACAAACCACTGGAAACAAAAAATAAAAAATACCTTTAAGTTACATTGATGGTACCAGGTAAAGACACATCTACATTATGCAGCATTTATATAATGGCTAAAAAAGATTTCAACCAAAAGAGGTTAAAAGTAATTAGAAAGCAAGACCAAGACCATTATTTTGGTTTCTCCATTTTCATGTCATTGCATGTGTGAACACATCATTGGAATAAAAGACAAACGTTTGAACCATCCTACAGCACATGTATGAGAAACAGTTGTAGTAATGATTACAAGATGTCAAGTTAAGGATAATTCACGGTTATTCGCAGTGATAATCCTGTATCCAATTAGAGGATCTGAGCTTTTCATAAATACCACTGGGCTTTGCGCTGGTGACCTAAATCTACTTATATTTAGTATTCAGTAGGGAAACAAAACAGACTACATTCTACATAAAAAAATGTCACTACTCAGTCTTGGTAGTCATATATTTATATTTCCACTGCAACTCCCTCTATAGAACATTACCAGAAGAAATTGTGTTCATAGAGATATGAACAAAAATTCATCAGCATTATTTTGAAGCTTCTCATCCCACCTTGCATAACAACCCTTAGAATCAAACGTTTTGGGGATGTTAGGTTGTTCCAGGAATCTTGTATGCACTGACAACACAGACACTTCAATATCGAAAATATAAGGGAATATCTATATTTAGGTCATAATAAGTATTCTCTAAAAAGTCAGAATGTTAATATAAGGATTGAAAAGCATTTTTTCAATCATGTCCATAATTTCTTTTAAATTTGTGTACCAGGTTCAATATTCAATTAAATCTTTGGGGGGAAAAATTGAAAAAAAATCCCCATATGAATGCAAATATAAGCAGGCTTCATTGTAACCGATTTGCCTTCATACTATCATGAAATTGATAAAGTGCCACTCAATCCTTATGTGAATGCAACAACATACCAATCACAGAGTTGGTGTCTGCCCCAAAGGCACACAGACATCTAGCACCACCGGGTACCTGGAACTTCGAGAAACTCCACGTAGAGCTGAAGTATTTGGGCAAGAAACTGGCCGATCCTATGCTGTTAAACAGAGAAAGCGTACATGTATGGAGTACCTGTTACAGTAACTTGCGAAATGCTATATATCCTCGAAGACAATGATCAGGTATCGGTACCAATAAAACTTTCCCTGCTTTTTCTCAATCTTGCGTAGATTTTTGTATTTTTGTGAAAATGATGTTACTATAGATACTGCAATATCGGGACACTTTTTCTTAAATGACATATTTCTATATCTCAATCTTTAATTCATTATATTTCATGAAAATGAAGTTACCATAGCAATTAATTCAGTTTCATTTTTGTATTATTTTACGTCCCGTTGACAATTTAAGTCTAATTCAGTGTCAAAGATTTACTTTCGAAATAATAATGATATACATCTATAGTCTGGTATGAATTTATCCTTCATTACCTTAACTGTTTGTTTTTCTTCGAATCCTCTGTAGAGAAAATATGAACTGTTCCATGGTCACTAGCCACACACAGATATGTCGAGTCTTGATTGAAATTAATGCTGCGGAAATATGATAGAAATTCAAATTCATTAAACAGCCAGTGTACCCAATAATATTATTGAAGACATGATATTTGACATACAAAAGTTATCATATGAAGACTACCGGTAAGAACAATAAAACGACATATTTTGTTCATAAAACACAATAATAATAATGATACTTTATTTTTAGAGGGTACAACTCATTCAATAAAGGCTAATCTCCCATGAGGCCCTCTTTAAAGAGGTACACAAACAGATTAACACACATATGTTTGTATCACAACAAAATAATCAATAATCAACATGCACTCAATAATATTCGTTATAGTACATAAACATATGAGAATAGTTGTACCGAAGAATAATAGATGGATAGAAGAAAAGAAACATTCTTCTTTTAATGATATGTCATAGTTATTTTTCCATCAAGTATTGGTATCATTATCCTCACAATTAGTGGATGTTAGGATCGTTTATCAGAGGTATCTACACATTGATAACATCTGTTGTTACCTGCAATCAATACAAGTGTTGCAAATCAGTATAAGGTTTGGTGAGTATGAAAAATACCCCAGTAATACATGCATAGAAAGTGAAAATGTTGCCAGAATGGCAGATCAATACCCCCCGTCTGTGCCAAGAACTGTAGGAATAGATCTTTTGAGAATATTTTAAACGAAGGACCATAACTCAAACATACTTTATTCTCATCCACTGTTGGGAAAGGTTGTTTTTTCAAGAATATAATTTCATTCACGTCCATTCAATGTAAGGAATTTGTGAACTAAGTACGAATCAAATGGGTGCAGAACTGTGGAAGGTTGTTCAAGCTGAAGAACAACTCTTTACAAATGGATTCTGATGTTCATTACATATTATCAAAACTTGACCGTCACATACCAATAAATGTGTGCGTTGTTGGCTCCTCTTCTCAATTCGTGTAGTTGGAGGCCTGATATCGTGTCAAACACTCGTATAAGAGTACCCTGTAGTTAAACATATACATAGGATCAATCAAAGTAACCATCGGACTAACATCTTTTGATCAGCTTAAAACTGACCCTCCAGAACTTGACCTTTGTAACACTGATTTTCAATTTTCATTTTTCATCAATGATCATATTACAGCATTTATTGAAGTAGACTTGTGCCTTTTATATCAAGTCTGAGAAAGTCAACACTTCTGTATTATCTGTTGATATAGCAAGTAGAGTACCTAGTACATTGAGACTCAGAGACAGCCTACCTTCTCTGAGAATTTGGCTAGTTGGTTAGTGCCCAGTAAGTTGAGACTCAGAGACAGCCTACCTTCTCTGAGAATGTGACCAGTTAAGTGTCCTATAAGTTGAGAGATGGAGAGCCTACCTTTTCTGATGAAGTTGCTAGTCTAGTGCCTAGTTAGTTTAATGAAAAAGAGAGCCTTACATTTCTGGTGACGTGGCCAGTCCAGTGCTTTGTTAGTTGAGAGATACAGATAGAGAGATAATCTATCTTTTTCAGAAGATGTGGCCAACCTTGTGCCCTGTAAGTTGAGTGCGAGTTATGCCCTGTAAGTTTAATGAGTGAGAGAGTCTTACTTTTCTGCTGACATGGCCAGTCCAGTGCCCTGTATGTTGAGAGGTAGAGATAGAGAGATAGCCTACCTTTTCAGAAGATGTTGCCAATCTAGTGCCCTGTAAGTTAAGTGCGAGGGAGCTGAGTGGAGCCTCATGAGCTGCAATATCAAGAGGGGATTTTTCTGTGTTGGCCAGGTCAACAATCTGTACATGGCCAGTTTTACGTCCAGGAAAAGTGAGCAGTGAGTTATTGCTGTTTGGGCACATCACACACAAACCTACAAATAACACATCATTATAAAGTTTTTACATTTAAAACCAGCTACACAACCATCTTATTTTAGAAATTCATAACTCTTTCAAAAACTCCATCAATAACCGCAAAATATGTGTATCTTCATAAATAAAATAAAATAAATATACAACATTTGATATAGCGCCCTATCTAGCTAACATAAGCCACTCTAAAGCGCTTTGCAGTACATAGATATACAATTTAATACAATGAATACAATTAGCATATACATTAATCAATACAATTTTGAGGAATTCACAGTAGCTGCCTTATCAGGCGCTATCTTCTAGTCCTATACCACCTGGGTAATATCTCCCTATGTATGTATGCCTGCATGTGTGCAGGAGATGTATTGTGTTCTGTTTGTAGTGGGACCGTACTTCCAACGGTATCATCTATAGTACCACTTCACTTGAATGCCACAGCACAGATACCGCAACACCCACCCCAGACCATTTTATACTGAATATTTCATGCGTACGACGACTTCGGGGATGGAACCCCGGCCGCCTGCTTGGAAGGCTCGAGTGTTAACCACTCGACCAATCCGCCCATTAGGAAATCAATCTACTATGATTACAACACAAAGCTTACACCTTGATACACAGATCCACAAAAAATGGAACTACTTCTGAATGTATAAAATGTATCATATCTTCCCTGCTTTTGGAGGTTGGGGTGTATTTTGGTGTATTGTTAGCCCAGATGAACAAGTTTTGCTGAAATCGTCCTAGTAGTTAAGGAAGAGATGTGACAAAGATTTTTAGGTCACCTGAGACAAAGTCTCAAGTGACCTATTGCGATCGCCTTTTGTCCGTCGTCGTTCGTCGTCCGCCGTGCGTCGTGTGTCCGTAAACAATTTACATTTTCGACTTCTTCTCCAAAACCCCTGAACCAATTTCAATGAAATTTTGCAGGGACCTTCCATGGACAAAGGTCGACAAAAATAGTTGCCGGTTTAGTCCTACGCCACCAGGGGCCTGAGAGGCGGGGCCAAAAGGGGTCAAATTGACTAAAATTTCAAAAATCTTCTTCTCAAGACCCAGATATGGTAGAATCAAATACTCTTCATAGATGGAAGGGTCTTAAGGTGCTTTACCGAAATTGTGAATTTC